ACCTTCACGCCTCCCGGCGGTTGCCCTATATGGTAACGGCAACTGCCTTCGCGCTGCGTTTGCTAAGCAATATCGCAAGCGCGCAGAGCGCGCGCGCCGGCTTCGTGGGCCGGCGCGCGCTCTGCGCGCGCGCGCGCACGCATTTGGTTACCAGATTATTTGTTCGGAAATGAGAAGGCTTCTCGAGTTGATATCGCTGGAAACACAATCAGCTCTGCACTGGCAAACGGTCCCGCAGTCGCTATGGAATGGAAATACGCACCCAACCGCCTCCTCATTGTTGGTCCTCCTGTTACTTGGCAGACCACTTTCTATGAATGAATGACTTAATAACACGGGAAAAATACCTAATATCGCAATGCAGCTGTATGGAACGGCCGCTTTTACAGTGTCGGACAGAAAGGACTTTTCAACTTTTTTTAACCCGTCGGCCAAAACTAAATGTCCTTCATCTCCTGGCTGACCCTGAACAAATTTTTGTATACGGTGCAACTGCAAACCTTGGGGGTGCGCGCAAATGGAGGGTGACGATGGGGGCACAATATCGCTTCGTATTCGACAGGGCGGCTACGGAAAGCGTAACTTTCGCAAGTTGTTGCATCTTGAGGACGGTGCGGTTACTTAGCGCCTCGCGTTTCCTGACCCTTGTTCTGCGCTTCAACCTGAATTGTTCTCGAGCAGTTACTCCTTCGCACGGCGCCGTTTTGTTGCAATGTACTTGTACCCACTGCGTGCCTGCTGCAGCTGCTTCACCTTCAGAAAGCGAAACGCAAACGCGACGCTTCCGGTAGTGAGAGTGTATCTCACTTGCCCCTCGCTTGCTGGCAGCTTTGTGCGATGCCTTGCGTGCTGTGCCTTTCTTCCGATATCGATAAGTAGGCAAGTCAGGTTTTTCGGTTCGGACCAGCAGCAGCTCGAACTTCGAAGCAAGCGCTCTGCTTGTTGACAATTAATTTGTTGCTGGTAAGTTGCGTCCGAGGACGAGATGAAAGTGATTGTTGAGAATGAATGCGAATTCTATGAAATTGAAATGCGTCCGCGTCCAAAAGCGTACTCGGCTGCTCGACAAAGGTGATCCATCATACACAAGATGTTAAAGCTATACTTTTTTTAAGAATTCTAGTATGCAAACGCATGTGTAGATGCCCGCGCTTTTGCAGCAATGCTTTATCCCTATGTCCACCTGTCACTCCATGCACAAGAGTGAACTCGGATGACGCATCCGTCCGAGCACGTGCATGCATCAAGTACGCAAGGATATTAATGCCCTCGGTTGCTCCAAAAAGCAACATGCATATTTTTTTATATCTCTAGATGGCTGCTCCTGCTTATTGCGAATGTTTCAGCTTCAACGAGTTGCTGTCCGCCGTGGCGCGGAGCATTTCTTTTGGATAAGGGTGAGTAGAAAAAATCGTGTGATGAGAGCTACTTGCACGTCCGTAGTTGTCGTCTGGGATACAGACAAGAACGAAGAAGGGCGCTCACAAAAAATCACCTGGAAAACGAAAAGGAAAACGAAGCAGCTGTGACAGAAACGGCAACAGAGTCCAAACGCGCAAAACAAAAAACAATGAAATATATTTTCAGACGATCCTCAGCTATGCCGCGAACGTCTGAGAGAAGCTGGCCTAGTAAAAATTGCAGAGTAACAAGAACGACTTTGGTGCAGAGAATGACGATGGGCGAATGATTGGGACGACGAAGCCGAACGAATTTACAACCACGAGTCAAAAAGGCATAGCATTAATCACCGAGCATTAGCATTAGGTAGTTACCCTGCGCGGTTGTAAATACTTAGACGTCACCGCTCAGCACGAGATGAACGCAAGATTTTTATACGAAGGAGTCCACCAACCGTCAGTGGGGTTGTTTGTATTTAGTTTTTGCAGTTGTACGAAAACGAACCGACAGCCTTGCACCAAGTACGATCGGCGTGCTACAACCAAACCGAAGTCCTGTCTTGCAAGCGTAACGAGTCTCTCAATCAACCGAATACTACACGCGGAGCACGCAAAGCTATTGCAGCAAAAGCACGGGATAAACGAATCACAGAGAAAAACCATCGCGGCAGATAAGTACACAAGAACGTCGATACAGCAAAAATTGAAAGGACACTTGAACGAGGAATTCAAATCGGCAAGAGCTGTATGCGCCCATTCTGTGCGGGACAGCACCAGTCTTGTCTTAGCAAACTCTACGTGTCGATGTCGCAAATCTAGGTGTCGTCACGTAAGGTGCAAAACCAAAAGTTGTGCGCTGTCGCTTGGTCGAGATGAGTGGACACAGCTCAGCATTTGTTCGCATTTCCAAGTTCAAATCATGATGTCAACCGGAACTCGGTTTAAAATATCACATCGTCCCTTGCCAGCTTGTTGCACGATCGCCTCCTGAATCCGACTATCGGGCCTCGGGCCTCGTCGACCATGATCAACCGGGAGTGGATGCTCCGCTCGAGACCAAGCATGATCAGAGCTTGCAGGTGGACGTACCCAAAAAGACGGTCTTAGTCGGAAAACAGTCCCGCAGCAGCATCTTCTTCGCATTGTCGGAAAGAAAAAGAACTGGCGCCTGCAGGCATTTTCCATGAGGAAGTTGTTCATTCCCCCACTCGATAAAAAATAGGTTGTGCGCGACACAACTATTGCCTGGATAAGCGCAGGAGGCATGACGCACGGAAAATTTCTCTCAATGTTCGCATGCAAAATAAGTAGTGCTTTTATCTGTCGACTTTTGATTGATCAATCTCGATCTCCATCTTTACAGAACAACCTCCAAATAGAAGTGTAGATCCTGATCATCATGCATGCTAATGAAAAATCCTCTCCGCGCCCTCAAAACTTCACGTCTCGTATTTCCGTCTTTTGCACTTCAAGCTTTCGCTTTTTCCGCGGTGCGACTGCTTCAAAGATGCTGTTGGCAGTGCCCGCCGGCGGATTCTTCGTGACACTGCTGGATGATGACGGAGCCCCCTGTGAAAGGAATGGTCATCGTCATACGCATGAAGACCCAGAGTAAGAAGGTCGTATGTGAAAAATAGAGCTAATTTGCAACTCAGCAGAAACAGGGCACAAAATCATGAGTGTCCGTAGCTCTTACAGATGAGCCATATCGAATTCAAGATCAAGAAGGGCGGAAATCTAGAAAAGCTGAGAGGAACCAACAGGATAGTGTTGTACGATACGCAAATACAAATTTCAAAGCATTGCCTACCCTCGATTTTTTTGTCGCTTCGTTTTCACGTGCCAGTAGCTCAGCTCTGGTTTCCTTCTGCGGATTCGTTTTTCTTTTTCCGCCTCTGCGAACGGCAGACGCAGCTGTCATGGGTACATGAGCATCTACATCTGAGTCGTCAGAATTTTCCCCCGAAGCCGCAGCTAGACTCGCGAGCGCCGTCAGTCCCGGATCATCGGGTCTTGCCTATATCAAAACGCAAAATGAGCTCCGGCCTGAACATGCAAAATATCAAAATGCAAAATTACCTCGTCGGTTAATGCACACCTGTGATGTTCTGATTCTGAAGAAAGACGAGAAGAATTCACCGCGATGCGAAGATATGTAAAACCATTTTCAACATTGGATTATAATGTAGAAACTGAAACACATCGCCAGCTCGTAAGATATAGCGCGGCACTCCTCATCATGCCCAGAGTTCAAAGAGCTTCACTGTCCTGACCTTGCCGCGCTCGACAAGGTTGTTCTGGTTCCTGTGACATTTCTCATGCGTTAAGGCTAACAATTTTCAACATAACCGAAGCCGAACTAGGAGATTTTAGAATTTTTGATCGGCCGCCTGCTCGTTCTTTTTTTCATAGCGGGTGAACCAAGCTTCTTCTGCAGCCTCTGAGAGCGTCGCGCCGCCTTGTCCACAAGGGAGCGTGCCCCGGCCTGCCGTGATGCCCAATAAGGCTGCCCGTTCTCGTCCGCGGAATCCGCATCCCAGTAATCCGAGTCCTTTCAGTATGCAATCAAATTTTGCCGAACACTGCAGACACACGTGTTAAACATCAGAAAGGGAAATTATATATGATGCAAAACGAAAACCAGAACGTTGGTTCCCAAAAGAAATGAAAGAGCGTTCTCCTGGCTACTACTAGTATGTTTGTGTTGCAGCGGCGTGTTCTTTGTGTTCTTCTTTGTTGCGTAGCGAATCCGCGGAGTCCTCATTGTCTTCCACGTCACTCTCGGGTGCGATGAACGCTAGGGGAACCTATTTGTTCATTTTTTTCATGCTTAATTTCTACAAAAAGCTTCAGCTTGTAAAATGTTTATTTCAGTAGGTGTCTCTGCAACACATGCACATCCTGCCGCTACTTGGCGAAACAAAATAAGTATCCATATTCACATCCAAATGGCTATAATCGTGCGGGAGGACCCATGATCAAAGTTCACTTTACTACTTAATCAACAGTTGGACCGAGGGTGTACAGCAACGAAGTGTACGGGTCACAATGCTGACTGTAAATCCAAATGATTTCTGAAGCTGTTGCCGTACCGCACTTCGCATAAAGAAAAAAAATCAAAGCTAAATACAGAGAGATCCAGGTCTCCTTGAGCGCGCAAAGAATTACATTTATGGGTCTGGGCATAGAATTCGTCTATTTTTCGGTGCGAAAAATTAAAATTATAGCAGTGAACAGCAAATCGAAAATAAAACAAGAAGTAGCTTACTGCACTAACACCACCCTGCGTGTTTGCGACGTAACAGATTTGCTTTTTCGGGTGCTCGGCCAGCACCATTACGTCATCATCCTCTGCGATGGGTCCGCAGTTCAAGCTCGCCGGAAAGTCCGTGCTAGCGTGGCGCACAGACGGCGCTGCTACAAACTCTCGCTGAATCCAGCCTCGCTTCTCCGGGTGTTTCACCCCGCACACTTCAACCCAGCTCGCGTCCCCGCCTTTCGTGCACGTCTGCAAAACTTTTATACGCTCCACCAGTATTGCAAGGGAGGATGTTGTACCACAATAAACCAAATTAACATTTGCTGTTCGGAGTGAAAATATAGATGATTGCAAATCAGTTCAAACCTTCCAACTAACAGAATCGCAAAAAACTTTTGTTTCATCTTCATGCAACTGATACATTCTTTGCACATAAAGAAAAGTGCCTCTGCTGCGACGCAGTGAAAACAGACAAGGCGGCAGGTGAACAAATGTGTGGATATCAGGTAGTATTCGGTACAGTTTCCTTGTTGATACGCTGAGACAAAACGACGTGTGCTGCATTTTTTGTGTCTGCACTCATGGATCCCACTGACCCGGGAGCTTTCTGCAGCACTGTGGTCCCGTCTCTGTCCTCACAATCCGGGCGAAAATGCAGGTACAACTCCCCTTCCATGTTGTAGCGTCGGACACAAAAGCGGAATAGACACGCAGCCCGCAGAGGCACCGTCTTACGACTGCGATAAATGGAACAATACGGATGTTAATAAAGCGGTAATAGAGTCCAGTGAGTCAATTGCAAATACTGATGAACATTTTGAAAATACCACGTATCTTCTTACTTCTTCTCTGGTCTGCGGCCACGTCTCTTCTCCTCGAGAAAAAAATTGTTTCATATCTTTTCTTTTACCTGATAAGAATATTATAATGAAACGCGGATTCAGATCGAAGTGGACACGTAAAAGACCACATTGCAAAGGTGCGCGATTCAGTTCTCGCCTCCGCGTCGTGAAGACGCGTTATCAAAAAGGGTTAGTAGAGCACCTCAATTCATAGATGCCGAGGCACAGAAAGAACAAGCTCTCTGCATAGATTAAATACTAACTTACATTCCTAGATATAACGAATTTGAGCCATCTTCTGGAAATGATGAAAGACTCCATTCCGCCTCGGTCTCACCCGACGAGAGGCATCAGAATAATTCAGGTAGAATTTTCGAAAAGATCTTCGTCAGGTCGGATTCGGTACATTTAGAATCTGGGGTGGGTCGAGCTTTCTGGACATCGAAAATGAAAGCGCCAGCTACTCGCAAACCTTCCAAGTATCACGTCGGAACTGGGCTAAATCGCGAGCTGGTTCTGCTTTATTTTGCACAATCAAACAGACCCAAAGTGTACGTAAAAAAAGTTAGTCAGCATTCCCTTATTTTACTGCAATCACGATTTCCAAGAAGATCGCTCACCACGATTTGATTATCTTCAGTGTCTTGCGTTGATAGTATCGCGAAAGTGCAGCAAAAGATCGGCAAGTGGTCAGAAATCGTAACACCGGACGAAAAAGGATCGTAGCGATTCGCCTACTTACCGTTTGGCTGACAGGTTGCCCTTGTCAGTTTGGTATGTTATTTTCACACCGAAGGTTTCAAGTCTGTGTGAACTTAAGTAACTGCGAACGCCAATCAATAGGGAAATCGGTTAGAAGTGTCCATGTCCCGATGAACAATCACCAGAATCAGAAACAAGATAGGGGACAATTTGGACAAAACTGCCCATTGACATTGAGCCAACCATTCCTGGTAGAAGGCTTGCAGCAAGCAGGCTCTGCTTCTTCCTTCAGAGGGGTTTTTCCGCACGAACTACAAAAGAGGGCAGCTCTAATGATCTATGAGGAGATGGCAAATACACAGCGTTAGAGTTGGTGGGCGGGGAGTAGTTGTAATAGGAGTAGTGATTGTTCCACGAAGGGGGAGCAGAGATGGAGGAAGCTGCCAGTACTGACTCCCAGCAAAAGGCGAGAAAACAATGCTACTTTTGACTCAAACAAATACTGAAAGGTGAAAACTACAGGGACAGTGATCTTGATGATAATTTTTTATATATGCAACAGCTGAACGTGAACTTTTCGGGTGTTGTGTCTTCATTAAAAATAACTTCTTCCGCAACCGCCATGGTGCCGCTAGTCATCACCCAAAAAGCCATTTCATAAAGCCATCAATGGGGGCCTTGTCGTCGTCGTCTTTTTTTCTGGTGGATTTGGAGGAATAATTTCCGCCCCTCTCACTACCGCGCCGGTCGTTGTCGTCCCACACAGCACCGCTGTGGTAAGGGTCTGCTTGGTCGTAGTAACCGTAGTCTCCCGGCGGAAGGAATGTGCTGGCCTCCAGGTGAGACTGCTCGTCGTAGTACTCATCATCCTGCCAGTCTTCTCTGTCGTAACGGTGACAATATCCTTGGCGGTAGCAAAACAGCATGCAGAAAATTACGACGAGACCACCCAGGACGAGTGCGATCACGACCAAGACGTCTACATCTTCCTTGGGCTTCAAACCCAGCATGTTGTTGACCACACTCGGGGGTGCCGCCCCGATGTGACCAGTAGAAGGCTCAACAGTAGAAGTGGAAGCCTCCTCCACTTTCTTGTGCGATTCCGACTCCTCGTCCTCGACTTCAACATCTTCCACGTCCGTAAATGGGTCGTGTTCTTCGACTTGTGCCCCGTATGGCAGCATCATAGCGATCTTCCAGACTGGAGAGCCCGACTGTAGGGACAGGTTTTCGTCCTCAGTCACACACTCGTCCTTCAAGAAAACGCAGCCTTTTTCACTACCTTTCGGAATCGTAACCACCTTGATCGCAACTCCCCAGCACCTTTCTACACCACGGGCTTCGCACTCTATCATGCAATCCGCCGCATCCCCTTTGCGGTACCAGCTGTGGTTTTCGGCTTGGTAGTCGTCGAACACGATTTTTGTGTTGCCTGCGTATCGGCAGCTAGCCGCGACTTTGTGGCCCCACTCCAATGCGTTGTGCGTTTCCTCGAGGAGCCGCTCCCGCGCCTTGGCAAAGGTTACGTCCCACTTGGCGTATTCTTCGTCTTTCTGCTTCAACCATTTCCTATGTTCTTCCGCCTCCCACTTCGTCATGAAATCGTCGCTGCGGGTACCAAAACGAAAACTGTCCCCATGACGAGGGGAATGACGCCACAGCACCATACGAAATAAAGCCACCTGCTGGGAAGCAATCTTTATTAAACGCAGCCGCGGGAAGATCCCCATTCAGACGCAACTCTCTCAGATCTCAATACGCGACACGGTGGCCCGAATGTGCAAAGTGCAAGTAGAAATTCATATAGCGGGCACAACAAGTAGACGTCGCAACTAGAACTAGTACTACATCAACAGAATTCAAATGCAAGAGTAGCGGATCGGGTTTCAAATATCTTTCTTGGGCAGTGTTTTCTTTTTGGTAGCATTTCAGAGGTTGAAACGTCGCCTCCGTGTCTCTGTAGTGCAACAGAACGTGCGTGGCGGATCCAATCTCCCACTTTTCCTGATTGCCCAAGGAATCCGATGCAAGGTCACGCGACTCCCATTTGTGCTTCTTTTCACTGCACTCTGTGTCCTTGTATTCGGTATGGCACTCGAATGTATCGCCGCGTTTGTGGACGATAATATCAGGGGCATTTCGGGCAAGAAAATTTCAAAATGAAAAATTTTCCCTCCTCCTTGGATCATCTCGGAAGTAAAAAAATTCTGGCCTGTGCTTGCGCATCAACGGAACAACCGGATTATACTGACGAAAATCGTATACACGAAGATTTCAGTTGCAAATAGAGCGAGCAAGGACCACGTCGTAAGTCTACTGCAAGTAAGACAGAATAAAAGTCGCCCTGCTACTTTTAATACTTGTACGCCACACACTGTGCTGAAACTTCTTCCGATGCTGAAGATCTTGCTACAGCTACAATTTTCAATTGCATATTACATGACATGAACTAGCACGATTGATTCATTTGTATGTTCGTTGTATGTCAAGAAGGATGCCGATGCGGAAAAATTTTCACAGGCGTAGCTCGACCGGCGTTGGGGGATTACCCTCGTACCCATATTTGATTGGGCCCGGGTAACATCTGAATCCGATCATGTCAGTGACGGTCTGGCACTTGTCCGTAAGTAGAATCCGACGACCCGTTTCCATCAAACTCCCGACCCCCATGGTATGCTTGTGCGGAGCATCAGGAGCTGCTCCGAGGAGATCCCGGTGCTGCGGAGGCGGGGGTGCGTGCGGTGTAAGTTCGGAGGACAGCTGTACGTCCTTGTCTTCATCCGTGCGAGCGGTCGATGCCACAAGTGCCACCGTGGACGAGCCTGCTGTCTCGTACCCTGGATTTATTTCGCTTTCCTCTACATACATGACGTGCTGCTGTTTCAAACCAGCGGCAAGCAGGGGAGTTTTTGGACCGTCATGTCGAGCAGAAGGACCATCTGCGTCGTGTGTCGCCGCTTTTTGTTTCTGGTTGAGCACTTACACCGGCCTCGGAGGTGAAGTTCGTCTTTTGAATAGCTGCCGAAAAACCCTCGACGAGGCTTGGCACTGGCAGCGGCAGGGCCAGGGGGTAACAAGCTCCGAAAATAACAAAACCACCGCGTAGAGAACTTCTCACCGCGGCTCCACGACGCGGCTGATACGCAGAGAACTGGCGGCTGCGGCGTTCGCGTTCTTCCTCGTACGTCTGGTTCATGACTTTGCGGCCTGGGCCGCTTTGTCCACACTTTCCCGCTGATTTGTGCTATTGTTTCCCTTGCTTTTTCCTCCTGTTCTTGTCTCTGCTGCTCCAGTCGTTGTCTTCGCTCCTGCTCCATCGCCGTGCGTTTTGTGGTTTTTGGTTGTCCTGCTTTCTGTCCTTTTGCTCTCTTTTTCGGCTGTATCTTCCTCTTTGCGTTCAGCGTCGCCCGGATTGCTATCCCGGTCGGCTTTTGTTCCTTGATTAATTCCAGCGTTAGCCCAAAGGCCTCGAGGTCTTGCTTTATCTGTCGACCCCACGGCGTGTTTTTGTGGATTTCTTTCTCTATTCTGCCTACTGACCCTTCTTTCCAGTCGCCCCTGCCGGCGTGCGCCACCCAAGCAATCCGCTTGCCCTGCACTTCGTCTTCTATGAGCTGCACTCCCAGCTCTTCGCATAGTTCTGCCCTTGACCGGTCTTCGTTCCGGTAATGCCCCCCCAGGATCTGGCGGAGCGCGTTGTGCTGGAATTTGCGCAGTGCTGTGTCGCCCGCCGGCGACAGCGACCACGCTTCTGCGTTGTATAGCACTACACTAAGAGACAGGGATCTATACAGTTCGGCTTTCAAATGCGGGGGGAGGCTGCGATCCCGCCAAATTGGCTGCAGCTGTTTGACTACTCCCGTGGCTATCCCGCAGCGCCGCGCAACTTCTGTGTCTGTGGTGCCGTCTTGCGCCACCTCTGTTCCTAGGTACTTGAAGGAGGGAACGGCCTCGACCTCCCTGCCGTTGTACCTTAGTTTGCGCGCGTGTTGTGGCTTTGTTGCTTTTGGCTTGCTTTTCTTCTTTTGCTCTATGAGCCTGCAGGTTCTTAGTGTGCGGAGCTCCTTCACGGTCTTGTTCGGGCGACAGAAACCCGTCGCCTGGTGGAACAAGAGCGCAGTTTCGTCTGGCAAAATGTCACCGCACTTTTCGCAGACGAACTCGTTGCGAGCCTCCAAGACGTGCTTCTTCCTACCTAATCGTATCAGCCGGATGCTTTCGCCGTCCTGGGTGGTAGCCCAACCTGACATCTTGGATGCGATCGCCGTTACCCCGGAGGCGGGGTCGTCCCAAACTATTAGGTGTGTGGGCGCCAGGCCGTTGTAGGACTGGCTTGCGGGCGGGAGGCGGTCCGCCTCTCGTCTCCACTCGTCGGCCCAATCTACGCCGCTCCAGTCTATCATCCACCCCTCCGCACCGTCTAGGGCGCATCTCTCCATCATTGCTTCTGGATTTACGCACCGTCCACGACGCGGCTGATACGCAGAGAACTGGCGGCTGCGGCGTTCGCGTTCTTCCTCGTACGTCTGGTTCATGACTTTGCGGCACGGTTGCATGGCCTTTCGATGCAGGACCTTGCGTTCGTCCTACACGAGACAACAGAGGTGGGCGGAAGGGAAAATAAATAAATCCGTGCTTTTTTGCTTCCATATCTGCCAAGCGAAAAGTAGAACTCTCGAAATTATACGATAGCACAAAAAGGAAAACGTCTCGATTTTCGCAATTGCTGTTCGGAGATTGTCGTGTCATCGGGGTGAGACCTTGCCGTGAAGGGACTTCTACGTTCTACTCGTATAAGTACTTCCTGACCGGTGACTGTGAACTAAGTTTCATCAGGCACCCCTACAAAACGAATTCAATTTTTTTATTTCATTTGTCTATGACACAGGAGCAGGACATACAGCAGGGAAAGAAAAGGAGCTTCCTCCGATTTCTTCATCACGCCTATTTCTCAGTGTGAACGAACAAGTAATCTTCTGTACTTGCAGACGAAGGTGTACGGCTCGCGCGTTGAGCGCGGACGAAAAAACATCACCAGGAACGAAAGAGTAAATCTAAACTCATGCGGAGTGTGCTTTCGATGGGATAATAATTTGGAGATGGAGCAGTGGTGTCATCTTTATTACGAACGAGGCGGAGTATCAATACTTGAACGACATTTCTTGTTCCAGCACGAAGGAACCGCGATACTGTACGATTTTGTTCGCAGAAATATGAAGAAGCATCTACTCGTCGCGCCGGTTTATTTGCGGGACCAGCGTATAAGGTAGGGTACACCTTCAACTTGCATTTATTCGCTGGAATGAGGCCAAATACTTTTACTTTTTCCGTGCTGCACGCGAAGCAACGGCTCCATTTCGCGTACTGCAGTTGTACGAGTGTGGGGGCGAATCGTGTGGTGAGGCAGATAGTTTTGGAGAAATGGTGTCGTGGGGATCACAGAAAGGCATTGCCGAAAACGGAAAACCGGGAACAGAAGTGCTGGAGAAGTTCTGATATAATATAACACGCTGCAGAAAAAAGACTACGTAGTGAAAGTGAAAATCTGTTTCGATATCACAACCCAGAGCAACTCGTCTGGGGAGGTCACGCAATAGAAGAAGACAGGGATGCAACGAAGCTTCACTGCCCAGCTCTCATGCGTGAACGTGAAGATTATTGCGGTATAGAGACGCGAGAGCGTGTAGTTTCTACACTGAAACAACACTTCTAGACGCCCCCATCGAGATCTGGATCGATTCAGTTTGGAAATTGAAGTGGCGACGAATGTGACACTACAAATTTCTAAATTTTTTGCAACACGTGAATTTGATAAAGCCTCTCAGAAGTAGCAAGTGTGGGAGAACGAGGCGGCAAATACTCCGTACGGAGGGAAAAAAGGGGGTATCTAGACGTTTGCCTTCAACGCTACTGTTAGAAAGATCGTGGAAGAGAAAATTTATCACGTAGCTACTTACTTGTTGTCGTCACCAAAAAGCCACTTGATGACTCCATCAATTGGAGCCTTGTCATCGTCACTTTTCTTGCTGGATTTCGAAGGGTCGCCGCGCCTGTGACTTCCTCCTGCCCCTCGAGACACATCTCGATGGTGCGATGGCCCGCCGCTGTGCTCGTCGTGTCCTCTGCCAGAATGAGAATATTGATCATCGTCATAACCATAGCCATACCCGCCATCTCTATGGATGTGTCAGAGTTGAAATCGACAAAGTTGAAATAAATTGTCATGCTAAACCGACCGAAGCCACTACATTGTCATGCATAAAATGGATGCAAGTTGGACTTGGAACCAAGTTTCCAAGTGGCGCATGACAAATTTCGGTGGTCCCTGAATCCAGTTTGTCATGCTGCTTAGGCAAAGAAGAGTGATTTTCTCATGCTACTTTAGCAGCTCGAGCTGTAACCCCAAACAGGCTTACAATCGGCCTCACTTGCCTGCTCTGCAACGCACGTACCTCGGGCCATGCATTTTATGCATTACAAATTATTTCAACTTTGACGATTTCAAACCTGACGCTTCCATAATCTCCCTTTCCCCCGTAATCCCCGCCGTAGTACCCGTCGTTTCCCTTACCTCCGTAAGAGTAAGACCCGCCTCTTTCGTAGGATTCGTTAACGTAGCCTTCAGGTGCGTACGAGGCGGAGGCGTCGTTCTCGTTTTCCCAATATTCGTCTTCCGCTCCATGAGTGGTGCCGCACAACAAACACACGACGAAGAGGAGCACAAAAGCTACGCCCACACCTGCCGCAACGAGGATCAAGGTACCGTCGTCCTCCTCAGCTAGATCAGTCGTGTTTCCCGCCGCGGCCGTGGTTGTTTCTGTAACGACTTCTCCTTTGTCATCCGTATCCGGGTCCTCGAGCAAATTCTCAAAGGTGCCCTCTGGTGGAGCTGCGTATTGTGAAGAAAAGTCCAACCCCCCATATTCAGACGAGGCTAGTTTGCTTGCTACATTGTTTGATTTCTTGAACCCAAAAATTAGTCTTTCCAGAAAGCACAGCTACAACTCCACCGCGTTGAATCAAGCAAGTGATTTCTCCAACGTGTTGATTCGTCTGCAATAGAAGTTTCTATGCCGAATACTTAGGTAAGCACTACCTAATCGCTTTCCTCCGGGGGCTTCGGATCTGCGTGCATTTGATTCTGCAGACGCTGACGCAGTCCTTCTCCTTTCGCACATGACAACCTGTGTATAGAAATCACGCCACCCAAACTCGTTGCAACTGCTAGAGGTTGTCTTTTTTTTCGTGATACTGCCGTTACGTGATTCAGGGGATTCACGGTAGTCACCGACATGTCGATGATGTCGCTGACTGCCGCTTTCCACGCCACGTGCCAGATATTTCCCTGCTTGTCGAGCGCCTCTGGGTCCGCAGGTTCGCATTTTTCCTTCAAGAAAATACATCCTTTACGACTTCCTTCGGGCACCTCGAGGAACTTCAGCGCCACCCCCCAGCATCCGGTCCACGCATCCATGCACATCTTCATGCACTTTGCGGCCTCGAACTCCTGGAAGGCCTATCAGAGCGAAAAGAATTCCTGTCAAACATATCACTTTGTACCTTTCATGCGAACGCAAACTAAGTAAGTACTTTGTTCCTGCTCGTAATGAGAAATAACGCCGATGGTGCAAACATCACAGTACGCTATCAATTGAATCGTGATCGTCTCGATGTAAACAGATCCCGCTGCCGAACGAAACCAAACGGCATGGGCAGAAGTTCACGAGGAACCACGGAGCAGCCCACGATCAGGCAGTCCGTCGCAGCAGCGAAGGTTTCGCATGAGCAAAAAAACTGGGTCATTTTTCATCTAAGACTAAAGGCGCGTGTTCTGCTTCTCAATACAGTATGCTTAACTTTAAAGTCACAATTCTATATATATTTTATTCGTTCATCTCAGCGTTTTTGGGACCGGGAAAGCACTTTTCATCCTGGTAAGGCCCTATGTTCCTTTTCGAGCCACTCGTCAAAATGCAGCTCGATGCTGTTAGGATCGTAGTTGTCGTCGGGCACCCAGTAGGCGCTACAGAAAAGCGACTTGTGATAGACCCACATCATCTGGTCCTCCGATTCCTTTTGCAGTTCGTTCTGCGCTGCGCTGAAGGTGGGGGTCCATTTTTCGTTTTCAGCGTCAACCCGGGCAATGTACGCCTTCCACGCCGCATCCTCCTCACGGGTCTTGTACCCGGAGCCGCATTTCAGTGCTTGAAAGGTGGCGCGTTCGTGTTCCGGATTGACATAGATGTGCGTAATCTCGCTCCTGGAGACGCCGAAGTCACCGGTATCTTCTTGATACCAGTGCGCTTCTGACCACGGCCAAATGTCTCTCCCCCAACAGTCGAAGTCAAACCTCCCATCAAAATGTACAATGCGAGCTTCATGCCCCGGAAGCCACGTCGTGCCGCCGCTGGGATACCTGATCTGCTCCGAGTCGCATCCTATCGATTCAATGTTCCCGATGGTGAGGCAATTTTCGTCGGGATTCGTCCGATCAACAGGAATTACTTCATCGCCTTGTGTTACTTTGGTACTTTTTGCGGTGTCGTGTCGTGTGTGCTGCGAAGATAGGCTCAGCTTCTTCCTTTCGCTAGTCGCAGCTTGGACAGCCATGTCGTGGTGAGTGTTTGTTTTTTTCTTAGTCGATGACATTTTTCCGCCAGCTGCGGCCTTATCCGTGTTCTTCGACACGATGGCGAGCCCATTTGCGAGCTTGATGGGGGGCAAGCTTGCGAGGAACAGAGGACGGAGCTTAAAACAGTTAATCCATCTGTCCCTGCTATTTTTCGACGTCATAGCATTCGTGTTCTCAGAAAGACGCATCGTGTTTATTAGCAGAAACGACTGCGGTCGGATTCCACGCGCCGAACCGATGCTCTTCTCGCCGTCGCTTTCGCGGCCGAAAAATGCCGAGCAGGTGAGAAAAAAGAGTACTTCAAGAAATGGTGGCGGGACTGAAAGAGCGAAAACAGAAGCACAAGATGCCAAAACTCACGAGCAGTTGCTTCCTTTCATCTCACACCTGGGAATACATCATCCTCATCTATAATCCAACCTGGTACAAATAGAAGATTCTCTCTTATTTTCTGTGATGTAGATGTAGTATCAATTTGATTCTTCTCCTGTTTATGAAGTTGCGACTTTATTAACGAAGGAAAGGGGTTCCCAGAAGATCCCAAAAATATACGCTGTGGGGTGAAGGGGTGCATTCGTCTACTTCCGGTCAAAAACTGTCAAAATTTCGAGCACTCCTATCTTATGTGAAACTATGTTCTTCTTCTTTATCTTTTTCGAACAACAGTTCTAGTGCTCGCGTAGTAGCGCAATAAGCTGTTGTAGCCCGTCGAACGATGTAAAGAGCAGATTTATGGTCAGGCTCAGGGGCTCCATGAAGAACGATAGCGTATTGATACGAGTTTGTAGAACGATGTATGGGAGGACGACAACGACAGGTTGTTTCTTAGTCATTCAAGATGAACGGGAGGACCGAGATTGTTTCTTATTCAATTATGCTGCGCGATCGATTATGACGCTCACACGATTCAGTCTGCACGACGCCAAACGCAAACAAAACGACAAAAGCACAAATACAACGACGCACAGAACGGCACTGCGCGTGAGTGTTCACTACGAAACTCGCATGCAGAAGCGAACACCTCGTCCTGCGTTGCAATTTCTTATTACCTTGCAAAGGTGCTCGGCTACTTTTGTTGGTATGCTTCATACAGAAGAGCTGTCGACAATGTAGTACATCGGAGGGAGAATGTTGGCCACATCTTCGTGGTCAACTGCGTTACCAAATCCAAACATGCTCTGAGAAAAACTCGAGAGAGCAGTACGAGATGACAATGCGATTCTGTTGTACAACATCGAATGGGTGGTTCTGAAAAACTCTGAATGAACGAGGTGGAGGGGCCCGCGTAGCAGCAACATTACTTCTTGTTGTGCAACGGATTTCGATTCTTCAGTCTTCCCTATGTATAATTAGTCTGAAGAAACCGAAACAAAACGCGGTGCCACCGCCTTTTACAGGTGCTGCTGCTGTTGCGTGCTGTGTAGCCATATATTCCGACCACGGAAGTGGTCTCGTTTAGCGGTCTCCTTTATGACGTCGGTCACTCCCTCAGGCGAAGTGCTTTTTGACGCCGACGCTGCCGCGGGGGCGGCGGCACATCAGGATCATCAACATCACGATAGGTTCTATTTCAAATTCAATTTGTTGCCTGATACTATATCAACAACTCCGTCCTCACTGTCCAAGCAACTGCGCGTGGATATTCGCCTGCACAAGACTGGTATCCGCTTTCTGGTGTAGTATCAAGCCCCTGTGCGTGATATGAAACAGAAAAAACCCAATGGGAACGCGTGGCCCACTGTTTCGATAGATTGCCAAGCTGCTTTTCGTGATCTTCGTTTTTACTGCAGCACCTGCACCAACAGGATTGGATGCTCTACCTCTACCTTGTATTGTTGCATAGTATATGCCAATCCGCACGGCATTCTCATTCAGCTCAGCCATTTACAAGACCTATGATCTTGCTGACAATCAATGTCCTTGCCATGATCGAAGAATTTTTTTATAACATCAATGGGCCACCACGCTAGTTCCTTCGATGAGCTTCTTCGCTTTTCGTAGGAGAAGAGGAATTTCCGCATGGGTTCCCAGTTCTTCCAGAACTCCTGGTCTTTGCGGCTTTCGGCCTGGATGCACGCAATGGAGAAGGCGACGTAGAGGTTGAACATTAACGTGGTTTGCACGAACCACACCAGCGCACAGAAGATCAAACCTGTTCCAAACGGCTCCGGAAGGACCTGCTGGAGGTACCATGGCCAGGGCGATCAAACCGAAAAACCGACTCCGTCTACACTCCGAATCTGATTTCGTCCCACCAATGCGCTTGCGTTGTCACAAGAGTTGGACACAATCATGCAAATCGTTCTTTTCATTTTCAATTTCAGAAGAAATGCCGTCTCATCTTTCATGTAAGTTGTAACGAGACTTCCGCAACAATGCATGAAACGGGGCATCGCATCGGCGTGCACAAAAAGTCGTCGACTCAAGCCGAACCGCCTGCCTGTCACACGAAACAACATTTTTTGCGGAAAGAATGCAAAATGCAGCACCACAAGCATCAGCTCAGAAATTATGTGTATATACGTAGAAACCAGATGCAGGTGTAGATCCAGCAGAGCTTTCGTTTTCATAATGGGTGCTGGTAGCTCATTTCTTGCACCAAGTCAGGGAACGCATTGGAGAAGAACTGTGTTTGTATTTGGAAGCATAGAAGCAAGTGCAAGGGATGCGAAAGACACACATTAATTTGCAGCATTCGAGTGCAGTTCGATTCGCTTCTAAGCAAGTTCTAGAGTTCGTAAAAATTTGTATGTGTAAAAGGGGACGATTAGCAGTAGCTCGTACAACGCGTCATCACAAAATTGAAAAGAAAAAACGTACGATTGATATGAGCGTGAAGATGCCCATGCCAATATCGTTGAAGTTGAGCGCGGTGTGGCTGGAGTAGTAGCTGCCGTTTCGGTCCAGGTCCTCCGGTGACGGATTGGTCTTGCCTAGCATGCCGCCCCAGCCCATCTGCCCCAGGGACGCGAAGAAGAGCAGGCAGACAAACAGGAGGCAGATAATCTCCTCGCAAACGAGCACCATCCGCGTGACGGACACCAGCAGGTCGCGGAACTGCCGCGTCCGGGCGAGAATCCGAACCAACCGGAGGATTCGGATAATGTTCACCGAGCGAATGATGCCGGACGCGCCCTTGATCCCGGACACGCGGACCATGGAGACCGAGAACAGTGCGACGGAGGTGAAAAAGTCAAACTGGTTCGACGGGTTTTTCTTCCAATATTCCGCAAAAGACATCACGGACAACTTCGCGCACACCTGAGAGTAAGTAATATGAAGCGTGTTTGAGAGCATGGACAAGCAAAAGCATCCAACAAAACTACAAAAGGGCTGTGGACAACAAAGAAACACTCATGCAAGAGCAAACTAAAAATTGTAACTCCATGATGCAGAGAAAGGTGCAAACATTCGAGAATGGAGATTGCTTTCGCATCACTGATTTCCTTTACATCTGAAGTGAAGAACTCCATGTGAAAAGATAAGTACCTCCCCCATGTAGATGATGGAGAAGATGAGCTCGACGGTCTCGCCGTTGCTCTTCCACTTGGCCTGGAACGCCGGGCTGCACTCGCTGGACACGAGGCCGTCCGCGATCATGTAGACCAAGTTGATGAGCAACACCGTGCCTATTATGTCGTCCACGGCGCCGCTCTCCACGTTGAGCTGCAGGCGCTTCAGGAACTTGAAGATTCTCTGCGCACGCTCGGGCGACATCACGTAGAAGAGCCACTTTGCCGTGCGGGAAATTTCCTTCGGGTCTTTCACCAGGCCCTTGGTTTGTATCCCGCCCGGGTGGCTCATCTTGTCCGGCTTCTCCCACCCGACGGACCGTCGCAGCAGGTCCAACACGTCGGACTTGCTCGGGGGCGGGCTGTCGTTCTGATTCTTCCCGGCTTTCGTCTGCACCAGGTCCTCCAGCAACCGCGCGCTGGTTTGCACGCCCATTTCCGTCGTGGGCGAGACGCTTTCCCGCGGCTGCGGGATCGGGGCGGACTCCCCCTCGGGCATCTGCACGTACATGTTATCCACTGTGAGTCTCCCTTCTCCCCCGGCGTCCTCGCCCGCCGCCGGGGCCACTTGTTGTTGCTCGCCCTCCGCGGCCTTCGCGGCGGCGATCTGTTCGCGGGTGAAAGCGGCGTTCACGATCGCCTTCAAGTTGGCGTCGTGCTTCCGGTCCTTGTGCGGAACGCCGGCGTTGCGCACGATCTCCAGCGTGTCCTCCTCGATGGCGTGCTGGTAGTACTCGTCGTGCTTCATCAGGATCCGCGCGCTCTTCCGGCCGACCAAGTGCCGGTGGTTGTCGTTGGAGTGCAGCGCGAGGCTCTCGCCGAGCAGCTCCAGGATGGGGCTGTCCCGCTTGGTCACCCAGATGCGCAGGTGAATCGCCGAGAACAGGTTGAAGAACTCCTCCTTGCCGAGCCGGCGGTCCCGCGAATGGTCCAGCATCTCGAACATGAAGGGCAGCACCGAGATGTCGATGGGCGTCATCTCCGGCAGCGAGTTGAGCACGGTGACCAGCATGTGCATGTCCCCGATGCTGAGCCCCTCGTAGTCCCCGCACAGGTCCTGCAGCTCGACGAACGCCTTCTCCAGGCCCTTGGTCGTGTGCGTGGTCAGCTTCAGGTAGTCCTGCTTGATGAACTCCTCGTACTGGCTGTACACCGTCGCCAGCACCAGGTTGGTGAACACCACCGCGCCCATGAACATGAAGAACAGGTACAGCAGCGCCAGCCACCGCAGCCCCTGCATCGCTGGCAGCATCTCGTCCGGGAAGTTTGCCGTCGTGCCCATGTAAAAGTAGGACTCCACGGACGACGCAAAGGTCGAAAACTTCATGATGTCCGGGTTTTCGGGCGTACCGGGGGGCACGACAAAGCTGGAAGAACTGCCACTACTGCTCGGCGTCGAGGGCGGGGCAGCCGTAGTTGCATTTGACGTCGACTGTTCCGATAGTATGTCGCTCGCGACAGGATACTTGTCTAGTGCGAACGCAGCAGATTTTTCCATTCTGCGCACTTCTTCTTCTTCCCCGCCAGAGGAGCCCGCAGTTGCAGCTGATATTGGTCCTGCTCGTGTCCTCTCTTCACTAGTAGCTCGTCCCGCAGCGGCGGCGGCCGCTGCTGTTCTTGCCGCGCTCGGCAGATCCTTGCCCGTCGTCGGGAACATCAATGGAGCTCCCCCGCCAATAGAGGAGGACAATTCCGCGAACATGCTGAGCATCGAGGGCGCGGACTGCGGCACCTCGCCGGTGTAGGCGAGCTCCGGGTGCTCCTGCAGCTGCGTGGTGAACACCTGCTGCGTGGCCCAACCGAAGAACAGGATGTTCGCGATGAACAACGCCAAAATGTTCCGCCAGCGCGGAACCGTGTTCAGGACCGCGGTCACCACGGTCTTCATAAACCGCCGGGTGAGGATCATCCCGGTGGAGGCGAAGGTGATCAGCTGGAAGGGGCAGTGGTTCAGCATGAACACCTTGGCCTCGTGGCAGTAGTAGCCCACGCTGGAGGCGTCCTTGCCCGCGTCGAAGAAGCGCCCGATCTCCTGGAGCTGGAAGGCCACGAACATCAGCAGCGACATGACGCTATCAAATGCAAAAGTGTCTGGGTCTGGAATGTTGCCGGGTTTGTCATGCATATTTTATATGACCCAGGTTGTCTCTAATGCACGACCTAGGATCACAGATTTTTAGATGGCTTCCTGATGTCTACCCCGCATGACAAATGCCCTCTTCGCGTAGCACAAACTAGCCTCCTCTTGCTGGTCATGCAATACAGATTTTTTTAGAGTCCAAAGCTAGCATCACAAGTTCCCACCTTCCAGACCCAGACATTTTTGCATTTGATAGACGCCCCCGACGATGACGCAGCCCCACTCCCAGTAGGGAAACGTGGACTGCATGCACTTCTTCCGGTATCACAGTGAAAAATGCCCCCCACCCCTGAAATTGCAACAATTTGTGATGCGAAGTTTCCAAATGAAAGCTTTTTGTCATGCATGAAAGGAGTGCGAATCTTTCTGATGCAGATTCTAGTCGTGTTTCGCATCGCTTGCATGACAAGCACCGCTCTTGCTGGGATCTTTTGCAATACAAATTTTTGCTATTCACGATCGGAAATCTGTGATGCTGATACACGCAAGAGGGCGAATGTTTCATTTGGAAAGATTTGCAATACAAATGCTTTCAAGTTCGGGGGTGGGGGCATTTTTCATTGTAATATCCGGTCCTCCTCGCTCTTGAAGTTCTTCTTGTAGATGTACTCCTTGTGCAGCTTGAGCGCGAACACGAGGAAGGCCGCGATCTGGATCAGGCTGGTGACCACCGGGTTCAGGGTCGGCACGTTGCTTAGATACAAGTCCGGCGGGCACACGTCCGGGTTCCCCGTGTCCACCACGATGCTGGAGGACGTCCCGGTGAAGAACGAGTAGATGTCCGTGGGCTCCTCCGCCGCCGCGTTTGCGTCGCCCGGCGTGACGCGGCGCTGCCAGATGGTGGTGGGGTCGCGCAGACAGAAGATGGGCACGCGGATGAAGTTCACGATCAGCAGCGCGATCACGAGCTTGCGGGTCCGCTTGTTCCAAGTGAGAAAATCGATGAAGGCGTTCCACGACTTGCGGTCTGTGGGGTACTCGTTCACGAAAATGCCACGGTCCGCGTCGTGGATGCGCCACGCGATGGTTTCCAACGTGACCAGCTCGTGGTGCGGCACCTCGTCGGAATCGTTGTCGTCGATGTCCTCGAAGTGCTTGCTCTGCGCCAGCCGCTTGCGCGCCTCCGCTTTCGTCGTGACGTGGTCGGGACTGCCGTAGGACCGATGGCTTTGGTCGCCACTCCGCCCGGAGTCGCCCTCCTCCACGCCGAGGAGCTCGTTCACCTTTTCTACCTCGTCCTCATCCGCGTCGCCCGGCGCGGTCGCGCTGCCCTCGGCCCCGCGCCGCTTCTTTTCGCTCGGGGACAACGAAGCCTCAAACTCCGCGCGCAGCTTGGCCTCCTCCTCCGCCTCGGTAGTGGATGGGTCCACGTGGGTCTCCGGGGTGGTGAATATCTTTGTAGACGCCTTGGCGGAGTGGTATACCTGTGGATTTATTTGTTGTGGATTGATAGATTGCAAGAACCGCTCCGATGCTGCTCTGTGCTTCTTCATCAACTTTGAAGACGCACAGGGAAAATATATCCAATGATAGATTGTGCCTCCATTATTATCTATCATATTCTTTTCTGTGCGATAAAACGGAATGCATCAAAGAACTCAGTAGTGATGTAGAAGCAAGTAGAAACTTACCCCTGGGTATTTGTCGCGCGCTCGATAAATCGTTCGTAGAAAGAGACCGCTACCGGACTGACTGGCGTCCCGCTCCTCCATGCTCTTTCGTTCCAGCGGCGCCTGGAAGCGAGATACGCGCGGCCGGTCAAACTCCGACTCCTCCACATGCAGGAGAGTTTCCTTCAGCGACTCAAAGTACGCTGCGTCGGAAGTACCGAAGTACGCCATGCTAGCGGTTTGCCGGAGAATGTGAAACTAGAAAAGATGGGTCAGCTGCAGATTACACAGCGTCTTTTTTATGGATGAAGATTGCGCGTAAATGGAATCATGCTGTACATGGCTGACCTGACATTCGTATGTCTGTCATTCTGACTTTCTGTTTCTTCATGATGTACTAGATAGGTAGGTAACTAATGTGCAGTGCCAAATGTTTCGGAGAAACTTCCAATGGGGGGGGAGGATAGGCTGTGCAGTATTAATTTCAGAAAAGCTAAATTCCAGTCAGAATGCGGCAACGACGACGACGAGAAGAACGGACGTACTTAGATACACATACATAGAACGAAAAAGAAGACGAAGTGATGCCGTAACGTAAATCAATGGTGCACGACTTGACGACTTGCACGAAGACACGGCAGCACATTCTCTATCTCGAAAGAGGTTTGGGACCGAAAGCCTTTCGTTTGCGCTCGCATTACCGAAGTAGAAATTGGAATTGCATTGCGAGCGGAAGCGACCACTAAAGGACGATACGGTATACAGACAAGAGGCTGGCGATTCTCGCAACCGATGAGCTGCAATGACTTGTGCCCGCGTCAGGTAATCATACTAAATGATGCACGAAGTTAAAGACAACTTGGAGGTGAACGGTACCGATTTTCTACTAATACACCGACGCGGGTATTTCAATTTGATTTTTCTTGCCCGAAGAAGTTGCACTTTCATTTCCGCCAGTACAGCAACAGATTACCTTATACTCTAGTTTTTGTTCACGTTCAGCTCGCTGCTGCATATCAAGGAACAATCCGACACAACCGTGTCAGCGGCCAAAACGAAAAATTAAAAGTACGAAATACTTTCTCAACAAAAAGAGGGAGGACGATTGATGATTTATTGACTTTAAGGCAGAAGTCTTTATCTTGTATACTCCTGAAACCGAAACAGGCTACTGCTCGAGCAGTGGCAGTTTTGAAATCTTACAAACCAAAGCAGTGCCCCAGTCGGAGCAGCCTGCATCACCACAACTTTTCATGATGTTGATAGATAGTTTACTTATTCAAACTCTCTTCGTAGCAACTTCTGGCGCCACGTTTGGCGTCAGGAAGAAGTTGTACGCTTCGCGCTTCTTTTCTGCGTCGCTTTCAGTGTCGGCAAAGGGTCGCTCGTCCACTCCTTTTGCTCCGGATTGCTTCCGCGCAGCGGCTGACCCTCCCGTCAAATTTCCAAATTGCAGTTTCGGGGCTTTCAACCACCCAGGCGTGCTGAAGCGCGACTTACTTCTCTTCTCTGGCAGCGTCGACCCCGCACTACTGGCACGACCGAAGTCGTTGTTTGCGTTCTGGAAATCCAGGATGTCGCTGCTGGTACTAGACAGAAACTCTTTTCCTTTGTCGCCTGTGCGGATCGGGTTCTGTCGTGCTGGTCCTCCTTGCGCGAGATCATTCTTTTTGTCATCCCCCAGCCGTTTGTTCCCACTGCCTACTTCGCTGCTTTTTGCGGCGAAATTTTTCGATGGCGTGACGCTAAAAGAGGAACGGGTGTTGAGATGAGCACCGGGTTCCTCTCCCTGCTTGCCGTTCATACTGGCGATCGAACCAACATGACCGCCAGCACTGGCGTTCGCCGCTACCTGTGACTGGCGCAGTTTTTCCACGGCCCGGCTCGGCTTTCCCCACGCAAACGGCAGGCTCTCGTCAGCCGAAGATGCAGCTCCGGTCTTGCTCTTGCTACCGGTAGGTGTTGAAGAGACGCTTCCGGTCGTCCTGTTTCCCTTCCACTTCAAAACCGCGGGCGGATACTCGGTCACGAGTTGGGACTGCTTCGAGGCGCGGGGAATTGGTTCCTGCGGCACATAGTCTTCGTCTTCGCTGGAGAGAAATAACTCCGGTGATGTTTCCGCTTTCGGCGATGGAGATGGAAACATGGGCGAGTCGGGCGAAATGGCTTTCCCCGACGGCCGAATTCGCATTTTTGTCCGTCGTGGTCGCGCACCCTCATCAGTTGTTCCCTGTTCTTTTTCTTCTTTCTCTTTCTTCGCCGGAGTTTTTGTGCCATACCCGGCTCCAACGGCCAACACTTCTTGTTTCATCTTCTGCCGCATGAAATTCTGACTCCCCTGCTCAAGTTCTTCAACGTCCACTGTTTCGGCGCCTGACGAATGCAGAAGCTCCTCCTCGTCTGTTTTTGTGCGATCGCCCGGTTGTCCTGGAGTTGCGTTTTCAGCTTTCGCTTTCGTAGGTGTGTAGCTCAAATCGAGATCTTCGACGAGCACTGTCGAGGGCGGGCTCACCGCGCTCGTTGGCGGCCGCACGGGAAAGCGCGTCTCGCTGCTGAGTCGCGGTCTCTGATGCGACAACTTCCGTCTCTGCGAACTGCCGGGTTCTTGACCGGCGCCGTGTTGTCTATTTCCAGGACTAAATACGCCCTCGTCGATGACCTCTGCGGTACCGCACGGAGTCAGATTCCACGGGCTCACGACAAGATGCGCAGGCAATTGGTGCGGACTGGTTGGGCGCGGTTCTGCAATCTGCGTCGTTTCCGGGCTGGAGAGCCCGAGGCTGGCGCTGGCGGATTTACGAATCAGCAGGGGAGACGCAGGCGACTGAATCGGAGGGGCAAGAACGCGCCCGAGCATCTGCCGTGTGTTTGTAATGGACCGACGGTTGGTGGCAGGCTGAAACGGAAGACCGCCTGTCCTCGTCGAGGAGGTTTCACCCTTAGCAGTACCGGCTGAGACAACAGTCGGCTTCTTCCATGTCTCGGAGGCTCTACTGCGGTCAGGAGCTTCGGGAACGGAAATAGTCTGCTCCGTCTCACTTCGACTTTGCAGTTTTAGTGCTGCGGGAACTGCTTCGAGACTCAGGGTCGACGCACTGCGGCCGCGCGGCGTAGCAAAGGCCGTTTCATCCAGGTCAATGACATTCGCTTCCCCGCTGGCAGTGGACCGCGCACTAAATTCGATCTCGCTTTTGTCCTCCGAGCTGGCGGACCGGCTGCTTTTCGCGAAATATTCGTTAATCAGTCCGGCGGTATCCTCGACATCTTCACTCAGCGCAGCGAGCTTGTTCCCGGGAACTTCTAAATTGCCACTTGACACAGAAGTTGCAGCAACTCCACCGTTCAACTCACTGTTGTTTGTGGGGTGAGGAACTACAGCGGTGCTTGAAGTTGATAACTTCTCAAGAACCAGAGGCTGCTGCACAGCAGGGCCCTGCTGTTTTTCATTCTTTGCTCCTTCACCGCCACGTATCGCTGCGCTGGACTGCTCAGATGAAAATGATCCTGCCCCGGCGCCGGAACTGCCAGCAGACGCCGAGGAGCTCAGTGTTCTGCCAGATGAGTTTAACGCTGTCGAAGAGGACGCCGACGGGACCACTGCATTTTTACCCGGGGCAAGCGTGGAAAGCGTTGCGGTCCCTTGCTTGCGCTTCGGCAAGGGTTTCACCACCTCCTGCTCGTCTGGAACGAAAAATTGCAGCGTCGTCGCACCAGCTTTATTCCCCGTACTTACTCCTGTTTCCCCGAACCTTGACGAATGGGTCTCGAAGGGGCGCGGCAGCCGCTGGATGGGCGCGGCAGGGGCGCTGCCGCGCTGGATCGTGCTAGGGCTCATTTTGCTGTTCCGCTCGACCAAATCGCCGTACTCGTCCTCGTCAAGGTTGTCCATCGGCGAAAAAGAGGCCGTGCTCTCTTTCGTACCGGAATTCTGAAGTCCTCCAGAGGTTTCTTTTTTCCCCGCGAACGGAGTTGCACCATTTTCGCTTTTCGCATGACCTTTCTGCTGCGAAGTACTTCTGCCGGTCGACGAGGTAGATGACCTATTGCGCCGCTTCAGCAAGCGAAACTGCCCGAAATCCGGCAACAGAACCAGCTCGAACACGTAATCCGGTAGTTTGAAGAACTGCAGCATGGGGTCCATGAAAAAGCTCGAGTCCGTGAACAGGGCGGTGTTGTGCGACATGGCCGCAGGCTCGACTAGCAAGCGGCGCTGCGGAAGGTCCAGGGCGGCCGTCGCGCCGCACAACGTGTCGTACAGCATGCGGCTGTTCTCCGGCTGCACGACCGAGTCCTTCTGCCCGTGGATGATCAGCGTGTCCGCGAGCACGTGCTTGATTCGCAAGCTGTTATTGAACGCGTCCTCCTTCACGACGTTGCGGGCCACGAACTGTCCGACGCGCTCCGCGGCGACCTTCTGCAGACTCTAAAATGGCGAGATCAAGGCCACGCCGCCCAGGTTGGGGAAGCTTGCGGCCAGCGCGAGCGCGGACACGCACCCGATGGACCGCCCGACCACCAGAATGCTGTCCAGCGGCCACTGCAGCTCGTGGAGCGCGAAATCCAAACAGGAATTCGCGTAGTCAATCATGGCCTTTTCACTCGGGGCGATCGCCCGGTTGGCGAGTCCATAGCCAGGCATCTCCGGTGCCAGCACGTGGCACTGGAAGCAGGTGCGCAAATTCTTGCAGAAGTCACGGCTGGTCCCCAGGTCCTCGGCGTTGCCGTGGAAAAAAAGCATGCAGTACCGCGCAAAAGCATTGTTCGATTTTAGAAACAGTGTCGGAATGCGGAAGTTCTTCTCGTCCTTGCGTCTCGTCACGTCGGGAATCCAAATCACGTTGTCAGAGTCCGGCTCGTACGTCGGGTGTGGCCGCGGAAACAGCAGCGCGTGGAGGACCTTCTCAACCATTTTTGTTGCAGCTTTGCCTCTCAAAAGGAAGATTCTGAAATTAAGAGTATCATATCATACATGGTACTCTGTGTTTGTGAGCGGACCAAGGGGACGACAGAGCAGCGAAGTAGAATTGTGGTTTTATTCTGATCTACCACAAGAAAAAGCAACCAGATGTAGACACAGCCTCACAGTGTCGCAATTCTCTCGTGGTACCTCCAACAGAAGAAATTCATGTAACTCAAACACAAAGACATCGCTTGCAATGGAACACAACTGGCCCGAAAAGGCGTGGAGAATTCGCGGAATGATCTTTTGCTTGTTCCTAGTTGTGGTACTACCAGAAAAAGCCTGCGTCCTCGCAACTTGAAGTACTATATTTGTGACTACGCGCGTGCGACTCGCCGCGGACGCGAGAGCGATTGTTTTCTCCTGATCACTTTAAAATTTCCTTCTTGTAACTATTGACCTTCATCAAAAAAGCATCATACAAACAAGTTGATATGCAGCTCCAACAAATTTTTACACGCAAACCAGCAGAGCAGGTAGCTCTTTTCAAATTGAAATTTCAAAAAGTTGTTTACAGTTGCGGAGAAGAAGTTTGTAGAGAAACTTACTTATTTCATTTTACAGTTTGTGTGCAGGAGGCGGTAGAAGATCGCTACCTACGTTTCGCCCTAGGTGGTCGTGCGAAAGAACCTGGTTCCTATGCGGCGTTGTGACTGTGTTCGTTCTACTGATTTCTAGTGGCAGCCAGCACAGGTTTGGGTGTTCCTCCGCGTTTCGTAAGTGCTCGTATTCCACTCGCAGGACCATCCAGGCCGCCCGGCGACCAATCTCGAAACTCCCAACGACCAACTGGAACAGCTGGGCAATGAGCACGCTGCCACCCGTCATCTGCTTCAGCTGCTCCAAGCCGATCAGGGTCGCTGCCGGCCAGGTGACGCGTCCAATGATAGAAATCACCAAATAGCTGCGCCACTGCTCAACTGGAAGTAAGCAGGAGGCGGTCCGAAGCGTGTACACGTCACTAGTCGTGAAGGAACTGGTCGAATCCGAATCCGGAAGCTCAGAAAGTAGTAGAGCCGTATTGACTTTCCTTCTATCACCAGGATAAAAAAGCTCCTTCTCCCGATCTTTAGTATTGTGGCCCTTGCTGGTATGAAGCGTGGTTTCTCCCAGCCGCGTCCTCTTTTCTCGCAGTTGCTGCTGCGCTGCAATATCCTCTGGCGACCCGGTGGACGCCGCAGACGCGGAGGAGTTCGCCTCCTCGCTTTCCAGCTGCTGCGCGACCTTCTGGTGGTCCTTGCTGCTTTGCTCCCCACCGCTGACACCTACTTCCCCAGTAGTGCTGTCGTGCACCTGCTTCCTGTAGGTGGACGCCGTTGCAGCTGCAACTCTTGCGGCCACTCCTTCCGAAGTGGTCGCACTAGATACCAAATGGAACCACGACCCAGCCAGGTCCGCACTGCCGTTGGTTCTCGACGGAACCTCGACCGTGCCCAGTGCGTGTCGCTGCGCGCGCGGAAACGCCTGGGGGTCGAACCCGAAGTCCATCAGAAAGTCCCAGCAAAAAGTCGCCAGCGCGCCCACGATGTAGGCCACGACTTTCGCCGGAGCCGAGTCAACGTAGCGGATGATGACTGCGACGGAGATCGCCAGTGTGTACTTGCAGCTGTTCATGGCGTCGCGCTGACTTTTGTAGTCCGAGTCCACGAAACGGCGGACGCACTGGCAAAGCCGAATGAGAAACGGGTAGCAGACAAGGAACAGCAGCAGGAGATCCGAGTTCAGGCCGTCGTGATCCGCATGCCCGGCTTCGGTACGGTCCACGGAGCTGGGTGACGTCAGCAGGTTGCAGTGGCAGATGGAGTGCTGCACGACGCCGCCGTCGGCGCTCGCGTCCTCGTCTCCGGCCGCGGGGATGCGGACCAGCTCCTCGAAGAAGCAGGTGGTAAACAGCAAGTCCACCCAGGCGGACGCTAGCGACGTGAACGCGTCGGCCATCAGTAGCTGCGCAAATGTCGGGCGGTACAGGAAAAACGGCGCCACCAGACAGCGCCCCGCCGTGTGGCCGAGTTGGCGCCAGTGGTGCGCGAAGGTGAAGTAGTTGGACCGCGCCCAGCTGAGGGGGAACACAATCGCAAAGAAGAAAGTGAGCAAACCCCCGTACAGCAGGTACAGCTGGTCCGTAGTCGCCCCCTCCGCGCCCAACGCGCCGTGCTTCCGGCCAAACACCAACTCGAACTTGAAGTCCGCGAGGAACAGCGCAAATACCAGAGCCCACATGACCGACACCGTGCTCGCGAGGTGGAACAACGTCGTTGAGGAGACGCGGCGCTCCAGGTCTAGGTCCATCAGGTACACGTACGCGATGCCGTACCGCTCGAACTTGCGCACGACCCACGCGACGCCCCAGAAAACCAGCACCACGAAGAACCAGAGCCGGAACACCGGAAAAATCTGGAAAAACTTGTCTTCGTACGACATCTGATCGTCGCCGCCGTCGTCGCGGTGCGCGCCGTTGTTCGGCGTGGAGGCGAGTAGGGAGAGAACGATGTGCAGTACCAGGACCGCCAACGCACCTTCGTAGCGGTAGAACGCCTTGCCCTCGTCCTGCGTCTTCTTCTTCTTGCTTTCCTGGTCGGCGACAAACCAGGAACCGGCGTTGGTTTCCTCCGTCTCGGTCTTTTCCATGGGTTTTTCGTTCTCCTCGCCACTTGTGTCCGAGTTGCGATTCGTCTCCTCGATCTGGTGCTCCTTGCCTTTCGACGTTGATGCATTCGAAGGGGATTTCCTTTTCCGTTGGAACAGTTGAATCAAAGAGCTCTTCGCTGCATACTTTCTCATCGGCAAGAAGTATGTCTGACTCGCGGTTTTGCTTTTGCCCGCAGTGTCGTCAGCACATGATCCGTTGCGCGGCGAACTATCGTCGTCATCCTCCTGCTCCATATTGTGCGTATAGCGCTGCTGCCCCTGCGCGATAGTTGCGCTGCCGTTCTTGCCACCTCTACTGCTTCCGCTTCCAAGCTGATCCCTGTCGCCGCCTCCTTTCTGCAACAGCGGTAGAGAGAATCGGTTTGTCAGAAGGAGATTCGTAGGCGTGTTCTTCTTCAGCCAGCGCCTGGACCAGTAGCTGTTGAAGTATTGTGAGGAAAAATCCCCCTCCCCATATCGAAAAGGTACGTCGCAGAAAATTTGCAATGCTGATTTGCGACCACAAATCATCTCTGTCTTGCAAGAATGCAACTCCACAGCCTCCGCCGCACTATGCAGGCGATTTGCAATGTTGTTGGGCCTGCAGCGCAGACGTTTCTCATGCTAAGAGCCTAGTCCAAAACCTCTCTGCTCAGGCTTGGTATGGGGCTGCAGTCCTCTCCAGCATGACAAATCTGATTTGTGTACGCAAATCCAGCATCACAAACTTCGCTTTGATATGGGGTGGGGGGATTTTTCATTTTGATATGAAGTACCACGAATCCCACTCGTTTCGCTCGCTCGGGTTCATCACCGTGAAACAGCTCATCGGCGCAGAACTGCCCTTGTTCGTTGCTCCGTGCGTCGAATTTTCGTGCTGACTGAAACCCTCATCCTTCCTTTTATTTTGCAGCTGCGGAAAGCTGCCTGGCGTAAGTATCGTGCGAGCTGCTGGAGGTTTCTTACCGCTGGAAGGAGACGCCGCCGAGAATTGTGAACCGTGCTCCTGTGTGCCTGAACTACAAAGAATTGTACTCGAAAAAGAGCCCGTTTCCTGTTGCTCCTGTACTCGCTGCGCGTGCCACTGGTGCGCCAAGCGGATGTTCTCCAGGTTGGCCTGAATTTCCGTCCAAAAAGCGCACTTAGTGAAATCGAGGATGTCGCTGCTCAAAACGGGGATTCCCACCAGTTGATGGGCAGCACTCAGCTCTCCTGTCAATGTTGCCTCGTCGCTTGCGTTGTTCACCATCGCCAGGTTGTGCTTCTCCCACTTCTTGGTGATCTTGTAAATCGCCTTCCTGTTGAGCGCTGCAAATTCCGCTGCCTCGAAAAACATCCGCAGCAGGTTTTCGTACGCCAATTGCAGCAGCGCGACGTCATTTGCGAACTTGGATGCTGTGCGCTTCTCGCTCTTCTTTGCGTAGTAGGATTTGACCCTTCTCTTCGCCGCGACGGCCAGCGAAGTCGTTGTATCCAGAGTGGTGGTGCTTTTGTTCGTCCCGAAGGCTGCTCCAGGTGGAGGGGCGTCGTGTGTGCCTCCTTGTTGCTTTTGAATTCTGTCAACTACCTCTTCGTACAGGGCCTGGTGTGATTCAAGCAACTGCTCGGTGCGCATCTTCAAGAGGTTCAGCAACAGGCTCAAAAACTGCTCGAGTTTGCGCTGCTCCCGCTGGAAATGCTGGTAAAATTTCTCGGCAAAGTCCACCCCCTTTAACGTCTTCTTTAATCCCTTGTAGTCCAAATAAAAGGGTCCCCAGCCCGAGAACTGCAACCACGCTAACTCCTTCGCGAACTTCATTTTTGTCACAGTGGTGTGGACGACGAAGGGGGAAGAAAATTATGCGTTTCGCCGTTCATTAAGGCACCGCACCAGGAGGCGCCTTGTATGTTCGGGCTGCGACGGGAAAGAAGAAGATGACTGGATGTCACTCTGAAAATTCCGCAAGAACTTGCGGCTGCTCCTCACCGATCAACAAGAACTGTGCGACAACAACAATACTCCTGCCACATCATTTGCAGCTGCAGAGACTCTCTGCACCACCTGTGACCAACATTGTGCATGTTTAGCAGCACATAGGCATACTGGGAAAACGAAAAATAACGATGTTTATTTCATTTCAAATTTCATCTTTAAAATTTCAGTTCAGAAACGCTGGCTCGCTTCTGCTACACACTAGCTCTTTTCGCAGCCCATTGTGAAAAAACTGTAATCTAAAACCCAAAATTCCCGGCTCTTAGGCGATCACGATCAGTCAAGAAGTGATAGGAAATAGAGGACATTTGTACAATAGGGTGAAGGGGAAAGGCACTAGACTGAGAAATTGGGGTTCCTGGAATGAAACTCAAGATCGAACTGAGATCAGAGCACGCTGCATGTTTTGCGTTTCCTTTTTGATTTTCTACAGAATGGTTTTCCACGAACACTTTCACGGGACGTAGTTTGAGGCAGTACGTATCTGACTCTGACATTTTCTCCGCATAGAATGCACGAGTTTCTCACCTTGGACGAAAGAATCTCGTAGAGAGTTGTATCCGGCCACTTTACAAACATACTAGAGAAAACGCCACGTATTTTTCGGAAAAAACTTTTATTACATGAAGCAGGTACATCCACGTCCACATGAAAAAAAGAACCGATTGCGTTTTCAAAAAGGCACAGCACAACTAGCACTGGGAAATAAAGTACTTAATCGTGTCTTGCTGGGCACAGACGTTGCCGCAGGGCGCGGAGTCGAGATTTCTCTTTGAAATTTTCAAAAAAGGGACAACGATGATCGCAAATGCCATGATCTTCACCCCTGCTAAGGAGAAAAAAAAAAACAGGGGAAAGCGAACACTTCTGATGTTCCGTAGACACGATGATCAAGTAAGTGTTTCTGATTGAAACGGTGCGACGCTTTCAGCTTTTCATTCTAGGCCTTCATCGTCCAGCTGCAGGAACTCACCCACACTGCTTTCACTTCTTCGCCTGGCCTCTGTCGCTGCAACTGCAGTCGCGTTCTTTGTTTGACTCTGCTGAAAAAACATTGCGGCGCTGTGGACCACGGAAAAGCTGTACTCCACTTCACGTGGCAGCGTCCTTGCGTTCTCCAAATGTATTTCACACTGCAGTATGTGGGCCGCGAGATAACGCAGTCGCGCGCACAGCAGAACCAAAACCGTCAGGGAGATCAAATCATCAGCTTCGAGCGGTTTTGGTTTTGACTTTCCACTATCAGAAAATCGCGCCTCATATTCGACAGCGCTTACCCTCTGCAGTTCTGAGACCATCTCAGGAATCCACTTACTCACCAGCAGGTAGAAGGTCTGGAGCTTGTCTGCGGGGTGGATAGCGAGCCGCGAAGGTGAACGTCGGGCCTGCGGGGGCACTTGCTGTAGTTCCTTTTTCCGCTGCCCCTGACCTTCCAGCAAGTTTGCCAACGCGCGACCAACATCGAAAAGTCTCTCCTCCACAAGAGAAAAAGCTATAATCCTGTCGCGACCCTGAAGTTTTGGCACTAGTTGGGCGAATTGCGACTCTACTAGGTTCTGCAGTGCGGATTGCGAGGACGGAGCACGAGTAGACGAGGGAGACAGAGAGCCAGCTAGATCTCGATTTCTTGCAGCAGGAGATTGCAACAACATTTCTGCGCTCGAGTCCACTTTTGTTTGCATTTGCTCAGAACTCAGAATGAAGCCCTGGAAAAGAAAAGGAGCGAGCACCGTGTACACGCTCCGGCTGATGGACTCGTAAACTTGGTCAAAGCTCACTGCAGTCTCCAGACTAGAGAGCTTCTCGGGATTCAAAATTAGCACCCGATTCGCAACACGAGAGGACATTCTTGCCTGATCATGGCTTTTCTCCTGCAGACCTCCCTTGTTCTTTTTACGGAGCGAAGAATCGTACACAAACCGTTCCACCCGATTGCGGCGGGAGCCGACGTCATGCCCAGTTTTATGACCGCTGCCGTTGCCTCCTCTTGCCGAAAGACTCGACTGCTGGTTTTTCTGGTCCAGGCATTTGTAGATTTTTGTTGCGGCCTGTGCAATCAGGGCCTCCACGCGATCGGTCACGACGTCGCGTATCTGATCGGGAACATGTACCACTTCGCGCACGACCGCGTGCATCTCCTGCATCAAACTTTCCTCGACGTCCGGGTAGAGACACAGAAAGTCCATGTTTTTCGCCGACTGGCGGAGTCGTGCCTCCAATGAGCTGTCTGGCCTATGTGTAGTTTCCTTTGATGTCAGAACTAGGTCATTGCCGTCACGGTCAAGCGGGGGTGGCGAATGCAACCGCGAGTCTGTTCTTTTCCCTTCTGCTTTGCTAGTTGATGTGGTAACTGGTACCAAACTGCCCTTGATTACGAGAATCTGCAGCGTGCGATCGTGGTCAAACATGCTCTCCTCGGCGAGAATTTTGAAGCTTCCAGCACCATTGCAAGTTTCATCTCCTTCTGCCTCTTTTGGCAACACTGTAATCGCGTTCGAAGCCACCAAGACCCGCTCACCCAGCAGGTTCAGGTAGGCTTTCCCCTGCAGCGCCGATGTCCTCTGGTCCTGCGTGTCTCCATTCGTCCCGTTTATGTCGGAAAGAACTTTCAAGGGCTGCAGAATGTGAGCCTCTACCCGTATCGCGTCAATTTCTTTGCCCGCCTCTGCGTCCCGATCTTGTTCCTTGGTGTTTACGCCGTCTCCCTCCTGTAGTTCTCTTGGTGTCGTAGGTACCAACACCACGGTGCCCTCCGGAAGCGCGGCGTACAGAGGCAACTGCCGCAACGTCTGGAAAAAACTCGTCTGGTAGAAGTCTATCATGGTTGTGGCTTTTGCCTATTTCACATGTGTTTCGAGAGTCTGTATCTATCGGTGTTTGTCGTCTCATGGATGAGGTAAAAGTTTCATCCACACGACGTAGCAACAAATCTAGCTGACTGCGGAACACTTTCGACAGAGGAACTCAACTTCATATCGTCGCTTCTACGTCTAGCACTTTATGATCGCGTCCCATCCGTATTTCACTAAATATCGACATAGATCCATCGACTTTGCCGCCTCGAAAACTGCAGTGATCCCAACTTTCTTCTTGTCGGCCATTATTGTCATTAAACGCTGATCCGTACTGCGACAAGTTTGCACTCTGACCACTTATGTCCTCCTGGTCCACGACTTCTATACCTGTCCTCGGACGGTCCATGCCGGTGAAAAAAACACCGGTAGCGGACGCACATGCGCCCTGCAACTTGATTCTTCACCTTAAAGTGAATAGCGTGTCACTGTGATTGAGCTTTTGGTGCTGTGAATGTGAAGAAAAAAAAAGTTTTGCCCACATATCGCAGCCTCTCGCTTGTCCTCTCCCTTATATCAGGTTAGCGCATTGTCGTGATCGATCCAAATTTAACCAACTGACAGAGGGTTACGATCACCGGATTCGTGCTTCATGATCTATTCCTCTATTCCTTCCTGCGACGCTACGGGACGCCTCCACCATTCGCAGCGGCCGCAGAATGCAAGACATGTCATCCAGTGGCATTCTCTCGGGTTCGGTCCGGTAAACATCCGACTTTACTGTCTCGGTTCCGATATCAACGCAAAAGGTCCGAATTTTAGCCACCTCACTCGACTTTCGAGAGTACCCAACCAAGTACTCTGCACAGGCCTCCGCGGTGGTAAATGCAACGGCCTCACTCTTACTCACCAACTGCTGTCGCAAGCGGCCGACTTCTGTGCTGGGAAAGTATGTTTCACGGACGTGGTCAGCGTTGTCGCGGATGCGGGTCTGCAGCCAATTCCGAACGTAGCCCATATGCTCCATATGGGCTACTGCCAGCAGTGCGGGCGGATCGGGATTCACAATGTGCTGAAAGGCTTCCATTGCGGTGCGGAGCTTCCCGCCGTTCACCTGGTGCACGGTGAAAAGCGGCGTCACCTCCGAGCCAGAAACCCTCGGTGGCGGCCCCCGACAGCTGCAGCAGGTAATCACGTAGAACAAACAACCATCATCGTCTCCCTCGAAATCGTCGTCAGACCGCCTTTCTATATAGTCTACAACTAAGGCCCAGGGGCGGTGGTTACCCCGCTCCTCGCCACAAAATCTGCTCAGCGCATCGCCGATGAGCCGCGCGTGGCTACCAACCGGCTGCAATCGCCCAGGTCCGTCTGGTGCTGGCATTCTGTCTACTCACAACATTTGAAGATAGCCCTAGATAAAGGTCTCAGATCGATGAAACCGCTTGGCTTCCCTGGTCTTTGATCACAATGTCTTAATTGACAAACCAAATAATTTACCCACACAACACAAGACAAGGTGGAGGTGCAGAGCGCTCGGTTTCGGTGCTTGCGCAATACAAGTGACCGCCCACTCGAATGGGCAGGAACATCCTCTTCAACACACTGGACTGTGCCGGTGCTTAATCCCATGGCTGGACTCAGACGCAACCAGGAGCAGCCCTAGGCAATTATCGTTCTCCTACTTGAAGAATCTGAATCATACAGAAGCATATCGTGCGCGAGGAACGTTTTTTGGTGTTCAAAATCAAATTTCAACGCATAGTTGCGTGAAGCGTTTTTCCTTTGAATGTAAGTCTAAAACATCGAGTTCAAAGCAATGGTAAAGTCATCAGTGTTATATACTTTCTTTCCTTCAGAAGCAAGCTCTAGCGTGAGAGCGACGATACTGTAATGGTGTTCATCTAGAAGGCAGTTTACTACAATAAATTCCGTCATCTTTATTCCTGCGAGATGGCTGTGAAGACCTGTTTTATCCACTGGAACTGGGTTTTCTTGGAGTCCGACATGCCCCGTTTTTCCGCGACGTAGTCGACACAGGTCAACAGCTGCTTTTTTGTCCAGTGGAACCTTGCGAAGAGCGTCTGGACGCACTGCAGAAACCGTTCCGTGTCATCAAAATTGTTCACCTCCACAAAGGACGCGTAGCCGCGCAGGATTCCGATGCAAATCCGGGACAAAAGCGTGGACTTCGTTTCCGGCAGCTGCACAAGTTGCAGCACGCGCATCACAGTGTGCGTTTGGCTTTCCTGCAGTTTCTTGTGCAGTGCTTGTTTCCGCGACTTGTTTGCCGAAGAAGTCGGAATCGCCGCGGACACAAGAACATTCGCGGAGGTCGTGCCGGCAGCAGCGATACCGTCTGGGACGGAACTAGAGTTCCCGAGGTTCGTCGACGCAGCACCGAATCCCGCGGAAGCGGATGAACTTGTCTGCTTCATTTTCGCGGCCAAGTCCTCGTTTTGTCGGTCGCTTTGGATTTTCGCGGTGACGTTGTTGGCGTTGTCCATCGTGTTTTTGAAGTCGCGTTTGCGGGTTTGGTCGCTGGAAACCTCGCACAGGAACAAGCAGCTGAAAAGACCCTGCATCACAGCCAATTTCGCGATGTTCAGGATCCCGCAGTACCGCTGAATTTTGCGCGACCACCACAGAAAGTCGTCGACCAGCAACTCCTCGTTGGCGATGGACGAGGAAATGTACCTTTTCAGCACCTGTTTCGCCTTCAAAAACGCTTGCTCCTCCTCTGATGTCCACTGCCCCGACCGCGTGAAGTCGTCGACAATCACCTTGTCTTGCTGCTGCGCGAGTGTTTGCTGCTGTTGCTGGTTGGTGCTGGAGGAAGACGCTGCGTTTTGCTGCGACGAAGAAGCTGCTGCAGCTGCCCCGCCGTGGTGGCCGCCGATGCTCAAACCGACGTTGCTGCCGCCAACCGACTTGTTGTTCAGCGTGCTGCCTCCGATAGAATTTTGTGCGCCGGTGTTGTGGTTGGTAACGGTCCCGTACGAAGAGTACTGGTTTGCACACAGCAGCGCCTGCAAGGCCGCACGAAACCCGGTACCCTTCTTGACGGCGCGCACAGCGGTCGCGCTCTGGCCCTGCGGGGGGCCAGCTGCAACTGTCGCAAGTGCAGCAGCCTTCTGCACAGCTCCCGCAGTCGTGTCCTTACCCAGCTCCTTCTCGTTAACCGCAGTATTCGGCAAGAAAGGGTTTTTCGCGACCAGCATCTTGTCAGCTTCGAGCTCCTGCTGCAGGGCCAACGTTAGTCGGGGGAGATCCCCGAGTTGCGCAAAAAAATTCAGCTGCACGAGCTGCGCTTCCTGCTGCAACTTCGTCGTTAGCTGCTCGATCGTGTTTGCGCGGGACGTGATGTCAAAGACGACGTCATTCCAAATGTCTCGGTACTTTTTCCAATTCATCACCTCCTGCAACGGATCAACTGCTTGGACGTGCTGGTCTAGATTCTCTTGCTGCGAGGCGGATACCAAATTGGCGCCAACCATGGAGGAGCCCGGCCTTGACGCCCCTGTGTCGCGCCCGGCGGCGAAAGAGGAGTTCCGGCCGAGCTCCTGGTGGGAGGATTGGTATTGCTGGTGCTGTTGGGGCAGAAGCGACAGCCCCTGCCCGGAAAAAACGCCCGTGGTCCTCGAGTGCCCGAACAGTGGTACGGGGTTCTGATTCTCGTCGAGTCCGAAGTAGATGCTGCGTACCCGCTGCTGGCTGCGCAGAAACTTCAGAAGCTTCGTGGCCATCACAATGCGGTGGTTCGCAGAGCGCGTTTCCTGCAACAGCTTCTTCATTTTGTTCTTCTTCTGCTGCGGTTCGTGGTCTTGGTCCAGATTGAGCAGATTACTGCCTCCGCCGCCGTCTTCGTCGTTGTGGTTTGGCGACTTCTTCCGCACGTAGTTCAGAATGCTCTTGAGAACCCCCTCAAACAGGTCTGCGGAGCTCATTCCGCGCACGAACTTGAGGAACTTGCAGACCAGGTCGGGGCGGTGCTTCAACACGGGCAGGCACTGCTCAATCTGTTCGTGCGTCAGCTCCTCGAAGTTCCGGAACCCGGTTTTGATGCAGAAGCTGCCCACCCGGCCCAGAATGCGCATGTACTTGTTCAGATCGAGCTCGCTCGGTGAACCATTTTCGCCCTTGCTGGAGTCCCTGCCGCCGCCCGCTGATGTCTTCTCCCTTTTCTGCACCAGCCGCCCGCAACTCCGGGCCAGGGTCTGCGGCGCGATTTGCGCCATGAGCTCCAGAAAGCGAACGATTTTGTCCTCGTCAATCCCCGAAAAGTCGAAAGCGAGACCACCTTCAGCGGTCGCTGTCTGCATCTGCTCCTGCACAACTCCATTTGAGAGTCCGACGTCTGCAGCTTCCTTTTCCACCTCTTTGGCCGCCTTGCTCTCGTTGTGTTCGGTATTCGCGAGGAAGTCTATCAATGAGTCCACGAAAAACACTCGTTTGTTAGGTCGGCAGCTGCTAGTCAGCAAATTTCCTGTAGACGAGGACGACGCCGCGGCAGACGTTCCCACTACGACCCCGGTAGCGTGCTTTACGCCTCCTATAGGCGGCAAGTTGTCCTCGAGCGACGCAAAGTAGTCGTCGACGATGGAGTCCACGACGCTTTCCTCGTTCGGCTGCTCGTGCTGCTCTACGTTCTCGTCAAACAGATCGATCTCTTCTGCGAGCTCCAGCTTGCTTTTGTTCTTCCGCTGCATCTTCTTGGCCTTCTTTGCCGGAGGCGGTTTTACCTCCTCCTCAAGCGCGCCCTCGACGTCAAAGTTCTGCTGATCGCTAGGATCTACGGGCTCACCCTCTTCGTTCAGGTGTGGTTCGCCGTCGCCAGCGAGCTCCTCCTCGTCCTCGTCGCCCAGCGCCGTGTTTTTGTTTAGCCAATCCCCGAAGCAGTGCGCGCTACAGGCGCGCGCCATCAGGTCGCAGAAGGCAGCGAGGTTCCGCTCGTATTTCTTCCGCACGGCAGCCGTTATCTTCAGCGGTTTTTTCCGCTCTGGCTCTTCGCTTTTTATTTTCGTCGAGTCAGCATCCTTCTTCGCATCGAAGTCTACGTCCATCGGATCGTCGTCCGCCGGGGCGGCGTTCTTGATGTTTGCCAGGTCCTCCTGCTCTTCCATCTCCTCACCCTCTAGTAGAGCGGCCTCCTTTGAAGCGGGCTTCTGTTGCGCAGCAGTCGCTTGCCGAGTGAGAAACTGTCGAAGATCGTCTTGAAAAAAAGCGCTTTTTGATACTAACCACCAGTCTTGGCGGCCCACCAGGCAGTCACGACAGGTCGAGACAACGTTGCAGATGTGCGGCCCGCCGTTTCCAAAGAACGCGACAAAAGTCTTCCAGATTTCGCGAAAGGTGTGCTTGCTGTAGGCGCCTGTTGAGTTGATTGATGCAAGACTCACATCAGGAGTGTGCCTATATCTATGCGCATTCCCATGATTCAGACTCTATGTGGCAACATAAAAAGACAAAAAACGGTGAGGGAAGCGGTTTACTTCAAGAGACTCACACTAGTTCAACGCCAAGAATGGAAACATCACCGGCTTCAAAACAATTACGATGCTCCTGCAGTTCCCAATGGTCACGCTCCACGTTCTCCAATATTGCCTTCGTTTCCGCCGTGAACAGCCTTTTTCGTCTTGCGTAAACGCTGAAGCCAGTATAGTCAGGAAGCTTTATCACCGACGGCAGGAAGCACGCCTTCCTAGAAGAGCAAAGCAAAGTCTGCTGGTGGTCCTTACTTTCGGCAGAACCTGTTGCTCCTGCACCCTGCCTCCTTTTCATGTTCGCTGCTGCAGCATTCGCACTTGTTCCGGTGCTCGCAAGCTGTTGGGCCGCGGCACCAGCAGGATTCGACCCTGCCACTAAAGGACTTGCGCACACGTTGACCAGATTGCGTTCGATGCAGAAGATGAGACTTTCCGCCTCCACCACTTCGTTCGCAGACTCTTTCATCAGAGCGTACAGAGAGAAACAGTTTTCTACGAGAGAGTCCCGTATCGATCGGTCATCCAACAGAATGACGTTGTTGAGGAAGAGCTTCGCGCATTGCATCGCCACTTTGCGGACCGGCCGTTTCTTGTCCAGCAGACGGTTTGTTAGCCGCTTCAGCACGTAGTACGGCATGAAGCTCGTGGCCTTCATCTGCTCCAGAAGCTCCGGAACCGTCGTCGCGGCCTTAATTTTGGACGCAAAACAGCCTGAGCCGCGACCAGTGCTCGTCGAGTGTGTCACGGCGCCCGCCGGCATGTTGCTGGTCGTGCTCCGTTTTTTCTTCTTGTTCGTTTTGCCGCCGTTGTTCCCCGCTGGGGCGGTGGCAGCCGCGACAACTTCCTCGTATCTCTGCCGATACCAATCGAGCCAGAGCGTCACTGTCTCCTTCATCCGTTCGCAAACGACGGCTCTGGGCGCTTCCTCTGGATCCATCAACAACGCGTGAATGCGCATCCAGAGACACTTCTCCAACGACCTCCCGGACGAGGATGCGCTGCCGTTGTGTAGTCTTGACGAGGAACTATTGTTCGGTACACCGCCGCCCGTCGGCAACCCCGACATGACGGTGCGGCCCAGCTCGCCGAGGCGGGACATGTTACTCATCCCGGTGTTGGGGGGCGGACAAGAGGCGAGGATGCTCAAATTGTGCGCCCCGGCCGTGGCTGTTGCTGCGGGCGCCGTTAAAGGCTCCTGCTTGCAAAGCAAGTAGAACTCGGAGACGACAAACTTTGGCAAGAAGGCCAGCGCGCGCTCCTGCAGATCCACGTCGCCCATGCAGTCAATCCAGGACTTGCTCAGATTCAGGAAGATGCGCTTCATCCGGTGGTCGACCTTGTCAAGGTCCGTCAGCAGCTGCTGCGTTTTCGTCGCATTACCTTCGCCTTCCGCAAGTAAGCCAAAATTGACCGCGGTCGAGCTGCTGCTGCCGCCAATCTGCTCGTTGGGACCACCCAGCAGGGGCGTGGCGGGCACGACAGGTTGGTCCGAACAACCTGTGTCGACGCTGGTCGTGAGCAGTTTTTCCCCGTAGAACACCATCAAGTTAGCAAGTAGGTCGGTCAAGAGACAGCGCTGCTCCAGCGCCACGGCTTTCTCCTCTTCGGCCTGCGCCAACTCCTCTTCGGTCGTCGCACGACCGCTAGTGGTTCCTGCTGCCGCGCTCTTCGTCGCCAGGAGCATGTCCTGCTTCTTTTCGACTTGCGACTGGAGCAAGAGTGGGATCAGCTGCTCCGCCAGAAGGGGGGACAACTTCAGGCACTCAAACGCGAGGATGCAGTACAAACACACCCCGTCTTCCACCGTGAACAATTCTTTCCGGATCAAATCCGACAGGTACTGCAGAGCGTGGTTGGTCGTGATCTTCTGAAAGATGTCCTCCGCAAACTGCCGGGTTCCGGTTTGCTCCGGCTCGAGGAATCCGATCAGAATTTTCTCCAGCAGTCCTGGTCTCTCCAGCTTGATGAGCGGCGAGTTCAGAAAAGTGGTGATGATGCTGATAAAGTGCGAGTAGAGCAGCTTTGTCGTGAGCTGCGGCTTGCCGCCGCCCGGCTGCTGGGTCACGGCCGAAAACTCGAAGCCAATGTCTAGGATCTGGTCCAGGCAGGCGGGAAGAATCTTGTCTTGGTACTGCGGATCCTGGGTGTGAAGCAGAAAATTTGTCACCCAAGAATGCTGCAGACTGCTTCCCACAGCGGAACTTGCAGAGGTCGATGCGCTGGTCAGTTGCGCCTGCTGTCCTCCACCTACGGAGCTCATTCCCTCAGCAAAGTGCGCGAAGCACTTCCCCAGCTTCTCCACGAGATAAAAGTTTGCCAGCGCGCCGTGCTTCTGCAGCACGTACAGGAAAAAGCACATCAGCTCGTCGAGCAGCGCATGACTGAGCTGCTCGTTGGTTGGCAGCCCGTCCTCGTAGCCAATCAAATACTGGTCCAGGTCTTCTGTGTAGGAATCGAGGCTCTGGGCGTGGAAAGTTTGCATCTCTTCGAGAGAGCCGAAGTTGCCCGAGACGCGTTTCTGCACACAGCAGGCGCTCTTCGTCATGCGCTCCGGATCAAAGATCCGCTTGCAGCCCTGAAGCTGCTGCTGGGACAGCAAGTTTTGCCGACCAGATATCGCTTGGCTTCCCGCACTAGCGGCTCCTCCTTTTTGGTCTTGCAGTTGCACAAAAAGTTGCTCCTGTTCGTGCGTGATAACGTCCACAAGGAGAGCGTCTTCCGCGTCCAGCTTCGGCTTTGGCGGCTTCTTGCGGCACTTCACCGAGCAGTCCTTGCGACTGGAGAGCAACACCGGCCCGAGTATAGAATCGTCGCAGTTCGGCTTGCGGCAGGAGGAGCGGTAGGACACCTTCTTGCTGGTCCGCTTCGGGCTGGGCGGTGGGAGATTGTCAAAGTCCAGAAACCGGCACGGCTCGCCCGCCAGGTTCTCGCTTTCCGATTCGTACTCCTCGGAATCCTCCTCCTCTTCCTCGCCTTCCTGCTCCTCGTTGGCTCCAATGACATTGGGGTTCAGAACCTGCATTTGACGTTGTGGATCGATTTTAGTTGAAGGAAGAATTGATTTTCATGATCTATCAGATCATCTGCCTATTCGGTCACAGAATGCCACCCGATTTTCGCACCGCACCCTTGAACACAGGTTGACAAAGTTGAAATGAACTACTTACTACACGATAGAGCGGTCGACAGCAACTACTTAAGTACCTGCGCACCACCCGCCGCTCCTTCCCCGGATGCTGGCGACACAACAGGCTGTGGCTTTGCGGCTTCCAACATGTCAATCCGGGCCTTTTCCAGTTTCTGCTGCACGAACCCGGCACAGCACTTGCCGTTCGTCAGCTCCACTAAATCGACGAGCCTCGCCGCGAGCTGTACCTCGTTCTCTTCGTTCGTGAGCAGACATTCCTGAATTGACACCGGACAAGTGAACTCGACCTCTTGCATATTATCCGAGTGCACCGAATTCTGCTCCAGATTCTTCCCCAGACTCCGACTTATCATCTTTTTTCCGGACGCAGAGAGAACTGACAACTCGTCCCCTACGCCCGCTTTCCGCTTCTGCCGCATCTTTTCGCTCGTGTTGCACATGGCCTGGATGCGCTTGTCGGAGGAGGCTACTGCAATCGAAGACGGCAGGGGCGGACTGTCGGCGTTGTTCGTAAAGTCCGGAGCCAATGGCGGGCTAAAGGCCCCTAGTTCCATGCTAATGGGTTTCAAGTTGCTCGACGTCTCGCCAAACTTTCCGAAGGAGCTCGCACTAGAGCCACCGGCCACGCCGCCCGAGCCGCAGCAGGCGCGGCTGAGGGCCCCGTGGAAGGTCCCGTCCTGCGCAAACCGATCATTGTCGCGAAGCAACCGCAGACACACGCCCTCGAAGACGAAGGCAGAAGCGTGCTGGTCGAAATGCTTGTACTCGCTGACACTGTCGATGTTTTGGATCTCTGTCATGAACGAGTCCCAGTTCGTCACGGCATTTGCAGCGGTTTTCTGCATTTTCCGTGCCGTCGTGCGCTTCTCCACGTACTCGTCATCCGAGGAAGTCCGCTTCCGCCGCTGATTCTCATTCAGCTGCTGTTGGAACAAACTACTGCTTCCCCGCCCAGTGCCGCCCCCAGCGGTCGTGTCCGGAAAATTAGACATGGCCACGCACTGTCCTAGATATGACTCGTGGCAATCATGCTTGACGAAGCTTCACTACTCACGTATTCTTGCTTCGCACATATCAAAAAAACCGTAATCGGGTACTGCTCTTTGATTTTGTCCGTCCCCTCCGAATGATCCGTAGTGCCTCTCGAATGCAGGAGGCACTGCTGCGGAAAAATACTTACCGCGTATCTGCATTCTTTGCATTTTGTGTGCAGAACATCAAAGTTCTTGAAATTCAAATTCAGAAGCAAAAAATCTTTTTTTCTTCACAACCCTGAAGACACAGTACTACTTACACACATACAGCAATGTTCCTGCGATCAACATCATCATAGGGCGAAATCGAAAACGTCATCGAATTATAGCACACGAGACATGTAAGAAGTAAGTACGTCTACGTTTCCTGTTCGGAGATAACATTCAAATTTGTTCGAAGTGACTTCGCGTCGAAGTTGTCGACTTTCGGCACGATAAGCGATCTCAAAGTGCGATTCGTTGTCTGTCAACCTTCTTCGAAAAAGGTAGCTAGTGGTCAACGTCGACATCATCAAACAACTCTATGTCGAAATAACTACGTTCCAACAACTCCTCACATCGAACGATGATCGCCGGCTTGTTGAAAGCACGGAAGGTACGTACCACACACACCTGCTCGGCTGAAATTGCAAGTGCTCAATCGCATTGCATCGTTCTCCGCATTCTTTGCATTTGCGTGTCACAGACTGTTCTGTATTCTTGTAGTTCCGGGGTGTTTTTTTTTTTCCGAATGGCATCTTCATATTCTCAGCGAATGTTCCGCTCGGGCTATCGACAACCAAAAATTCCTTGTCCTTGCTAAGGATGTAGTTTCAGGTAGGTACCTACTGTCCCAATGCGGACTGCAGAAGGCCAAAAATTTCTTCGAACTCGCGGTTGGCAGACAAATTGGAGAAAAAAGTTTTTGGGGGCATCAACATGGTCACCGACTCCGATGAGAGGTTGAGACACTCAAAATTGCCGGGCTCGCACGGACGCCGTGCGTCGGACGCATCCGCGTCAGGATCTGATGAACTATCTTCGTCAGTAGAACTGAAGGGTCTTCTTCCACTCCTCGCAGAGGCGCTTTTCGCTTCGCTCGTTGCCGCCAACGGACTCGTGGCTCTAGCCTGGTCCTTCGTCACTGGACTAGCATTCTCCGGGTCCGTATTCTTCACGTAGATGCGACGTAGCCGACGAAGCAACAGCCTCGTCGTACGCAGATGTTCCGGACTGTAGTCGACATGGTGTAGCAGCAGGCGGAAACAAAACTGGAAGACGAGCAGATATGCAACCACGTACGTCTTCGCGGAAACCGTTCTCTGCTGCTGTAGGTAGTTTTCTTGCTGCTGTACCTGCTTGTCGTTGAGACTCTGTGCCGTTCCGTCGGTGCTGCTTTCCTCATTTTCGGTCGTCGAGGAGGAAGTTGCAGAAGCAGAGGCCTCTTCCCCTGTTCGGCCTCTTTGCGGCTTCGCAAGGGAGATTGGGTTGGTATTTCCGTTCTTCTTGTACGCACGGGGCTGGTGTGCCGTACTTGCCTTTTTCATCTTCGTGCCGATTTGTGAGCCGTTGCTTCCTGCGCTCCTGTTCAACAGCGTTCTTGACGATCCTCCCGCTACATTCCTGTGATCGAACACGACCCCGGAGGCCCCACCTTGGCAAAATGCCGCAAAAATGAAGCTCAGGAAGGGAAAGCAGCAGTCGTTCCAGCATTCAACGCAGTCCTCCGTGATTCCGGCGGAGTAGAAATTTTGAAGCGCTTGCGGGTTTTCGCGCAAGATCTGGCGCCGCTCCCCCGCTGTCAAGCAGCTCCAGTCGCCCCCAGAGATTCGGTTTGGAACGGGCGGTGCGCTCGTCCCCTGCTGCAGAGTCCTCGTGGTACTAGATTTCGTACTGCATACCTGACCGCCAGTCATCGTTGCTTTCGAACCAGCGGGACCGTGCCGACACGCATCGCGGGCACCGCCAGAAGCTTTTTGACCACGGCGTTCCTGATCGTTCCGCTGAGAGAAATACGCCGCGTACAGCTGTCGGTATGTTTGGTCCAGGTCGGGAATCCCCGGCAATTCTTCTTCTGCAGCCTCGCTTCTGAGAAGTCTGTGACTTGTTCCTTGCACCTGATCATGCTCAAACTCAACTACGCCCCCGGTATTGAACACTGTGTGTCGCACCCTCCTGAGCAATCCGGACTTCTGTGCCTCCTGCATGGCCGCGCGCACCACATTCACGTTCGTGACTTCGCGCTGCACCCAGCTAAAAAGCTGATCGCAAAACCGGACTAGCAATAGGCCTCGACTTTCATCGTTTGAGCTGAAGCCAACAGCGTCGCGCCCACTCCCCCCTTGCAGGTCCTCCATTAGGCGCATCAGAAGCGTGCCGTCTACCAGCAGCGGACTGAGGAATGTTTCGGTGAACTGCGCGAGGGGGTTCGGCTGCTCTTTCCCGAGATTTGCAACAGCACCGGAAGCGCTATCACTTGACATGGAAGCGCCGAGGCCTTTCGGGGGGTCCTTCTGGACCACTAGCTCGAACGGATCTACCTCCGTCGCCACGCTGCCCTCACGCCCGATACCGGACGAGGTTGCAGTGCTGGCGGGTGTTACCTCCGCACCTCCTTGTTGTTGTTCCGCCTCTTTCCGATTGCTGCTCGTGGGGGAGACGGTGGTTGGGCTGCAACTGCAGGGTTGGCTGTTAGTACTGCCGGCGCACGTTTTCCCACTGTCGCATGTGATCTGGCGGAAGAACCAATTTTTGATCGATGCGGAGGACTCCGCTGCGGAACGGGAAAAACTTGCGGGGGGCGAATCGCTGCCGTCCGGACTGTGCAGCTCAGCTTGTTGCAGAAAATGCCTTCGGGCTGATAGAGGCAAAGCCGCGGCTGGGTCTTGTCGCGAAGGTGACACACCAACTGCTCGAAGATGAGCTGGTGAGGCCTTCCAGGCGCAACTCACCTCGCCTCTACAACACGACGCCTGCTCGTACAATCCCTGTTCGACGACTAGAGGGTCGGACACGCCTCGATCTGCCATTCGGTCCTCGTAGTCAGAAGTCATGCAGCTTGTTCGTCTGCTAAAGCTACTGCCGCTGGCTTCTTGATCGGAGCTCTGGCGCAGGTTTATTTCTCCATAGCTGTGCGCAGGTTTATTTCTCCATGCATTTTGATTTTGCGCAGCAGCAGCCTCCTCATCGATGACCGGCGGGCGACAATCCGCAAACGTGACAGCTTCTTGCGGTGTAACCATGGACGTTGCTACCGCAGAGCGACCAGCGCACGAGCTGCCCAGCGAACGCACCCTCTTTGCTTCGTCCAGCTGCCTTCTGAGGCTTTTCGAAACCAAAATGACCTTGAGCAGGCGTGCGGCAAGGCGCAACGCCGGGGGTTCCGGGGCGTGGTTTCGTATGTCCGAATGTTCACCACGGCGGTGCGGCTGGCTCGCAGAGGAACGCCCGGCATCCGCACGCATCATCACGCCATACAGTAGCTTGTCCGCAGTCCTAGGCGAGGTCCAACTCGCCGTACTGACCAAAAAAACCTGCCGTGCCCACAGACGAATCGCGCCGAAATCTTTTGCACTTGGAGCGCAGAAGTTGGCTTCGCACGAAGATGACGGCTTCATTTTCCGCACCAATGCAGATAATGAAACTTTTCGCTCGCACACCTTCAAATCGTCATGGACTGACGCAGCGTCCTCATCAAGTGCGTCGTGCCGGCAAACAATCGTAGGCGTCTCCAAATTGAAAATGGCCTGCATGTTTCTGTCTCGATTCTGTTCTTCTGTGAGCAAACCAAAATCCCTGAAAGCTGCAAACAGTGTCTCGCCGTCGTCCTGCAGCAGATGCATCCAGGCTGGATCGTTTTCGGGTCTTGGTGTCTCTGCGGGGTTTTTTTCGGACGACGCAGGATCAAAATCATAGTGTGGTTGCAACGCCAGCTCGACGTCATTCCACTGCAGCGCCTTCTCCACCGCCCATTTCACGTCCCCGACCAGTGTGCTCGAGCGTGTCACAACAGTTTCGCCTTCTGAAGTAGTTGAACCCACCAGTCCCAAGACGGCGCCGTCGCTCGACGACCTCGGGCGGGTGGCTGGTCTTTCCTGATCAGCTGCGCCAAATACAGGAGGCGTCATCATGGCGCCGGTCACGAAAAAGCTCGGTACCGCCAGTGGCGCCACGAGATGATCCAACAGCGTGAGGAGCGCCACGGCCCGACACAAATAACCGGCGGAGCTCAACATATTTTCAAAACCTCCGCGAATGGATGGAATTCCAAAAGCCATTCTGATAAAGAAAAAAGCTGTATACGACGCCTTGTTCCCCCAGCGTCGCTTTCTGGAGGTGGTTCTGGGCTGCAAAAGTGCAAAATTCCAAAGGGAAGCGCGTAAGGAGTCAAAGAAAAATCTTCAAAAAGTGAAGAGAATGAGAAAAACACAAAGAAACTTACGGAAGAGCTGCACTGAAATATCCACTGGGATCATCTCCATGGAAACAACTCGATGATCTGTCTTTTACTGGATCCATAGAGTAAGTTTGCAAGCGCACTTTCTGTTGTAGACCTCTGCCCATGGGCACGCAAGCGCAGAAAAGCGGTCGGCTTCACAACCGTGCATCCGCGTCCGCTCTCGACCGGCGACCTATCATCTCAACTACAGTCTTGTTTGACATTGGAGTGTAAATTGTTCAGTTTCTTTCGAGTGTGAATGATTCGATCATTCTCTCAGCTTTCGAGTGTAAGTAAATTGTTGTGAATTTGAAGTGAAAAAGAAAACAATTTACATCTTAAAAAACTTGAGTTCACGAGTTTGCCAGCAGCGGAGCTGAAACATACGTACAAGTGCATTTTCCGTCAACAGAAGCTAAAGTAGTTCAATGATTGTTCACGTTTCCAACGATGGCGTTTGCAGCTCCGATGCTGGCGGGTGCATTTCAAAAAATCATTCAAAAAAGAACAGAAGCCGCAAAGAATCTTCAAGAATCATACACGATTTCATTTGTTAATACTACGAGTACTTACTTAAACTGGGCGAAAAAGAACTTTGTCCCAACCAAGAGACTCAGCGTTGCCGGACGAGCACAGCTCCGGGGATCAAGCCGCCCGGCATCTCCTGCATGGGTCCTGCACGCTCCTCCGGCACGAACCGCGCCAAGCAGGGGGTCGACGACCTCGCTGCCATTACGACATCTCGTGGGAAGGATTCGGCAAACAGCTCGCACAGGTCCTCCGAAACCACCGGCATCGGGACGGGTGCGCGAAAACAATCCCGAGAAATGACAAAATTAGGCAGGCGGTCCGGCATGTCGGACAAGAGATCGTCGCGATCGGAAAGAAAAAACTCGACGAAGCTATCCTCATCCGGCTGCGGTCCTCCATTCTGCATGCTCTGCAACACCTCTAGAATATTCCCGGGAAGACCCGCGGAAGGGCCAACAACGGTCGTGGGTCCTGTAGGTGGTGAAGTAGCAGCTCCAGACTGTACTAGAATGGGCAAAGGACCACCATCTCCATTGCCAACAATCGCAACTTGTGCTGCAGAAGAAGAGCTAGTATCGGACTCGCCCTGCTGCGATTCATTTTGTTCCGGCACGCCGTCGCTCCCGCCGACATCCTTCTTTCCACTCCCACCTTGTTTCAGTGCGCTGCCGACCTTCTTTACGAGGTCCTGCAAGCTTTTCACGAAGATAGAACTTTGGCTTTTCCTCTTGCCTCTCAGCCCAGGAGCAGACATATCCTTCCCTGCCGGCCCCGGCGCCGCGCTTGTTGGATCGGACGAGGCGCGGACCTGCTGGATCAACCGCAAGCGAAAATCCTCGAGCTCCGCACACATGCGCAAGTCGGCACCTTCGACGCTTCGCAACACGGTTACTGGCTCTTCGCCGGCTAGTCGCTGCCACCGATTCAACTCCCACATCGTCCCCATGGGGACCACCGAGTCTGCCAGGTCCAGCAGTTGCGAATTCAACACCGAGAAAAGAGCCCCACCGAGAATCACGTACCGCCCCGCGTTGAAGGCCAAATTCTTTGCGAGTCGCGCCGCAGACAGCCCCGGGTGGCACATCCCACGCAAGCAAGGCTCGTCGGAGAAACGCGGCACGAAAGCCGGAATCACGCCGAACGCGACCCCCGCTGTCGACTCGGGGTTGATGCAATCGTCCTTTCCAGCACCGGACTTGGTCGTGAAAAGCAGGGGCAAGAGCGAGAACGAACCACCTGTGCCTCTGGCTTGTGGCCGGAACACGCGTAGCGCTGCGCGCGGACCCGTGCCGTCACCGTCAACGGGTAGACTGGAGATCAGAACCTCGAAGTTCACGTTGATGCCACGGTTGTCCTTCTTCGAAAGCGGAGCGGGCCCGGATCCCCCGGATGCTTCACCACCCGAGGACTCCTCCGGAGCGCTGCCCGACGCCGGTGGCGCTGCTCCGTCCTCCGTGCCAGAACTTGTTTCGCCTAGCTCGGCAGTGGACGAGGCAATAGCCTTGCCGAGCTGTTTCGTCTGCGCAAAGACTTTCGAGGTCATGAGCACCAGGCCCTCATTGTTTATCTTGTGCTCAAAGCCGTTCATGATCAGGTGCGTCAAAATGTCCCCGGTCTGGAGCTGCCCGCTGAGTGGCGACTGAGGAGACACTGTCACCACCTGCACGCCGGTAATCGCAGCCGTGTCCTCGTCGCTGTCGTTGGGCTGCTGACCTCGTGCCGGTGGTTTAGGAAGTTTTCGTTGGGATCGTCCATCGTCCGCACCATGGCTCGAACCATCGGTGGGTCTAGGCCCCATTTCTCCGGCTCCAGGTGGTCGATCTCCGATATCAGGCTGGTCCGAAGGACCTGCTTCGGTATCGACGCCATCCCCTCCTTCTCGGCGCGCGAATGTCGAACGTTTTTCTAGGAACGATTCCAGATCACCTGCAGCGCCATTGCCGCCATTCGCCGGAGCGCGTGCGTCCGTGCCGAGACCTTCAGATGGCGGCGCCCCCGCTTGCTCCATCTTAAGCATGCCGTAGAAGTCGCGCAGGCCCTGATGCTGCAAATCCCGGTACGTAAAACCAATATCTGGACTCCCAAGCCATCCTTTCGCGACCACGTTGATTGCAAAGCCGGGGTCGGCAGTGTCGTAGCATCGGTTCTTCATTTCCCCTCCGCAGCCGTCCACGTCGTGCGGAGATGAATCGTGCGCCTTTCTCTTCTCCGTCAGTTTCAGAAACTCGTCGCACTGCCGTACCTGCTCCGGAGTTTTGCCGAAGGTCGACCCGCACAGCAAGAGCAGTAACCGCCGGGGGTCCTCCGGGTTCGACATGCTTATCGGTAGTCCTCTCGGAACCACCTGTGCTTGTTCTTCAGGCGAAGGCTGTGGTCGTGCTTGCTGTGATTGTGGCTGTTGGTGATCAACCCTTGCAGACGGCGCCTCGGCTTTACCTTGCTGCAATTCTGGGGGCGCGGGCGGCGCTTGTGGCAGAGCTTGGTCCTCCAAAGGTGCTACTGGGTTAGCTCCCTGCTGCGGCGTGGGCGGCCCCCGGGGCATAGCTCGTTCTTCAGGAGGTCCAACTGGCAGCTCTGGTTGCGGCGACACAGGCTTGACCGAGTCTGGTGTAGTCTCTTGTGGTACGGGTGGTGCTTTCGCGTCTGGCGGAGCTCCAGGCACCGGCGGATTAGTGGGCTGCTCATCCGCGTCAGCCGAGTTGCTCTGCGGCTGCCCAGACGATCTCTCCTGCGAAACTTGATCTGTTTGTGCTTGCACAGTCGCTGGGTCAGAATTTTCGGGTCGCTCCGGTACGGCCGGATTTTGTTGCGCTTGCTGTGGTGGCGGAGAACTCGGTTGGCCCGGTGGCGGTCCCTGTTGTTGCGTTGACGGTTGAGTCTGCGCGTCGCGCGGCGGCGCACGGCCTGGCGGTTGTCCTTGTGGCGCTTGTTCTGCGCTCGGCTGCGCTGGCGGTTCCGCAATCTGCTGCTCACCGGGTTGCTGCGACTCCGCAGCCGGTTCTCCTCCTGGAGACAGCGGACTGGTCTGTTGATTCGGTGAAGCGCTCGGAGGCAGGCTTCCTGCGCCCTGTTCCGGAGCAGCCGGCGGTGCCTCTTTTGTTGGAGATTCAGGTCCCGGTAGCCCTGCACTTGGACTAGATTTTTCGGGAGGTGGCTCTACCTGCTGCTGCTCGGGCTGGTCACTAGCCCCGCCCACGCCTTCACCGGTACCCGGCCCGGCCGTCTGCCCGGGCGCGCTGCCTCTGGACCCAGCGACCGGGGGCCCAGCAGTCGCGTCCGGCTGCGTCTCTCCCTGCGGAGATATCTGCTCGGCGTTCGGGGTTGGCGCTCCGGCACCCAGCGCAGGCTGTCCACTACTTTGCACAAAAGAAACTTTTCCCGCGTGCTGTTCCTTCTGGATCTCTAGCAACTTCGATAGCAGATGTTTTAACGGCGGATCCTCTGTGCGCCGCTTCAGCATGCGCTCAGACTTCACCGCCGAAATCTGATGAAGCATTTTTTCCAGAGCCTCTTCCAGCGCACCGTACACATGGGCACTGTGATCGTCTTCTCTAAGTTGCAGAAAGGATAGTGTTGCACCTGCACCATCCACATCATCGACCTTCTTGTCGTCTCCTTGTAGATGCGTGCTCAGACCGTCGTCAACGCTCCTCACGACCCTAAGCGCGTGTCCCGAATGCCAGTCGCCAGACCTAGAACTACTTCTTTTCGCGTGCATTAATCTTGCCAAGACTTCGGAAAGTATCCTGCGATCGTCTTTGTGCGGTCGTTTTACCTGCCCATTCTCGTGGTACCTGCCATGTTCGTGCCCAGAAAGCCAAGTCGGAAGGAAGTTCTTCAAGGCCGCCGACCAATGGAGCGGTTCGTCTTTTGATTTTTCCGCCTGTATTTTATCCTGATGCTTTAGTGCCTGTTTCTCCCTCATTTCCCGCTGCCTGTCCTTCAGTTCCTTTAGCGCATTCTTGACATCAGCAATTTGCAACTTTCGGTGTTGCAACATTTCCAGGAAGCTGCTACCAAAAGCTTGCGCACTTCCTAGCGTGGCAGGAGGCGGTGGCAGGGCTGGCGCGGCTCCATCTACCAAGTTGGCCGGGCCGCCAGCAACAGTTCCTATCACCACGAGAGGTGCCACAGTTTGCTCTTGTTCTTTTCCTGCTCGCGGGCCCCCACCAACCGGGCAGACTTCCACCTCAAAAGACGTGCTCCCAGTTGCAGTCGTCCCTTCGCTCAGCCGAGGTGGTCTTCCTCCACCCACCATCTGCGGCCCTATTCTATCATCGCCCATCTGCTGGACAACATCCCCGCCGGCTGCAAGCTCCGCTTTTGTCGGGTTGCTGCTTGCCAAGATGAATTGCCGCACGAGCACGTTTGGGACCAGGAACCCGACGCCCTGCTGCTGCGGCATGCCGGCGAACGCCACCCCGAGCAAGCGGCCCTTTTTGTCGAAGGCCGGACCGCCCGAATTCCCGGAGTTCATCGCTGCGTCGACCCACAGGTTGATCACGCGCGACCCCATGGATTTCCCGATGGACAAAAGCTCATCCGAAAAGGGGTCCCGCTCGTCCACGCGACTGATCACGCCCCGGGTAACCGACACACTCGTTTCGCCGAGCGGGTACCCCACGAGGTACACGTCGGAATCGGGAAGCGGCAACTTCGGTGACTCGATGTCCTGGTCGTTGGTCAACGCGATCGGCACGTTGGACCAGAAAGACTCGTCCTTCACGTCCAGCAGGGCCAGGTCCAGGTCGTGCGCAATGTCCGTGGTGAACGCGCGGATGTCGTCTTGCAGTCCCTGACGAACCAAGATCAGGGTCGCGTCCGCCGCGCAGTGGGCGCACGTCAAAATCCGCCGGATCGGCTTGCGGATCACCACGCCGGCGCACAGCTTGGTCTGCTCGTGGGTCGAGGCCGCCCACGGATTCAGGAAAAAGCTCATGCCCTTCTCCGCGAACTTGATCTCCAACTCCACGACGGTCTCGAGCGGGACGTTGCTGCTGGCCTCGGCAATCTTCTCCAGTTTCTTCACACGATCCGTCAGTTGCTTTACCAGCCCGCTGCTGCCGAGGTCATCCCCTAGTACTTCCGGAAGCGGCTCGCGCTCGTATCCCGGAAAATTTTGTTCCAATTTTGCAGCTTGAAATTTCTCCATGCACTGCGGACTTTTGTTCTCGAAAACAAAACGGTGGTCGTGGTTCCGTCTCCTCTTTCTGGAATCCGGGTGGCAGATCACATACTGAGTCTGGAGCTCCGGCGCTGCACGGTCCCAATCGCCAGCCTCCAGTACTTTCGTCCGCTCTGGCGCAACGCTCGCCCGCGGCACACTAGTCGCGGCACCGTCGTTGGCATCCACAAGGCGCCTGTCAGAAAGTTGGGCTGCTGACCCGCTGAAAGATGACAGCAACGGTTGATCCTCTTGCTCTTCATTTTCCTGCCCTTTCTGAGTTGGACTTGCGATTGCTGACGAGGCCGCTTCGAGCGCGCTGTTGGCGTCGTAGCCGGGTAGCTCCGTGCTCGGGACAGCTGCGTTGAGGGCAGTCGTGAACTCCGCATTGGTCATCCAAATCCTGTTGACCTGATCGTGTCATCGCAGACGCAGAAATCGGAAGTGCATGACTATGACGTCTGCAATTTATTCACACTGCTGAATCAAAAGGAATTAGCGCAATGCAGAAAAACGACAAAAAATCTAAATCGCACCAGCCTCCTCTGCTGCGGGCCGAACTCGCGTTCCCAGCCGATTTGGTCTAGAAACGATTGAACTCGCTTTGCATCCTCGGGCTTGACGCGGAACCATACGCCCAAGTTTGGCTCGTACGCAATTGGATACTCCGCATGAAAGAAGATCGGCTGCACGCGGTCCGCGATGCAGAAGTCTTTGCTTTCGGAAATGCGGCGGTTGCTAATAGTACTTGGCTCTGTGTTTCCGGTCCCCTGGCTTGTTCCGGCAGGGGGCTCGCAAAAATGCTGGAAGTTCAAGGCCTGTTCGATCTGAGGCGAGTTGCCCTGCAGCCAGACCTGAAAGCGGTTAATCAGAATGCGGTCCCCAGTCACGTCCTCAAACACGAAGAACGGACGGCTCAAATCGACTCCGTTCCGGCTTTTCGGCTGCCGCTCAAGTGCGCGATAAAAGGCTCCGAACTGTGGGTCGTCCAACTGGCCCGGAATTCCGACGCCGACTCGAGGCCGGAGCGGTCCCGGGTCTGCACTGTCACTGCGCTCCTGCAAGAACGAGGTCGGTGGCGGTTGGTTCTGCTCTAGCTGGCCCGCACTTGGTTGTCCTGGTGCTTCCTGGTCCTGCGTAGCTTCGCTCACATGACCAGAGGTTGCTGGTTTTTCGCTGTTGCTGCCTGGAGTGTCAGACGCAGGCCCGCTGGTGCTTTTATCTGGAGGTGCTGCGACGTCCGGGCGTTGTTCCGGTGCTGGTGGCGACGTTGCAGCATCTTTCCTTGTTTCCGGTGTGCTTTCTTTGCTTGTATTACTCTGCTCTGCGCCATGATCACTGCGCTGTTCTTTACCCGTACCTTTTTGCGCATCTCCGCTTTGTCGTCCACCTGGGACTTGCTCACCCTGGTCCTCGGCACTCTTCTTTTCCTTCTTCTGATCCCCGCCACGAACATTCCTTCTGCTATCTTGCTGCTCCTCCCCTGTAGTCCCTTGAACGATTTGCAGGTACAGATCCGATTCCCTCCCACTACTCACCGGCGCGGGAATGCGGTGCGTGTGCATGATGGTCTTTGTCACAGAGAAATCCCGCACGCACTTTGACTGCAGGGCCATATCCTGGAAGACGTGACTCGAACCTTTGTCGTTCCCAAACTTTGCCTCCCGTTCGTCCAGTCCGGAAGGAAGGAACTTGAAGGTCAAAAACTCCTTCTGGCTCACCGCCTGCTGCACGAGCTGGAGGAAATGCAGGAAGTTCTGCGGCTCCTGGCCGTCCACGTGCGTGACGATGTCGATGATCTTCATGTAGGGCGACACGTTCCGGTTGCACGCGCAGTCAAACCCGCCGAGCGTGATCACGTACTCTTTCGCTGGCCTGCAGTTACCCTCCGCATCTAGCTCGCCGGCCGCGTTGCCCCTCGCCGCGCTCCGCCACTCCGCGGAATTTTCCGCGTGCCGCTTCACGTGGTAGGGAAGCCGGATGGGGCTACCGTGCTCCAGATTGCTATACTCCTGGAACATTTCCGTCGTCCACGTGGAAAACACGATGCCTCCCAGCATCACGTACTTGGGCCGCGGCCGTCCGATCAGATCCTTTTTCCGCTTCTTTTTGTTTCCGCGAGAATTTATGTTCGGGTTATTTTGCTCCTCATCTGCAGATTCTTGTTCTCCCGAGTCGTCCGATCCGGCGTCCCCTTCGTCCTCACAGGCGGCCGAAATTTTCACTACACCCCCGCTGTGCGGCAACCCAACGGGCACCGGAAGGAGCACTGGCTGGGGTATTACGCCGACGGCAGGGGCTGCAACGGGGATAAGCACTCCGGCTTTTTCCTCCAGCGCAGAAGCCGGAGGTACTTCTACTTCTGGGGCTGCCTCAGCATCCTTTTTACCATTCGAACCTTTTTCAGCCAGCTGCTGGTGCTCGTGGTAATTTTGCCGTTCTGATTGGTCGTCGAGGGAGACTTGCGACTGCTCCAGTAGCACCTTCGTCGCTTGTGCAAACGCAACGATTTTCGAAGTTCTTGGAACTGACTCAGCGGGTCTCGCGTGGTGCTGATCTTCCTGCTTCTCCTGCAAAAAGCTGTTAAAGATGTTGAACGGAAAGAAAAAGTTGGAGTTTCCTGATCCATCCTTTTTTTCCGCCCCCGGCGATGGTTTTTCGGTTTCCCTTTTTCTTTTCTCCTTCTGCGGCTGCGCTTGCTGTGGGACGGCAGGAGCGGCGACGGCGGGAACTGTTGATGTTCCTTCTTGCCCTCCTGGCGGCTGTATGAGTGGTCTGCGAATCACGAGCACCAATCTCGGATGGTGCTCCTGCTGCCGCACTTCAGGCACAAGAGGGTTGTTGTTCGCATGCGGCATGACCAAAATTGGAGCGTGCTCGCCGGTTTCGACCGTGGCTGAGCCAAAGCATTTGTAGGTGATGTGCGTGTGCTGGTTCGGGGCCAGCATAGCAGCGTATACGTCAAACGGCACGCGGATCGGTGCTGGCTCTTCTGTCGGCGGCGTGCCGTCGCAAAATAGTAGGTCACGAAGCGTAAGTGGGGCTTGAGGCGTTTGGAGGAGAAGGTGCTGGGGCCGTTGCGGCATTTTCCCAAAAAGAATCGCACTCAGTGGGTTTAATCTTCCAGCAGGACCACCCGAATCAGCAGCACCGTCCCCCAGGCAATGGCGAACGAGCACCTGGGTGCAAAGCGGCAAGCCAAACTGCGTCCTGCAAGCGAGAAACCTGGTCTTCGGAACCGGACCGAAAACCAAGGCACCGTCCGGCGTCCGGTGCACTGTCGCCTCCTCATTTTGGTTCGCTTTGCTCAAGATGTCGTAGAGCGGCGAACTACTGCCGTCGGTGTCGGAGTCACCACTGTCTTCGCCTGCGCTCAGTGGGGGCACTGGAATTGGAAACAGTGCCTTGTGCACTTCAAGGAAGGCACTCGGCGGCGCAGACGTCGTATCGTGTTGCGCGTCTCCGCTAGCCTTCGGAGCGTGGTTCTCTTTCCTTGGGGAGGCGCGGGTCTTTTGCAATTTCGCCTTAACAACTTTGTGCTTGCTCGCTCCGCGCCCTGTCGGTATCGGCGGGCTGTTGTCGCCTTCGTCGTTCTCTTCACCGCCAAAAAAAGCATTCCTGTTCTTCCGCCACTTGCAAGTCGGACGCGTCAGCGTCCTCTTGTACAGCATGGACCCGTCCGACAAAATCGGGTTGCCGTCCAGCGCAAACAGGATGCAGTTCTCGCGCAGGCTACTGCCGTTCCCGGCGAAGGGGCTGTTTTGGTCCATCGAACGGATGAGAATCCCGCCCCGCGTGAGCTCCTTCAACTTTCTCTTGCACTTAGCCTTTTTCGACGGCCTCCGGTGTTTCACGATGATCACTGCCGGCGCTGCTTGCTGCGCGTCGCCTGCTACTCCAGAGGCTTCACCAATATCTGGCCCTACCATTGCGGAGTGCCTTGCGCCGCTAGCCAGCTGGTGAAGCAGCCACAGCTTGAACAGGAAGCCCATCAACGGATTTTCTGGCTCCATCCCGGGCATCAGATCGGATAGAAGTTTCATCTTCCTTTTCAGGTGCAGCCTCGATGTCGAATCATCGCCCTCCAGCGATTCCTGACCATCCAAGTCGCTCATCTGCAACAGTTTCGACACTGGGTGCAATTTGAGATCCGCCGCGTTCATGTTCACAAGGGCGTCGCTGCTCTGCTCGTTGAGGTTGACCTTTATTTTGGTCCTTCCTGCTCCATTTGAAACGCCAGCCCCGGAAAAGTCCCTTTCCAGAGCTTTGTCAAAAACGTCGAACTCCCGCATATTCATTCCTGCTGGAACAGTAGACTTCGCCTTCTTCGCAGACTGCAAAGTGCTGCCCTCGTCAAAGTCATTGTCCTCTTCGGAAATTTGACCTTCTCCGTCCTGCAGAGCCCATCCATTTCCATAATGCCGCTCGAGCTCTCCACTAATCTCGGCGACTTCGTTCAGGACATTCTGCACATTCTCGACGAAAGCAGCGAGTTTTTCGCTCCCGCCAGATGGAAGGGACCTTTCCTCACCGGCATCCAGCTTTTGTCGAAACTGCTCGAGCGCACCGTCAGAGAAAACGTCCTCTTGCAGCTTCTGTGTGAATTTCCGGTGGAAATGCGAGCTCGGGGGAAGCTTGACGTAGGCACTTGCAGTGTTCTCGTCCTCTTGCTTCTGTCCGAACGGCGCGTTGAGGTTCTCGATCTCGACGGCGCTACTGCTTTCGTCGGCGGATGCATCACCCTGGAAGAAGTTGTTATCATCAGCACCCGAAAAAGAATCGCTTGGGAACGACTTCTTCTCTTTCCCCGCCGTCAAGCTGGCTTTCTCGAACATAATCTGCTTTTCCTGCTGCAAAAACGACTCCCCGTCGCCGCCCGACTCGTCACCCTCGTCCGCGAACATGTCTTTCAGGCCCAAATACTCCCGAAAACTTGGGTCTTCGGTCGGCTCCCAGAGAAAACGCAGCATCGGCAAACCGACCCGTTTTCTGGTCCAGATGAACCCGATCAGACGGTTATGCAAGGGCGTCAAAACCCGTCCGCGGGGGCTCATGAACCCGCACCATTTCAGACCATTTTGGTTGCTGTCATCTTGCGCTTGTGGCGCCGTTTTCACGACAATCACGCCGCTCGGCGGCTGGAGCTTCTGCAGAAGCGAGTACTGCTTCAGCGCTTGCGCTTGGAGCGCCTCCTCGTCCACGTCTGGGGCATCTCCGTCATCTACTTCGGTGTCTGAACTACCTGCTACCCCAGCCACTGAAGTTCCTTTTGAGTCTTGAGGATTTTGTTCACCACCCGCAGCCGACGCAGAGTAGTACTTCGCGTACCTCTTCCAGGATTTCTTTCCGTCGATATACAGCCCGTGCCGGTTTTTGGCGGCCAGCAATCCGCGGCGATGCGGCCGCCACGGCAGCAGGTGATGCCTGTTGCGCTTCCTTGGTATGGCTTGTACTGACTCAAGAACCCCGGCGCCGTCCCCATCAAGCTGCTCTGGTGGATTTTTTTCATCATCTACTTCTTCTACCTTCGCCATGGTTTCGAGAAAGGAGGACTCCGCGCCGCTGCTTCCCTCATCCAGTTGTACTGCCGACGACGCCCCTCCGGCTGATCCAGCATTGTTGTCCGCAGCAGAGGAGGCGCTCGCACGACAGAAGGCGGGCCCGCCCAAGTAGCTGTCGTCAAGCGTGGGCGACACGCCGAACCGCAGCACGCGTACGGTATCCGAGCGGTCGGAATCGAGCGCACCCGGGTCAGACTCGGCGGGGAGCACCACACCGCCCGACACCCGCGTCTCCCAGACCCGTGCTCCCTGCTCGGCAAAGCCGTACACCTGAATGCCGTCTCCCACATCCACGTTGAAGCTGACGTCCAGGCCACCGCCTGGTGTGGCGGCGTCCAGGTGCTGCCAGAAACTCTTCACTTTTTCCGTCTCCTCCGGGCGGCGCGCGACGAGTTTGAGCAGCGCATAGCGCAAGTCCTTGTCGATAATCTCAGGAACGGCGAACAATTCATCGAACTCATCCGCATACACCGCAATTGCAACCGCGTCGACGGCAACGTAGTAGGGAACCAGAATCCGGTGGACGGGCTGTTTCGGTATGGACAGACGAAAAATTTGTTCTTGAAAACGAAAAAAACCCATGCAGCATTCAAGCACGACAAATTCTCATGCACTTAAAGAAGACTAGTATCCTATTATCAGCAACTACCTTCACGCAGTTATCTTCTCCAAAGCTATCCACACAGTCCGGCAGTCTGATCTGGTTGATGCACAGCCCGGCAGCAAAGGCCACTGACTGGTGGAAGACTTCTGATTGTGTCGAGTACGGAGGCTTCTCCCAAGGCTTCAAGTAGGATTGCGATTGAAAAATCGCGCGGACTTTCACCACGTGCTTCTGCGGCGAAAACTTCTTCTGGGACAGGGCTTCCGTTAATACGAATGAAGTGGCGAAATTTAGGAGAAGCACAAGAATGATCGCCGGTAGGACGGCAAAATGGTTGTTCAAATGTGCGGCCGATCTCCCCCTCCACCACTTCATTTGAGCCAACAGCGACAGGAAGCGATCCATTGCGGATCGCTTCCAGTCGCGCAGACCACTACACTTGTTGGAGCTTCAAGAAAGAAAGTAGACGAAGCAAACGAACCATTTTTTCGTAGGTTTGTGAGGCGCTCCTGTCAAATCCGTACCTGGTCCTCGCTATCGATGAAATCAAAACATTTATGTTGCCTCAATACGGATCAGACGCGATTTGCATTCGCAGAATCGGTTTCTATTGCGTAAAGCCAAAAAGCAACAACAAAACAAGGGTTCTCCCATCACCGAAGCTTTGTTTCGAAAAGTTTGCTTCCCTTTTGCAAGAAACCACTCACGCATCACTCCTTCTTCAAAGCATTTTTTCCTTGCTCAAAGCATATTTTGCAAATCGCCCTCCTTCATCCGAATGATCTCTCTACGTTTTAAAACGGCAAGCGCAAGTGCAGCTGCAGGAGCAAGGTCAGAAAAATAAAACCTCTTGGAGACAGCTGAAAATCAGACCGGCGGGTGAATTCGCAAGAAAACACAACAAGGTCCAAACAGCGGTCGACAGCATCAGTAAGGCGAGAGCGATTTCCCTAGCATGCAGTCTTAATTTCCTCACATTCAAAACTTCTTGGTGCACAAAAAGGCGAGGGAGCGCAAATTCATTTATGGAAAGATATGAAAAACGAGACCGGTCTCGTTCTCTACATTTGCGGTGCTGTCTTCCACCCGGCACAAAGATCGTGGAGGCTACCACAACTCTTCGCGTCGAAACCCAATGTTCAAAATCGGCAACTACCAAACAAGAAAACGCTTTAAAAATGTGTGTGTCTGTTCTTGTTCATTCTTACTTACGTCGCACAATTTTGATTATTCCCGTAGTCGTACTAGATGTCGCGTATGAAAAAAAGGTTGAGGTCAGTCGGAAGTAAGCTACGTGTTTCCGTCTCTGAAGGCGCCGCGCGAAAAACTTCCACATTTCACCGCGTTCTCGTCACCACAAGCTTCCCATCCCCCGGACAAGGGATGTGCGGCGAGTACTTGACGCGGGATCATTGCCACCAGAAGCTTCGTTTGCCGCCCGATTAGCGCTAGGCTGGTGCGGAACCACTCCTGCGTTTGTTCTTGGAAGCGCACGACTTTGCGCGAACCAATCGGCGGCTTTTTTCTGTGGTCCAGCTGCGCCCGCATTGCTCGTGCCTGTCGGCACAACACGCGGAACACTCGTCTCCCGCCGTCGGTCAAACGCAGAGCTTGCGTCAGAAATCGACGAGAGGTCAGAAGACAAACTGGAAATCGACTGGGAAGTGATGCTGGACGACGATGCGCGCGACTGCTCCCTGCTTCTACTGTTTCCCAGGTTTTTAGACGATCTGCCCCTGTCGCGAGAAGGCTGCAAAGGATATCCGTGCTTCGCACCAGTGGCGTCATGGTCCCCTAGCTTATTTTTCACCGGGGCGCCTCCACTGCGCGGCTTTCGAGCCCCTGCAGGCGATTCTCTTCCTTCATTGCGGCGAAAACTTTTGGGTGAGCTGGTTGTCGCTGGCGAGGAGCAACTCCGGCGGGAACTCCGCGACCGCGGAACGTTGTCGTTGTACCCGACGGCTCTACCTTTCAAAGTGTTTGTCGTTCCGCCTCCGGTTGGTGTCTGCGATGCCGTGCGAGAGAGCCTCTTCGGTCGTTCTTGCAGCAGTAGCTCATGATTTTGTTCGTTTTTCCATTTCCTTTTCCGTCGGCGGTCTTTTTCGCCGTCCTCGGCGCCTGAAAATGAACACGCACCTCGGTCTGGACCGACCCGAATTCTGACCTCCTCATTCCGCTTCGCGACATCACCTCCGGCATCAGGGGTCGTTGACGCCTCTTTTGATCCCGCTGCAAGATCACTCTCGTCGGTTGTTCCAGTTGCGAGAATGGTCATGCGCTCCTGCAGCCTTTGTTCCTGTTCCTCCAGCACCTGGGCCAACCGCTGCCGTGCGCGTTCCTGCTTGCCCTCCTGTTTTTCGCAAATCCGCAGCCGTTCCTTCAGCGAGTGCGTCATGTACAGCAAAATCCCCAGGACGATGAGGAAGACGAAGTAGATGAGCAACGAGCCCATCAGGTACCCCGAATTGAAACAGGGCTGGTTCAGCTGTCCCATGTTCACCAGGCGCATGGCCTCGAACCTACTCTTCACTGAAGTCAGTTGCATCCGCGAGATGATGTTGGTGCAGAATCCTAAAACAGCAAACGTCGTCGCGATCACCAACAGCGTGAACAGGCGGGACAGGTTGTTTGCGGACCACCGCTTGGGTGGATTTTCTTTGTCTTCGAGTAGCGACTTATTCCGCACGCTGGTTTCGTCCAACGTCTGCGTCACGCGGTCGAATAGACCCTTATGCTGTTGCTTCTGACTGTTGCGACTGACATTGATGTTCCGTTTGTTGTTTTCCGTTCTTGTTACAGGGTGACTCTCAGTGGTGCGTCTGCGGTCAGAAACACGGTGAGCGAAATCTTCCAGTTCGGTCGTGGCTTTTTTGCTCTTTATGCGCCCCGAGTGAATTATGTAGTGCGTGGCGAAAAAGAGCATGATGGTGCAAATCGAGGCCGAAAACTCCAGCACGGCGGGAAAAGCCAGTTCCTCCGGAATTTGGTCCTGGTACAAACCCTTCATCTTGAAAACTTCCTCCCAGCAGTACACCGAGTTGGCCCCGGTCAGGTGCCACATGTGTGGCAGGCACACTGGAAACACGGCGGCCGACATGGCAAGCACCAGACGGACCAGGCGTATCTCCCGCTCGCAGTGCGTGCGCTCCCGCTGCAGGTCGCGCGTGATCTTCTCCTCGGTGAAAGACTTGCTGAGGCGCAGATCGTATAGCAAACTCGTGTCAACATTCCTCCTGTTGTTTTCCGCTTCCTCCACTTCCAGTCCTCCCTTCTCCCGTACGCGGCCACTCTTGCTCGACCTGCGTGAGGCAGGTTGCTTGTCCAAAAATGGCTCGGACTCTGAGCCATAGTTCTCTGAGGGATTGTCGAAGCTGGACCTGCGGGAGCCTGCAAATGGCAACGATTTGTAGTTATTGTGCTTGTTCGCACGACCTGCTCCGCCCGGCATGATTTGTGTCCTAACAAACTTCAACACGATTATTTAGAGGCTTGACGACAGATAACAAGAGCAGCTGTGGCTGCCGGAAATATTCGTACACTCACAAAAAAAAATAACTCTGGCCTTATCCACAAGCAGTGGTCGCGGCAAGATATAGTCAAGCAAGGCAGACAGATAAGCACACAAAAGATGAAGGATCGAACATCGATTCGTCCGCGTTGATAGAAAGTCAGCGTCGTTTCGTCTTTGAGCTGGATCTCATGTTGATGTGTCAGTGTCTGACTAGGCCGCGAGAAAAATAACGTTGTACAGATCGAGTGCAATAGCGCGCAGAGGTATCGTTGAGGGAGTACGTTTCTTTGTTTATTGCTCTCCACACATACAAGTTGTGCGCAGCTAGTAGTGGTTCACCACCAATAAACGAAAAGTTGAGCTCGACCTACTTCCCTCTCCTCCCGGCTCCGTTTGCAAGCGCGACACCGCCGGCGACAGCGGCCACCGAAATCGCGATGGGTATGACGTGGGAGGTCAGGCTGGTCCAGCTCATGCTGGACTCCAGTTCGCCGTCCAGTTCCTCCTTGTCCGAGTCGTTTCGCGACTTCGTTTCGAACGCCGCTTTCTGGTAGCTAGAATCACTACTAGCACCGGATGAAAACGTGGCCTGCACACTCGTGCCCACGCTGGCCACCCACGAATTCCAGTTGCTTTGCACCTGGGTGAAGTACTCCGAAACCGTGTCTAGTGTCGTCGCACCGGCACCGCCGTCCTGGTTCTTTTTGGTTCGCACCACTTCCCTCGAAAGCGGAACAACCTTGTTGATGTACTTTTTCTGGTTGCCCTCGATCTCCCCCACCTCCTCGAAGACGGAGTTGTCCGTTTTCTTAATTTTCGCCAACTGGCCGCACGCTGCGCTGATATCCCGACCGTGGGGTCGCCTGTTTTGGAAAATTCGGTCTCAACATCAACATCAAGTGACTTTAAACATGAAACGAATGTTCAATTCTCTCCCCCGTCATTGTAAGTTCAAATTCTACTAAAATCAAATATCGTAGCGTCGCCGACGTGATGAATCTCGACTGCCAAAAAAAGTCCGAAGTACCTTTCAAACGCTTTGATCCCGCTCTTCTCGATTTCGCTGGCGAACCAGACAATCTGCTCTGGCTTGCTTGGTCTGTAGTGCTCTGCCGGGTGCGACTTCAGTTTCTTCCCCCCGCGGGCCGGCTGATTCGCGTAGGGATCGAACTGGTTGAAGGGGATCAGATTGACCAGCACCTGCCGGTTTTTCAGCAAGGCACACAGCTCCTCACAGCACTCTTTGGTGTCGTTGACGCCGTCTATCATGACGTAGGAAATCATCACCAACCCCTTGCGCTTGCCGTCCGTCGCGTGCTTCTTGGCGTACTCGTCCAGCGTGTCCATCAGCTCGGGCAAGTGGTACTTTTTCGACACCGGCACGATCTGGTTCCGCAGACCCTGGTTCGGCGCGTGCAGGGAGAGAGCCAGCTTCACGTTGGGCAACTCCGTGAACAGCTGCCGCATGCGCGGTATGATCCCGACGGTCGACACGGTGCAATTGCGGTACCCTAGCCCGAACCGCTGCTGACTGCACATCCCCTTTAGGGCGGCAACCACACTGTCGTAGTTCTCCAACGGCTCCCCCATCCCCATGAACACCACGTTGCTGATAAAGCTACCGAAATACGCGTGCCGCTCGCCCGCAATCCGTTCCAACAGGTCGGACCGGGACGTGCTGCTCGTCTGGCGCGCAGGCTGCGTAGCTAGGTCGGGCTTGAAATTTGTTCGCTGGTGTGTTCTCGTCGTGCTGGTCCCAGCTGTACTAGAGGTTGGCGACTTCATGTCGTCAGTGCTAGCAGCCTGCGTACTCGTAGTTTCGTTCAGACATGCGGTCTTTTCCTTCGTCAGCACGCTCAACACGTGGTCGGCCAGCAACAGCTGCTCCATGATCTCGCCGGCACTCAACGACTTTTCCAGTTTCATGGTCCCGGTGGCGCAAAAGGTGCACCCGAGATTGCAGCCCACCTGCGAGGACACGCACAGGGTTTTGCGCATCTCGATGCGCGGCTTGTTCGTCTCGATGATCCCCCGCTCGGTGTAAATCTTGTCCTCGCGCAGCATAGTATGGTTCTCCGTCGCGGTGGACGTCTTGGTTGTATTGGATGCGGAAGTAGAAGAAGTCGCTTTATTTGAAGACGTCCTTGTTCCTGGCAGCATTTGCGTTTTGGCTTTGCCCTCCTCGTCCTGCTCCTCCTTGCCGCTGCGCACCATGTTTATCGCGCTGTTCATGTCCTCCCCGGTGTGGTTGATGATAACCGCCTCAATCTCGCTGCCATTGGAGAGTTTGATCAGCAGCTTGATGGTTCCGTCCAACGCGCTTTGCTCCATGCAGCTGACGTAGGACGTGCAGTAGGCAAACTCTTCCTTCAGCAGCGGTATCACCCGGGGCGGAAACGTCGGGATGTCCCGCAGCGCGTCGAAATCGCCGCCGGACTTCAGCAACGTGCGCCATATCGTGTTCGCGTGCTCCTTTTTCGTTCCTAGCCGGTTCTCGAGAAAGTCGTGAAGCAATTTCTCGTCGAAAATTGCTTTCTTGTTTGGCGGAATATCACGCGTACCGGCACCGGAAACAAATTTCTGCGGTTCGGCAGAACAAACCGACGTTGCCGTAGATGCCGTATAGGAGGGCGATGCCTCACCAGCTGCTGCGCCCAGCGCCGCTGCCGAAAAAAATTCGTCGGTCCCGTGAGGCATCGGGTTTTGTATTCGTTCTGTCGAACAGATCAATTATTTAAATTTAATGAGAAGTAGATTCCTATGAAAATAAATGCTGTCGTGGAGATACGACGGGGTACGACCAACTACAAAAGCAAAGGAAAAGCAAAGCGCACAAGAACTAGACGATGAAATATGTCAAGATGTAAACCGGTCGCTACATGGTAAGCATGCGTCAGTAGCTGCAACCGGACCGGGGGGTTCGCTTTTATTGTAAACGTGTTCGCTGCTGAGCAAAAAATGAAACCACATGAAAAAATGTCTCTTAACAAAAGGATCTTTCAGGAACTGCATGGGCAGTTTCATCCAAACAAAAAGTGATCGCGAATTTATGGAGGTAGAATTGATTAGAGTAAAATTCGTGATCGTGTCAATTTGATCTACAATTTTCTTCCATTCTCCGTTCTGATCTTCATCTTTTTCTTTCGCTTTCTGAGGTGCTTAGCATGGAGAGCAATTGCGTGCTTTGCTCGGCCCAGCGTCTTCTCGAAAACTTTCATGTCAGGGGAGGACTTTGATCAACCACAGCCAGTAAAAGGGCGTGCACTGTTCGACTTCGTCAAGTGCACTGACTTGAATAAACTTCTTGAGTGCTCGAAATACTTCTTTCCCCTTTCGAAAGTTCTTCTTTCTTCGACCAACACCGTTGCCTAGCCGCGAGTCTTTCACATTTGACTCTGATTTTTCTCATTAAGGACTTAAAGAAAGGATAACAGGAGGGATCTACTTCGGGGGGAGAAAACAAAACCGCAACCAGGCCAATAGAACTGCGCGGTTTCTTCTACGAGTATCCGTGGTAGAAGTCCGTTTTGCGGAACATTCGCCGGAAGTTGGGATCGCGGCCGCCCGATGACAGACTAACCGGGGCACCGGCGCCGCGCCCGGGAGGTGCACCTCCCGGCTTGATTGCCCCCAACTCCGACCCCTCTCTTGTTTTCGGGCTGTTTTTGTTCATAAAGGGGTGGATTTCACTGCTGGCCCAATTTTCCTCGGAGTGCATCTCGCCGCGCACCCGGCGGTTGTCTACGTTGAGGAACCGCTCCTCGTCCCGGAGACAGTCGAAGACCCGGTCGGAATTGTAGACGCGGTGGTGGGCCTCTTGCTTCTTGCTGAGATCTAGCTGCAGCAGTCCTCTACTCGCGTCCTCCCCGCCCCCGCCGTCGCTGCCGAACTTGAAGTGGCTCCGCTGCTCGTTGTATTTTTTGTTGTTTTTGGTCCTGCTCGCCATCGCGAGCCCGCACTCGTCCGCCTCCGTGGAGGGCCGGCTGTGGTGAAATAACTTGTCCGGGTGGCTGCGGTTGCTGGATTTCGTGCCGGTGAAGTGCTTCTTGGATTTGGACATCCGTCGGTAGTACTCCGCGTCCTCACCGTATCGCAATAAAAAACTGCTTCACTGTGAACTTGTGATGCAGAGAACGAAGCACCATAGTGTTTGTCTTGCTACACCTGCAACACAATGGATTTTTAGGCCTGTTTTCCCTTGGGAAACGCGCATGGCAAATTTTCTGTGTCATGTGTAGCAAACTTGTGCAGATGCACATCTTGCAAAACCATCACAGTGAAACAGTTTTTTCATGGGATACACCGGCGTGGATGTCGTCCGAGCTCTGTTGCCGCTCCGGCACCCAGGGCGGCAGTTCGGCGCCCCGGCGGTAGTTCGGCAACCGCTCCTATCAAACAGAAAAAAGCCCTTACCCCATAGAAACGAGGAAATTTCTGTTGCTGGATTTCTGTACACAAATCACCGCTGTATTGCTGAAGGCGCTTGGAGGCACTTCCTAAGCCTGATTGGGTATGCAACAGGCTAGCAGGTAGGCATGGCAGACATCTTTGCAGTATGCAAAAGCGCATCACAGATCGACAGTGGAATGCGACAAACGGCTCTCACTTGCCCCATTTGCAAAACACGGCTGATTTGTGGCCACAAATCTATCAGCATCACATCGGAGATCTACGGGCTGTTCGTCCCGACTGGCTTCATGCCTTACTTAAAACCGATAAGCCATTCATTCATTCACTACCCTCGCGATTCAGTGCACTTCTGATGGTGCACGAGAGAAAAGCAAGTCGCACCAACGCACTTCTGATGCTGATGGTGCGTGCAGGCGCTGCGCAAGCATTATGCTCCAATGAGCAACAGCTCACGTTTTACATCTTTATACTCTCCGCCGGTGGGAAGCAGCCACCAAGAGTCGATGCAAAGTGAAAGACTTACGCACCGCAAAACTATGTACGGCGCGAATCGCCGAGCACCCCGCAGCCAGGACACTGTCTAGAGCTACGCTATCCCCGAGCGGGCGAGGCATACAGTGCGCGTTTAGCGGATCAGTGCCTTGGGTCAGGTGATGCTAGACCTAAGGGGAAGCAGCCCCAAAAGCCATGAAGTTCATTGAATGCGTACACTGTCATCATCCGCCGCAGACGACACACCGCCCCCGGTTACGTAAACCAATAAAGTTAAGCTATTACGCCCTTAGTCCCTCGATGTCATGCAAAGACGAACCCCAGCGGAAAAAGGCGGAAGAAGAAAGAAGAGGAAGCTGGACGAAGACGGAAGTAAGACGGAGAAGTGGAGCTGCGAGACCCGAAGCTTCACTATTTTCCCCGCCTGGCTTGTCACACTGCGGTCGTATCCCATCGGCGATTTCCCCCGACGCCGATACTGTCGTATCCCCCCAAACAAACCCGCTGGCAAGGCGGAAAAAAAAACAGCTGCCCCTGCGAGGAAGCGGGTTCCGCGAACTAGCGCTAGTACAAGGATGAAACAAATAAGAAGACAAAACTACACGGCAGAGAGGAAGTAAAAGGGTAGCGACCTACATCTACGTGGGCATGAGGGGAAGGCAGGGAAGATCGGACTTTTCGGAATGAGGAGCGTACGAATTTGCGATCTAGCTCCATACGAGGAAACAGGTACTAACGAAGGAAGTGCAGTAGCAACGAAGCGCAGGCAACCATACAAATCATCACACATTTTCACGAAAGGCAAAGACATACTTGGTAGCATGTCATACAAAACATACACAGCAGCAGCAAGTAAATCGGATTCACGTTGCTGTGCAAAGACTATACTTTCCGTCACAACGAAACCCAACCCCTCAGCCGCGAAGCCGAAGGGCCGGGGGCGTGGCACCTAACTCGAGGTTTGGAGTCCAAGCCATTCATCATCATACCCTCGCGATTCAGTGCACTTCTGATGGTGCACGAGAGAAAAACAAGTCGCACCAACGCACTTCTGGTGGTGCGTGCAGGCGATCTCATTCTACGATGCGCCAGCCTTAAACGCGGCCGGCGTGCGGGCCCGACTTTTCACGCTAGAGAAACAACGCGCACACGTTTGCACGAAGCCCACCCGGGCAAGAGCCAATCGAGAAGACCCGGAGGTCAAGAGCCCGACTAGAAGCCCGGGGGTTAACGAACGCTAATGGGTCAGGTGCGAATCCGGCGCAGGAATCAATGGGGCCGATCATCATCGGAATTTGGAACCAATGGGGGCGATCTCATCCTAGGGTGAGGATTTGCATGCCTATTTTGATACAACCTGTGACCGGGCTAGGGGGCACGCATAGGTGTGCCCATCGTGCTGGGCTCCTCGGTACCCAGCGGGCACCACAGGCCGGCCGGGTGGCCTTCTTTTGTTCCCTTTGGCAATATTTTCCCCCTCCCCTGTGCGGGCGCACGTGGTTGTTGCTGGGAGCCCGGATCTATCATCTTATTTGGATACTTTCCGTCTCGCCCCCGACCGCCCCTCGCCGCGGCAATCGTGCATCTGTGCCTCGTTGGTACCGGTGAACTGTCGGCGAGGACGAAGAGGAGGTCGCGTAGGCCGGCAGCCAACGGTGGCGTCGACCCGCTTTGGCCTTAGTCTAAAAGATCATGTCCTCTGGAGGGGAAGGGGAACAACAGCATGACGGACGCGTGACAGGGAAGGACTCATTCATTCACCCACGACCCTCGCGATTCGATGCACTTCTGATGGCACATGTGGAAAAGCGATTGGCACCAGCGCACTTCTGATGGTGCGCGCAGGCACGGCGTCACAGCGACCCAGTGGCCAATGACTTATGTTTTGTGTTATTATACTCTCCCGCGGTGGAAGCAGCCACCAAGAGCCTGCACAAAATGAAAGATTTACGCGCAGTAAGTTTTAACTAGACTCGAACGCCCTAAAGGACAACCGCAGGTGGTGCCCTGTCTAGAGAGATACACACAGGAGGCCTACTTATCATACATTTGAAAATATTTCGTATGGAGAAAAACATCAGAGACGAACGTCACGGTACGATACGAACGAACGAACCAACTAAACCAGCCAGCGGCAACGGGACGCCTACAGCCACACGGGGTCCTACGAGGACCGAGAACAGGCATGCCCGACCTGAGGTAAGTAAAGGGCCTGGGGGTCTACGTAGGTGCTCGCATAGAACAAGTTTCGGCCCACACGCAACGCACCGTGGGTGCATGCTCACCGCTGCGTGAAAACTTGTTCTACCGCCATGCCCAACATCACAAATTTCCTTCTCGATATGGGGAGGGGGGATTTTTCCTCACAATAGCTCCGGACTCTGGTTGATCGCCGTCCAGTCTTTGCCCCAGTTCATATAAAATGCAAAAGTGTCTGGGTCTGGAAGGTTCTGAGACTTGTCATGCATGTTTTGCATGACCCAGGACGTCTGTAATGCATGCCCTAGCATCGCAGATTTTTAGATGGCTTCCCGATGTCTACTCCGCATGACAAATGCCCTCCCCGCGTAGCACAAAATAGACTCCTCTTGCTGGTCATGCAATGCAGACTTTTTTAGAGTCCAAAGCTAGCATCACAAGTTCCAACCTTCCAGACCCAGACATTTTTGCATTTGATAGTTCAGCACCTCGCGCGATTCGTAGCCCTTCCGCTCCTCGACCTCCTCCCGCGTGTGCGCTCGCTGGGAGTAGTTTCGTAAAGCAGTAATCTTTATTTCCAGGTTTTTTTTTTCATTTTTCTAGTCACGCTGCAGCCGATCAGATGAAAACATCAAACGTATAGCTAAAACGAAATCATTGACGAACAAGCTGATAGATTATAACGCTAACGCCTACTTAGGGAGGAAAACCGGGGGGACCGTGGTGAATCTTTAAAATTTTTCCGGCCTTCTCATCCGCCCCGGGCCAATCCTCATTGCGGCTTTCCTGCTTTCCGGGCTGGCAACTTGCCCTCCAGATATTGCAGAGCGGCCATGGTGCTATTTGCGCCATCCCCCTTCGCCCCTCTCGCCTTCAGCAGGTTGGGCACCCATCCTAGCAACGGCCGAGGGCACCTCCGCAACCCGTCTTCTTTGTGCCTATGGAGGCGGCACGCGCCGCGATCGCAGCGCCGGGGCGCAAGTTATGCCGCAACCCCCAGCACAGCAAATCACAAAATGCCTGGAGTGGCCGCCAAGCTTTCCACGCCCGCGGCTAAGGGTTGACGGGCGCGCGCGAGTCCATTGGTGGCCCCCGGGGCAAGGAGCGCGAAGTGCCCGGCAGCCAGTGGCCGTCCGCCACGGGAGCAGCTGGTGGCGAAGACAATGCCGTCAAGGGTGGCCCCAATACATGTCGCCATGGCGCGGGGCCCTCTGGGGGCCCGGCGGCGACTTTGCTTGAAAGGACTGCCGAAAGGGTCCGACCTGGGACATTTCTGGGGCCAAATAATTTTTCCAGATTTTTCCCAGATTTGAACCCGATGCGGCCAGATTTACAGCGGTGCGACGTGAAAGATTTTCGCCAGATTTTGCCCAGATTGGCCCCCCGGATGGGGGCAAATCTGGGGCCCGATCTGGCCCAAATCTGGAAGCCGCACACTTTCGCCAGATTTGACCCCGAAGCGGCCGGAATTACAGCGGTGCGAGGTGAAAGATTTGCGCCAGATTAGTCCCAGACCCGGCCGACACATTCCGGCGCGGCCTATGCCGGGTTCTCGCAGGTTGGCCCGGGTTGCGCCGCCCGGGCCAGTCTGGGAGGACTCGGCGTCGGCGACGAACTGGCCGCCCGCCTCAAGGAAGCGCGCGCGAGCGGAAGCGCGAAATGGTGCGTCGCTCTCTCCCGCCGAGCTCCCCCCCGGCCACTCGGCCCGCTCCTCCGCTTCCAAATCAAGTAGTCGCATGTGGGGCCCGGTGGCGAGGTGGCCAGACCGGGGCCCTCCATTCATTCGCCACCAGTCCCCGACGCTCCCTATTACGGACCACACGCGCCGCCAGACAGCGAGGGCGCAGGGCGCACGCGGTGCGAAGCTGTGAAGCCCCGCATATTGCAAGAGCTTGCGCAATCTGATCGGCCGGCCGGATGAGAGCGCCAGAAAAATTCTAAAGATTCACCACGGTCCCCCCGGTTTTCCTCCCTAACCTACGACGCCTCTTGTTCTACTCGAGGGCGACACTAAAGCCATATTCTCTACCTCCGGTCCCGTGCTCGCATCGTTTTTCGTCCGTTGCTGCTGTCGCACCACCTTTCCAAATCCCGGAATTTCCTTGAAGGGATCGTATTCAACGACATTGTCGCGCTGCAACATGTAGTCCGTCCACTCCCCATGCTGCAGGTCGCCCATCCCGCCACCGCCGGAACCCCGCCGCGTGGTGGGTATATGCATTGCAAATAGCTCTCGGTCCTCTGGAAGACCGCAACTTTCGAATCAATGCTGTCTCTGTCGAGATGAAACTGAAATCTGTCTCGCATGAGCAGCAAGAGCGATCCAGCTTTTGTCGCCCTAGCAACGCAAGAGCCTTCGCAAAGCAAGGGAAGCTGTGGTTTGCATGCTTGATCGTCCAATAACAGCATGGCAACAATCTGCACTTTTCCAGACCCAGAACTATTTGCAGTTGATACCGCAGCCCATTGAATGACTTTGCCGCGTCGTTGAAAGACTCCAGGCCCGCGTGCGACTCGTCCGGCTGGTTGGGAATAACATCCTGTGGGAAAACCGCCCAGATCCGTAATCATAACCAAGAACAAGCTTCTCTTGCTTGATGCGTGAGCGTGTCGAGCACAGAAATTTTCTTTCTCAAGTACCATGTAAAGTTGTTCTAATAAAATTTTGGAATTGACGCAGTCGACGACACCGACTAAATCTGCTTGCCACAAAGAGGCTTTACAGTCATCGCCAAAGAATAAGAAAGCCAATCCGCTCTTGGTTAGATGTACGGAATTGCGGACGACGTTTTCACAGTGGTACATGAACCTCCGCCGCGACCACTGCTCAACCGGGTCCTGAGGAATCATTTTCACTTCGTTTAGCACCATCTCAACAGTAGACTTCAAGTACTTATTCAAAAAGATTGAGTATCCACAGAAGCTTCTTGTTTTTTTTTGGAGAGCTTGCCGCGAACGACGCTCTTGTTTGTCATATCTTTTCTTGCTGTTGGGAAAAAGTTTCCATAATACTACACGAACACGACAGCGAGAGCGACACATAATCTAGGTTTTAGAAAATAAAATGCTGTGCCTCATTGAGACATTAGAACACAACGAACAACAAAAAACTGTCGCTGTAGACTAAAAATGACTCTACCACACACGGCAATAACGACACGACGACGGGGAAAATAGCGCGGCAAACTCGAACGACAGAATACGATGGCGAATGTCAACGATTATTTGCGATATCAATTTACAATTTTGCGACGATACACCAAGCGATTTTCCAAGAGAAAGCGCGATATGTGGATGTACAACGTAAACAATCATGATCTTCACAATACTCCACCAATCGAGACGAACACAGACAATTTCCAAGAGACTTCAAAAGGCACTTCTGGAGCCTGCTAGCTCTGAAATCATTTGCGCGGGGGAACGCGCCTGTTGATTACTTGCACGTATTTCATGTTCAATTCGCAGAACGCACGATTTCGGTGGTGGTGTGGGCCCCCTTTCATGCGGGAAAGTAGATAAAAATATACTGCTGTAGAAAATCCCAGAGGGAAGTAGAAGTGGGGCGCTTGGGGCTGAGTGAATTTGTCATGCTTACCCGACTGCATCAAAAAACTTTGCACCGTCACCGCAAGCAGCACCGGACGCAGAAGTAAATTTGGATTGGGGTACACTGAACTGAAGTAATCACTTATCAAATTGAAGACACAACTTACCCAAAGGTGAGGAATAGAGAACTACGAGTTGCATTTCTCAAGAAAGACGCTGCTAGAAAGTCACAAACTGAACAATTTTCATGAGGAAAGTAAAACAGAAATGAATCAAAGAAAAGAAAGACGGGAGAGGGAGTTGCAGGTAGGGGTAGTGCGATTGCGATACATGCAGATATACAATAAGCCTCGGCACCAGGTGTTTCTCGCTCCTCCGACAGCGGACACGCAAAGGAATTCGAGGCGCAAATCGTAAAAAAAGTTAGTAGTAGCCGTGGCCGCCTCCGCCGTAGGGTTGGATCCTGGAATCAAGTTGGATCCTGGAATCAAGTTGACTGGAATCAAATTGAGACCTGGAATCCCGTTGCGTGGAATCACGTTGATCCCTGGAATCCCGTTACATGGAATCCCGTTGCGCCTGTCCGTTTCCCGTTTCCGTCAAAAGCGCCCTGCAGTTCCCATTACCTCCGCAACCGCGGAGAGCTCTCATAGATACCTCCGGAGCGGCAGGCATCTGCTCCTCCAAAAGGAAATTGCAACCCAGGCGGCAGAGGAATTCAGTTCCTGGCTTCACGGAAGACAAAACCCCGGGTCTCCCCAGAAGGGAAAGCTCCATGCTTCGGGCTCCCCGCCTACCTTTACCGAAGGCTGGCCCGCCTTCCGACGGGCCATGTTCCGGGCCCCCGGGGCATGGATGTGACGAGGCCCCGGGACACAAAAGAAAGAACCAACCCGGGGCCCCCGGCGCAAAAGCTGTAGGTACACGCGCGCAGCCCCGGACAGCGGCAAATTTGCGCGCTCCGAAACCGAATCCAAAACGCCTCGGCGAGCACGGGCACAGAAAAACCCCGAACCGTCCACGTCGCGCACGCAGGAGGTGTAAATAAGCTCAGGCCATTCAATCCGGAGGCGATGGCGAAAGCTTCGCGCCAGCCAGGAAATAAACAACTCCGACACTCCCGAGAGGCAATCAAGCTGCGGACCTTACGCCAGGGAGAGACCCGCCAGAGCTTCCGAAGGCGAGACACCCGGGGCTGCCGAAGCCAAAGAAGATTCGGAGCCTCCGAAGGTGAAAGCTTCGGCGCTTCCGAAGGTAAAAACGCGGGATCTCCCCAAGGCGAAGGGGCCGAAGTTGGCAAATGCCAAACACGTGAGGTAAAGCTTCGGCTCCTTAGTGCTGCAGGCGGAAACCCCGGACATCGGGAACACAACAAGATGGAACTCCCAGAGAGGAGAGCCCTGCCAATCCCCAAAGACGCCTTCCGAAAGAGGCGAAATAGAATCCCCGGAGAGACCTGCCGAAGGACAAGGAAGGCGAAATGGAGCCCCCCGAGACACCTTCCACAGCAGGGCGAAATGGAGTCCCCTGAGACACCGTCCGCAGGAAGCCGAAACGGAATCCCCCGAGACTGACACCATCCCCAGGAAGGCGAAATGGAAGCGGAATCCCGAGAGCAATGAGTCTTCCGAGAGAAGCCGAAACGGGCATGGAACTCCAAGAGGGACGGATGGATCTTCCGAGGGAAGGCGAAACGAAAAGGAAATCCCCAGAGACACACACATTGCGAAGGAAGGAGAAACAAATGGACTGAATCCCGGGAACTTCGGAAGGCGAAAACCCCGACAACTTTCGATGGAGAGCCGTAAAACAAGACGGGCGCGCGAAGCTTAGCTCTAACATTATTCACCACATGCATCTCTATCGACCAGAGGAAGAACAGCCAGGCACCTTTGGTAAACCTAAACGTGGCCGCGTTTGCAAAAAAAATAACGGAGAACTTTAGGCCCGAGGGTATGGCAGTCACAAAACACAAAAAGCGCAGCAGATTCTTCCAAGGTGAGGCATTGCGAGGTGAAGGATTGATGGGGATGAAGTTGTGGCGGTTTACTTGAGTCCATTCAACTTGATTCCAGAGACTAACTAGATTCCACGCAACGGGATTCCAGGTAATAACTTGATTCCATATGACGGGATTCCAGGTCTAACGTGATTCCAATTAACTTGATTCCAGGTTTAACTTGATTCCATGATCTAAACTTGATTCCATGAAATTAACTTGAAAAGTTAGTAGTAGCCGTGGCCGCCTCCGCCGTAGTCTCCTCCGTATCCACCTCCGTAGTACCCGTCGCCACCGTATCCACCTCCGTAGCCCCCCTTTCCATGGCCCCCCTTCGAAGCCCTCATCATCATGCTTCCCCCGCCGCCCTTCGACATCATTGACGCTCGGCCCTTTGACGCCCGCGATGCCATTCTGTACTCGTCCCCACCACCAAAGGCACCACACGCAAAGGCCAACCCCAGACCCACAATAATCACCGCGAAGACGACGATAACGATGATGATGATTTGCTGCTGCCCCGATTCTATCCACTGGAAACACAAACATGTCGTGCCAAGTCTAGAAAATTGGAACGAGTATGCTGACGTCATGTATGTTGTCACTATGGAACACTGGAACACCTCCAGATGCAATGCGGCATGCACTGGGTCATGCAAATGTAGCAGAGTCGGTACTAGTATTTGTATTACGGCTCGTCGTATAATACACTCGCACACTACAGAGAGCCGAGTGCCTAGTGTCTTTTCTTTGCGGGGCGAAAGCGAAAGAAAGATAAACATCCGTCTTTCTAGACCAAGAACACGACAGCGACACATTTACTTTTGATACACTTCACCTCTGCGCCGGCCGGCGCGGATGTGCTGACGTCTCCTGCGGCCGTGGCAGTGGCTGTGGTTGGGACGACTATGAGACAAAATAAAGGTATGTAGCATGCGAAATCCAAAGCGGCAATCTGTTGGAGATGCTGCAAAAGCGTAGAATAATACATCATGCATCTTTTAGTTCCATTATCAAAGCGTCCACGCATACAGTTCTCAACTACAGCTCTTCTAGAGCAAATTGCTGGATGAAATGCTTAGGCTTTCAGTTTTCGTCCGTGTGGTTCTCTCGTGCATGAACTGCTGTGCTTCAGATTGTGGAATGCTACGTACATGTTTTCTGTCGGTATCGGTCACGGGAGGCGCCACGGTAGTGGTCGTCGTGGTTTCCGGTTCAATCTTCTTGTGGCAGTTAAAATTCACCCAGCCTCTGAAGCTGTCTTCAGTCGTCAGGTCGTCGATGTTTGTCACTACCCTAGTTGGCGTTTTATCGAAGATCAGACAATTGTTGGAATACATCCATGCTTCGCAACGCGCAAAAGTCCTATCACCTTTAAACGCGTCATTCCATTCGTTCTTCGTGCAAACCTCCTGACATTTCTCCTCCGGTACGTTTTCGGCTCCCGCGAAGAAGGAGCTGCTTATGCTCAGGCCCCCGGACGCATCTGCGCACCAACCTTTCCCCAAATCGTCGTAGGTCACGCCTTCTGCTGTTTCAGTTTCTTCTACCCGTGCAGCTTCTTCTACCTTGTTCTCGGCCTGCAGGAGCAGCTTCGTCTCCGCGGTAGCGGATTGGGCGCGCGCTCTCTCTTTCTTCTGCACCACATTCACTTTGTACCCGCGAACGAAGAGGACCAAGAACAGTGGGATGATTTTTTGATGTGTGAGAGAAAAACCCTTGGCCTGCGCCATCGATTAATATTGTGTGACGGGATCCTGACAAGGATCCCAGACGACGCGGACGAAAAAAATCAACAAGCACGGGTCTCTTACAAGAATCACGACAGTGGGTATTGCTACTCGAAAGTAACAAGACGAACTGAAGCTATTCTTAGACTGACAAAACAAGCTCTAGAGCGAGACTCTTACCTTCAAAAGTGGAGAAATCGCTGCTGTGGTCGAAAGGGGGTCTATTAATGGATTCTCTTTGGGATAGTTCTCTGCGACAGTACTGGAAACATAAGAGCGGAGTAGTTTTTTGAAGTAAACCACAACAGATGTCGAAGTTCGTTTTTACAACATCTGAATTCACGAAACTCGGTTTTCCTTACAAAAAAAATCGGCACGACTTGGACAACAAAATCCGTATTTGCCTTCTTGAACGCAACGATTGATTACCGATCACCTGACGGCTAATCCTGGTAGTTTGCACCACTACGGAAGAATACAGGGGAAACAGCGGACACAACAACAATTTGGAACTACAAACATATGAAGTAATACGGGGTAACGAGCCTTCCTTTGCGTTCTTGATATCAGAGGTTGGGGTGGTGTTGATGCAGCCCAAACCTCCTGCAGTCGCAATTTAGTAGAAGTGGCAACTCATGACGGTGATCGTCTATTCTCGAAAAGTAGTGATGTGTATTGCAATTTAATTCATTGCACAGGTTCCAACGAAAATCAGACCAAGATAGTTTGTCTTGACTGTACGAACAAGTTTTTTGCGATTTTTTTTGTGCACGATGACAAAGAAGAAGTACAAGAACGGTGGGTAGGGAGAAAATAAAGGAAAATCCGCTTAATTTTCTCATGCGCAGCAGAGCTGTCGACCAACCACGAAAAAACGTGAAGCAGTGAACGATTTTTTTGCAGAAACTCTGTTGGTGTCCCGACGGACGACGGACGACGCAAAGGACGAAGACGATGCGCGTTGGTCAACGGTGCGACCAGATGCGGCGCTAGCGCTGCAGCGCTAGCGCACGGTTGCTACGAAAACAAGAAACGTCATTAATTTCCAACGAGAGATTTGATGGCCGAACTGGGGTTGCGGGCGGACGACACGAATCAAGGAGAAAGAGGAAGACAATCCGAAATCGAAAAACTTTCGTATAACCCATCACACTGACTCTGATCCGTTCGGAACGGGCACGAATACAAAGGCTAAGAGAAAGACGACACTCAAGTGTCCTATGGCTACCAACGACGACAAGTCGGGAAGCTCACACTAGCAGCCCGGCCAACATGGTCGTATCGTCGCTTAGACTCGAAGTCGATACCATGAACACTTGGCGTACAAAAACTTAGCTGGTAGCACCAACAATCAAGTCATCTTCGCACCATCAAGACTTTCAAAGCGCCCATAGCACCAGCACCGGTAAACCAGGCGGCCCCGGGTTTCATCTACCGACACGACGTGCCTATGTGGCTACACATCACCCGCGTTCAGCTGGGTAAAGTAGAGCGCATTGGTGCCACGCTCCACATCGCGCGCGATGCCAACAACGATATAGTTCGCGCCCTCTGCCAGCATGTTTGCGTTGTGGCCCTGGGACGTTTTCCATGACTCAAAGGCGCCGTTGGCGCTGGTGTTCTGCGCACAATTCTCTGCCATCATCCACCGCTTCAGATTGTGCTTCGTCAGCATCTCCTGCTCGTATGCCTGGGCGCGTTCTTGGAAGTAGTCGTGCGAGAGCAGCCCCATGCGCGCCTGGTCGTGTGACCATCCCCGGGCGTAGGCCGCCAGATCGACGTCCCACTTCGCGGGCGGAAGCCCGCTCGCCTCGCGGTACTCGTTGATCCGCTTTACTAGCTCCTCCTCCATCTCGCCCAGCTCCGGGTCGTCCTGTTCAACTTTGCGCGAGCCGATATCAGCGCCGCAGTCGCGTCCATAGCAGTCTGTGCACCCACCATTCGTTTCCGTAGTTGTACCGGAAACTGGCGTCGTCGTTGATAATTGTGTGGTCCCCGCGTCATCTTCTTGCTGCTTTGAGATTTTTAGTGTTCTCTTTTCTCTTTTCGTGGATGAAGCAGCTCCTGCAGAGACCAAACTGCGATACCCGTAGGCAGAAACGAAAAGTCCATCCTGAAATGTCGTGGTGTAAATCACTAAAGCGAATAAAACGGTTATGTTGATTGCTTGTTTCATCTTGACAGGTAAAAAATGCAGCATTTGAGACGCAATGGATATCAAAGCAAAACAAAAATATTTTCTGAACGCACAAGAAGAGTCAGGGGGCGTACTGGTGAGTGTGGGTTCGGTCGTGTTCGATGGAAGAAGATGAAACTAGAGTGGTGGGTTCGCACGGTTTCCACCGCTACAAGTAGGCGTATGCCGAAACAAACATTTGCAATATCATATTACAGGTACACAAGAATGCACGACGAACGATACTACGCAAGAGCGACGAGCGGCGTTCTTCCAAAGGGAACGAGAGAATTGTACGAGTGCAAAGCGAGCCAACGACGCAGCTTCAAACGAAGAGAAATCAAGACCTACGATTACGCTATGTCCAAGTCCACCCAAGAGCGCCCATGGCCAACGCGGAGATATACATAACTTGATGGCGCCAAAGTTGACTGAGATTGACAGACGGAGAATCAAACGTGCTCCCTGAACAAGAATCCACCATGTGCAGTTGGTCAAGGTCAACAACAACGCGTTACAACTTTCAAAAGTTTTTTTGTAGTTGCGAATGCGACGTGGTGCTAGCTAATAAATAAGAAATCCTGCTGCTCAAGACATACCGGTTTCTCAAAAATCGAATCTCGAATACCTCCGCTCACTGCACATTTCCTTTATTTCCATAGTCTGGTTGTGGCCGACCGGAGTAGAGCTGACTTTTGTTGGTGCTCTTTTACCTAGTATCGGAAAATTTTTCTACTTCTTCCCAGTACATGATATTCACCTCATCCTTTAGCTTTACAACAGTCGCTGCGAAAAAAGAGGCCTACAAAATTTGTCTATGGTCATATTTATGCAGCTTCGAATGCTGTGACAGGTGTTGAATGCCAAACCATACTGCTTTTCATCGAGGATGTTGATATTGTACCTTTATTCGTGCCACGACACCGACTCCGGGTGCACGTGTGAATTTGCCAAAAAACGTGTTTTTCGAGAGTGTGGCCTCTTCAAAATTTTCCTTTCTTGTTCAGTAGGAACAGAATTATGGTACGTAACCACTCGTACAAGTAGTGAAACAACTTTACCTTTGGCCTTTTTGAACGATTACGATTATGATATATCCGCATGAAATAATCTTCTATTTTTTTACAACTTGCTTCTTCGCACCGGGTTCCCCGCCCCACCATGCGACTGCACGGACCCGCCGGTGGCACTGTTGCTTGGCCCCACACTGGGCTTGACGCCGAGCTTGAGGTTGACCACCCGAAACGCGCCCTTGTAGTATACGGTGAGCGTGTATCAAATGTAAAAATGTCTGGGTCTGGAAGAGTCATGCTGTTTTTGCATGACACAGAAGGTCTGTCATGGGAGCTCTAGCATCACAGGTTTCGAGAAGCTTCCGCAATGCCGAACCCGCATGAGAAATCCCCCATTTTGGTGACAGAAAGTCGGCAGCTCTTGCTACCTATGCATGAGAGATTTTTCTGTGTTCTGAAATGCGCATCACAAGTTCGGATCCTTCCAGACCCAGACATTTTTGCATTTGATAGCGTCAGACTCTCGCCCGGCTCCTTCGACTCGACCGCGTCAATAAGCTCCTCGGACTTGTATTGCAAGGAAAAATACCCCCTCCCCATATCGAGACGAAGTTTCTGATGCGGGATTTCTGTACACAAATGCGCGCTGTCTTGCAATAAGGCATCGCAGCTAGATCCTCAGCCTAGGTGGGGGCGTTTGGGTCTAGCTATTTAGCATTGCAGACGGCTGTCCCCTAGGCCCAACAGCATGCCAAATCGCTTCCATAATGGCCCGGAAGCCTCTGCATTTGTCTTCTTGCAAGACAGGCGTGATTTGTGGTCTCAAATCAGCAACACAAATTTTCGGAGTCATGCCGTTTCGATATGGGGAGGGGGGATTTTTCATTTTGATAACTTGTAGATCTTCTTTCCATCCACCTTGCAAATCACGTCCCCGATGAAAATCTTCCGCCCATCGCGTGTATCAATCGGAAACTTACATCATACTAGCACATCACACACTAACTTTGTAGTGCAAAAATGGCGAACCCAGAAACTCTGCAATGGGCAAGCAACCCTTAGGAAAAGCCATTGAAGATTTTCTGTTTTCTTTTCTTTGCACGTAGAAAAAAAGTGTGATTCTGATGTACTAGCTTTTTTAATCCACGGGATACCGTACAAAAGGCCGAAGCTGCTGCTTCTCCGCAGGGGAGTCGGGCTCCACTTGCAGCATCAAAATGAAATACCCCCGCACCGCATACCCGAAATAAAAAAACTTTTTTTCATGATGTGAGTTCATTTGTGTGCTTACAAACAACGCAGGGTTCCCTTACAAGAAGGCGAAAAGGCCGGCATCTCGTGGTCTCGCGTTTGCAAATATTGTCTTTGCATCCTAATCCTTTGGCGGGCATTGCAAAATTCTTTTTTCTTGCGCGATCTGCACTGCTGCTATGCGCGATCGCAACCTGCACTGTTGCTATGATCGAAGTCACTACCCTCCGCTGTTCTCTTCTCGTATGAACTGAAAAAGAACAACCACTTGCGCATGCACCACTCCCGGATTAGGCTAAGTCCACCCAACACAAATTTCCTTCAACGTCTGGTGGGAGGGCTTTTTCTTTCACCTTCATATGCAGCACGAAGACGCCGTTCACTTATTACAATGAAAAATGCCCCCACCCCCGAACTTGAAAGCATTTGTATTGCAAACCTTTCCAAATGAAACATTCGCCCTCTTGCATGTATCAGCATCACAGATTTCCGATCGTGAATAGCAAAAATTTGCATTGCAAAAGATCCCAGCAAGAGCGGTGCTTGTCATGCAAGCGATGCGAAACACCACTAGAATCTGCATCAGAAAGATTCATATTCCTTTCATGCATGACAAAAAGTTTTCTTTTGGAAACTTCGCATCACAAATTTTTGCAACTTTGGGGGTGGGGGGCACTTATCACTGTAATATCACCTCGGAGTACTTCTCTACCCAGTGATCCGGCGCGCAGTAGATCCCCAACCAGGGCCGCAGAATCCGACCGTATTGGAGGAACTGCTTGATTACCCGTTGGATCGTGTCCACCGGAATCGCAAAACCCACACCGGAAAACCTTTTTGATTGATCAAAAGCAACGAAATATCGTCGCGAAACAGGGCGGTAAAGTGATCAAAACCACATACTGCAGAATCAAACCTCAACACACACGCACCACGCCGCAGAAGTTTCTTTCTGAATAAAGGCAGAACCACAATGAAACCCTGGAGGTAAGTTGTATAAAAAAATACGCTCCGGACGGCGAAGCGATCATGGTGTTGATGCCGATGAGTTCGCCGTGCCGGTTCAGCAACGGCCCCCCGCTGTTGCCCGGATTGATCGCCGCGTCGGTTTGCACGAGGTTCCGCAACTTTTTCCCCGTGGCGCCCCGCACCTCGCGTCCCAGCCCGCTGACGATGCCGGAGGTGAGCGTCTGGTCGAAGCCGAAGGGGTTCCCAATCGCGAAAACTTTGTTCCCGACCTGCAGGTCGTGGGAGGTGCCAACCTTCAGCCCGTCCAGCTTCTTCTTGGGCTTCACTAAACGCAAAATTGCCAGGTCGCAATCCTCGTCCTCGCCCACCACCTCGGCCTCCAAGGGCTCGTCGAACGAGTTCTTGCTTTTCGTGGCAGAAGTGGAAGCACCGGCGTCGGAACTGGCTTCATCTCTACTTTGGTTCGTTGCCCCGGCAGTTTTTTGCACGAAATCGCCCATGTCCGGGGGGAACGTGACGAAGCAGCGACTGGCGCCCTTCACGACATGACAGTTGGTCACGACATGGACTCCGTCCTGCCACACGAACCCGCTCCCCACGCCCTTCTCGATCTCGATGGGGTCAAAATTCATGCTGTAGTAACCCCCGACGCGCGTGGTGATCTGACACACGCTGGGCGCGCACTTTTTGAACATCTGCACCGTGTCTGATTCCTCCGCAGAGAGGCTCCGGTTACTGGAAGCAGTAGTACCGGAGGTCTTGGTCGCCGCAAGACGATCCGTCGTTCCGGAAACCGCGTCTGTATTGCCGTCATCCGATCCTTTCTCCGCGGTTGTCGACGATGAACCAGGCGACGAGTCGCGCTTGCCTCTACTCTGGAACGCGCCACAGTTCCGATTCAAGTCATCTTGTAAAGATGATAATTGTGAGCTATTTTCATCGGATTGCTCTGTGAAGACGGCACTCTGCTCGTCTCCCTTCCTCTCTTCGCACTTCACAGACGAGTTCGTCTCGGATGTTTCACCGCGGGGCTTCAGAAGAAAAAAGTCTTTGCGGCTGACGAAGGTTTTCTCCTTCCTATTGTTTCTTCGCTTCTTCTCCTCCAAATTCTTCCTTTCCAGCAGCTGCCTCTCGCGCTCGTGCTCCGTCTTGTTCGGTTCCCGCGTCAGGGCATCTTCGCTCTCCTCCGCAGATGTCGGACTCGTGCGTTTCTTTTGCTGGTTTTCGTTCATGTTCTTTTGCTGCGTGCTCAGCAAATGCAGCTGCAGCAAAGACTTCAGGATCGACTTCTCCTCACCCTTCTGCTCCAGCAGCGCCGCCAGCAGCTTTCTGTTTCTCAGCGCCGTTGCGGGGTCAACCGGTGATGTTGACGGTGAGTTATTTTGCTGGTCCGCTGACGATGGTGCCCCAGCTCGGTCGTCGCCGTCCAAACGTGGGTCGTAACTGCGAACGATAAAGCCGCCGGTTTTCCCGTTTGGCGAACTGAACCGGATCTTTATCCTGTTGGGGTTCATCCTGTTTCTTGCCGTTGTCATCTCGTCGTGCAGCTGCATGTGCTTGTTTTGCGGCAACTCCTGCGTGAGCACCTTCACCGACCAGTATCCTGAGTAAAAATGTCCCCACACCATAGTCAAGATGGGGAATCGGCTAGACAAATCCACAAGTTTTTCTGTTTTGCATCACAAATTTGGATTCGTAGTATAGTGCTGCTTGAGCTAGCTCAGCAGCATCACAGATCTAGCACACCATGCTGATTGGTGCATGACAAATTGCAAAACGCGACTAGTAGAGTCTGCTTCTCATGGGGCTCCGCATGAGAAACGTTTTCAGGATGCAGATTTGCATTACAACTATGGGGTGGGGACGTTTTTAAATAGGATAACCAGTCCTCTGTCTTCAGCAGGGGACTCTTGCCCCCATCTTTGCTGCTGGACCTGCCACGTCCCGGCCGGGTAGTCGGCGGCGCCATTCGCAGGGCGTGTGGCTTGATGTAAAACTTGTCGCTCTTAATGAAGAATCGACGACTGAAGATGCTGCTACTGCTTCTGTGACACCCCGCTCTCCCCGACGGAAGATCCTCAGATAAGTAGGCGGCTCCTGCAGTCGCGGTTCCAATTGCGGGTAGAACCAAGCGTTGGAACCGCGAGTATTGGTGTTTGTGCTGCTGCAAAAAAAGAAGGCCTCGGGCAGTGTTCATGCCATTATTCTCCAACTCATGATGTGTGATGTCTTTGAATCTTCATATCCTTAACTCACTTCTTGGAATATTAAAATTTGAAACTTCACCTTGTCTTTTTTTCCGCGGGGCAGCACGAATTCGAGTAAATACAATTTCTGCTTCTAGATAGGAAGTATGTTCGAGTGTACCCGTAGGTGGTAAGAATGATCATGCAAAAAAAGGAATGCACGCAAAACCTTTCTACTGACACTGTGCGCTCCGCAGGGCGGATGTGGGTGGGTATGAGAGCAAGTGCGCAGCTAGAACTTGGAAAACCAAGATGGTGGAAAAACCGCCTTGGTATCAGCTTGCTTCGAAAAACTTTGTTGACCACCTCGGCAAAACCCACAAGCATCATGAAATTTTCTTCCCTCTTTCCATCTTCAACCACCACACATACTCTCGGAAGAATGAAACACGGACAGTAGCGTGCTAGCCCTTACTACGTCGCTGAAAAAACGCAACAGCCCTGTAAAAGCACATCGCGGCACGCATCATGAAAGACTCTCTTATACTCCTTTTCTTGACTTGTCAATAATGCCGTTCATTCGCCGAGCATCTCACATTCTTGGAATGTACGATCTCCTGTGCGTGTGAAACAAAATCCTTTCTCCTGCAACGACTAAAGAGCAAGCTAATATCGAAAAATCAGACTCACTGTGCAAGCAACGAGAGAGCATTTTTGAAAAAGTCAAAGCAACAAGAGAAAATTGGAACCCGTCTTGCTGCAAACGGGAGTACCCCTGTAACTGTATCTTCATCTTTCCCAAAAAAATATCGGGGTCATCAAATCTTGTTTTCTACACTCTTTTTTCGCGACAGCAAAGGCGGGGAACCTGCCGACTTGTCCACCTCCTTGCTTGCACTCGCTGAGGACAACATAGCTTCCTCCACCATTTCTGGCGTCAACCCCACGCCGCCCATACGATTGGGCAAGGGCGAGTCTGGCGGAGAGATGACCGCTGATCCGATATCGTAAGGAAAAATCCCCCCTCCCCATATCAAAACGGAATTTCTGCTGCTGGATTTGTGTACACAAATCAGCTTTGTATTCCAGGAAGGCATTGCGGCCAGATCCCCAGGCTAGGTAGGGGCGTATAGGTCTAGTTGTTCAGCATGACAGACGGCTCACCTTTGGGCCCAACAGCATGACAAATCGACTCCATAATGGGGAGGAAGCTTCTGCCCTTGTCTTCTTGCAAGACAAATGCGATTTGTGACCTCAAATCAGCATTTCGGAGACAAACCGTTTCGATATGGGGAGGGGGGATTTTTCCCTTCGATATCCGAAAGAGCTCTTGTGAAACGTCGCGGGCGACTCGATATGGAACTGTCAGGATTGAAATCGTCAAAGTTGAAATAGTTTGTGATGCATAAAATGGATGGCAGTTGGAAGCCCAATTTCTGAGCGGTACATGACAAATTTTGGCGGTCCCTAAATCCAGTTTGTCATGCTGTTTAGGCAAAGAAAACTGATTTTCTCATGCTACTTTAGCAGCTCGAGCTCTAACCCCGAACAGGCTTACAATCGGCCTCACTTGCCTCCTCTGCAACACACGTGCCTCGCGTCATGCTCATGCATTTTATGCATTACAAATTATTTCAATTTTGACGATTTCAATCCTGACGCTTCCATACTCGATGGGCATAGTGTACTCGTTGGTAGACGAGCTTCGCTGGCGGCTCGGGCTGCTGGTCGGATAGGAGGCTTTCTCTACGCAGATGAAACGATGATCATTGTCGAAAGAACCGGGGGCCGCGGACGCCGGCATAGGAGGGACCTAGTTCAGAGTTTTCGACGCAAAAGAACCTTGATAGAACCACGCTCTCAACAGACGACAAGTGGAACACAAGTGTGCTGCCGAACTACGATGTTGACAGCTGCGTTCTTGGCTAGAATCCGCACTCTATTTTACACTGCTATCGCGTTTTCGCACCAAGATTTACGTCGAAGAATCTTCAGTTTGCGCAAATTTACAACAATCATTCAGCACGAGGGCGTGCGGCTCAGGTTTACAGCTAATCAATCTGGTCATTGTGACTAGTCATGCAGCTAATCTGGAAGGAAAAACGTACGCTCATCCAACATGAAAGGGTATTAGTGTTTCATGCTGCGATGACGACGTACAGCTCTATGTATTCATCATCAATTTTCGTACAGAGGGCACATAGTGTAAGTACTGCTAGGCACGGCCTTGCTGGCTTGCGACCCAACAAATCCAAGAACTAATAGTGTACGGAAGTAGCGAAGAATTCATCGCGCCAAGCAAATCTTTGGCTTGACACAGACTACATCTGCCCACAGATGAAGATGCTGTGTGAAACAGCATTAATTTTCAAGGTATGTGGATCCACCTCGAATAGCTCTTGCGAAGATTGCATTATTTCCCTGCGTCATCACGACCTTGGGACCACTTCTACACAGCAGGTTCTAGATAAACTGAACGAAAATTATGCACCCATGATCAAAGTGGAATCTTTTTTATCTTCTGCACCCACCTGCGAGCTCTTGGACGCTTCCTGCTGCAGATCCTCCGGATTTCTACCGTGTTCGGATTGCACGGATTCTTGGAAGCCTGCACCCACCACCAGCTTTCCTTTGCCCTGCTCGAGTCGCTCCTCTAGTCTACCATCGGACGCCAACACAAACGCCAGAAAGACCGGGCTGGGTCGGTTGGGTCGGGATTTCATCTCGGGGTGGAACTGAACGCCCACGAAGAAGGGATGGTCCTGGTGCTCGCAGATCTCCATGCGCACGCCCCGCTCGTCCTGTCCGCTGAAGTAAAAGCCCTTGGCCTCCAGAGCTGGACGGTAAGCCGTGTTGACCTCATACCTGGAAAAGTTCGAAGCACACAGAATGGTGAGTTCGGTTCAACATTTCAACAGCGTTCGCCGAAAGAAGCAGTACGAGGATGTAGAATAGTATGCAAACAAAACGACCACTACTAGGAGCATCAATGTTTTATTGAAAATACCTGTGGCGGTGTCGTTCGTAGACGACGGGCTCGCCACCGTAGATTTTGCTCGCCAGAGAAGATTGATCCTTGATAATGGTACATCTGCTGCCCAAGCGCATAGTGCCGCCCATAATGGTGGTGGAATGTTCCGGCATGAAAACGACCGCTGGATGCGGCGTTGCTTCGTCGAATTCGGTCGAGTTTGCCCTTTCAAGGTTCAAAACGTGACGGCACGCTTCGATGGTCGCGACTTGCAAGCCAACACATATACCTGAAACAAAATGATACAGAGATGTACAGATTTCCGCACAGATGTCGTGATTTTTACTTCCGCTGAATTTTTCGCTCCCAAATAAAACTATGCGCAGAAAATCCAAAATGAATAAGCGAATCTTTTATACCGAAATAGGGCACTTTGTGTTCCCGGCAGTACTTCGCGGCGAGGATCTTTCCCTCGATTCCGCGGTTTCCGAACGCTCCCGGCACGAGGATTCCTGCGCAGGACTTCAGCTTGGCCCAACTCTCCTCGTATTTCTCCTTGTTATCGGTGAGCGTGTTGCCCTCCAGGTTAGCGGATTCGATCCACTCGATCTGCATCAAGACACCGGCTTCGATACAGGCGTGCATCAAACTTTTTACCACTGACATGTAGCTGTCCGTTAGGCCCGTGTACTTCCCGATAATACCGATCTTCAGTGGTCGCTTCAGCTGGTCCACGCGCCCGGCAAGACCGGCCCAGTCCCCGAGACGAGATTCCAGCGGGTCCACTGATTTGATGAGATTCATTTTGGATAAAATGTTTGTGCCTTTCAACCCTAGAAAGTTAGTAGCGGTGTCAGGAAAGTGAAAACATCAAACCGCGATATTTAGTGCAAAAGGCGTCTTTTTGCTACCACAAAATTTTTTCACTAAGATTCAAAAAGCGTTAGTATATGAAATCCAGTAAATTGCAGTACGTCCTCCCTGATATTCCACGCCGCCCAGCACCGGTGCCTTAATGCTGATTTTGTCGCTGAGGCCCAGCTTCTCGCACACCAGGTCGCCGAGTCGCTGCTTGACCATCAAGATCGGCACGTGGAAAATGTTGGAGACGTCGTGCAGACTAATGACCTCCTCCGGCTTCACCTGACAGAACAGGCTCAGCTTCTGCCGGATTTCCGGGAGGATGGCTTCCTTCGACCGGCAGCAGAGGAGGTCCGGCTTCAGACCGGCTTCGCGCATCACCTTCACACTGTGCTGGCACGGCTTGGTCTTCTGCTCCCCGGTGGTTCCCTGGTACGGCACCCAGCCCAAATGTATGGTCAGGAAGTTCCCCGGCCCGAGCTTAAACTGCAGCTGCTGGAGAGCTTCCAGGTAGACAGCGGACTCAATGTCTCCGACGGTGCCACCGAGCTCAATCAAGCAGACGTCCGGCTTCTTGCCCGTTCGTGCAGTCGGCATGCGCGCTACTTCCATGATCCAGGCCTGGTGTTGTAATCAGAAACATAAGTATCGTGGAAAGGATACTGGATCTGTAGCCGTTCTACCTCACTTCGAGGGATCATTCCCAAGCGTGTTGATGAATTTTTATTCGCATATGCAAAAATCTTGACAAAAGGTCAACACGAAATCAGAACAAATTATCTCCCACGTACCTGAATCTCGTCAGTGACGTGCGGCACCATCTGCACGGTCTTCCCAAGAAAGTCGCCCGCTCGTTCCCTTCTCAGGACTTTCTGGTAGACTTTACCCGACGTTAAAGAGTGAACGGATTCCAGAGACAAATCCAAAAATCGTTCGTAATTTCCCAAGTCCAGATCGGCCTCACCACCGTCATCGAGGACAAAAACCTCGCCGTGCTCAAACGGCGACATGGTGCCTGTTCGTTTTGTTGCAACGATAAGGGATAATGATAATCCATTTCGAAGTGGACTTCTTCGTTTCTGACGAAGATCAAAGGGGAAAAAATCAAAAAAAAGCCGACTGCTACACCACATCAAACAGGTACAAAACCAAATTAGAAAGCCGCTTTCTCACCTGCGTCCACATTGAGATATGGGTCGATTTTCATCGCGGTGACATTGAGCCCGTGCGACTTGAGTACCACACCCAAGGAGGAAATTGCCGTTCCCTTTCCGAGGCCGGACACGGTACCACCGGTCACGATCAGGAATTTGCAATCAGGTAGCTCCATCGGTTCGATCTTCTTTCTCGTACTCCCAGATGACGACGCCATTTTCGCCTTTATTTCAAACGGGAAAACTTAGCAGTAACAGCGAAAGTGCCTTCGATCGCCAGTAGAACCAAAATCAATAATTGTCGCAAAAGAAAAATGAAAATCTGTACAGAAGTGACTAGATATCAAATACGGTCGTGGGTTAGCGTGAGGCTAAATATGATGTGCACAATATCGCTGCAGAAGGACGACCATAACCAAACCTACTACTAATTCTACCAGGCCTGGATTCGAGTAGAAAGATTTTTTCGATTTCGTGCGTTCGATAAACATTTTCGATTTCAGCATGGTTTTATAGATGGCTCGGACGATCTCGACACGAAAAAGCATTTGGTTGAAAATTCTCCATCCGCAAAACGATCGATTTTCGAAGCGTAGGACTAGATCTAGTCGATCTTCTCGCGATTTGTGATCTGCGAAAATTTGTGCGCGGAGACAAGACCAAAAGTCAACTCAAAAAGAGATCTTTCTAAAATCTACTCACGCCATGCTTCGCATTTCCGAAGCTTTACCGGCCCAAGAGGAAAACGATAGCGCATCTGCATTAAGATCCTTCATTCACTATTTCTTTTTCTCAAATGTCAAGCATCAGTCTCGGATCGAAAGCTCATACCATGAGAATATACCGAGGTAAACACTCGCACTTCGAGCCTCCAGCGCACAAAATTGGTACTGATAGCGCATCGGTTGCACTAGATTGGCAACTAGCGTCTTTTTCCGTTTTCCTTATTCCTCTCGGTTTCTACATTTGTCATTTTACATGGGTCGCTTTGTCGTGAAAAAAACGGTTGACAAGGCAACAGCTGCAAACCATAAATAAGTAGGTTCTCGGGCAACAGAGTTCCTAGGAGGTTGACTAACCGTCCCGCCGTGCATTTTAAAGGGAGAAGTAATTTACAGGTGGTCGTAGTAACAGTAAAGTTTTATCAACGTCGCTTGATATTAAAAGTTGCATTTTGCTTGGTAAGCTCAGACTTTTGAAGACGTTCTTCGACGGTGCTACAAAGAAACGGTTTGATGACACTGAGAGTGTTACTGTACCTGAGAAATTCCACTGCGTCCCCTCGGTCTGCTCCCGTCCCTATCAGAGAAGGACAGTTGCAGCAGGAGAGCCTGCATTTTTATTTTGCTTTATCATACAAAGAAGATATCAAGGTAAATCATTGGTTTTTCTCCTGCGACCATCTCGACGCGCCGTTGCCTCTTATCCGACCGGGCGGAAAAACCGGGCGAACGCCGAGGAGGGCTGCGTCTTGTCCAGATCTACCTCCGTCGTATCGACCACGGTCGTCACATCGACACTTGACGTTTTTGGTTGCGCTGGTGGCACGACCGCAACGGGTGGGATATGTCTTCTGGAAGACTCCACATTCTTCCCGTCCTCCAAAACGACGGTCGTTACATCCGCGATGTTCACGCTTCGCTGCTGCACGTCAACATCCCGCCGGGTATTCACCAACTGCTGGTCTTGCAGGTGCACATGTGGGTCGATCGGTTGCTGTAGTACTCGGTTTTCATCCTGCACAGACGTGCTGTCCTCTGGATAAAACTCCTCCCCTACGGCTCCTCTTGGCGGCAGCTCGGAGCCGTCTCGCCCCCGTCCCTGCATGTCCTCCGAGATCGGATCCCTCCGCTCCTGCGCGGAAGGGACTACTTCTCCCCTGTTTTGTTGGTTTCGCCGCCTTCGTCGCGGGCTCGAGTCCTTGCTCTGCTTCTCTTTCTCTTTCAGGGAATTCTCCATGCTACTCGAGCTCTTCGTACTCTGCTTGCTGCTCGTTTTACTGGACGCGAGGGAGGACTGGGCGGACACCAGCACCTGCAGCTGCTCGGAAAGTTGCTGCATGTGGCTCTGCAAACTGTTGATGTCCTCCCGTATCCTGCTTTCCATGCCGCGATTGTCGTCTCTACCGCGGAAGTTGACGCGTGGACCTCTTTCGTTGGCCGCTTGCAACTCCTCTTGCGAGAAAAGCCGCAACTGTTGAATTTTCGCGCGAAAAAAGTGAAAATGCTGGTGCACCTACTAGTTGGTAAAAAGTTGTAGTCATGTTAATATCCGGATCAAACAAGAGAAAACAACGAACTCAAATCCAATTTTCTCCAAAAATGTTCTTATACCAAGTCGTCAAACGTGTGAATTTTTGACTTCTGCGGCAGTATCGGTGAGTTCATCACATCCAGCGGGTCGTCACTGGACTTCCCGCTGTCGAATATGCGCAGCAGCCGCGGCCCCTGATACGAGGCCACGTCCGACAGACACTTTTTCTTCGAGTAGCTAGCCACCAGCGACGCGGCCCTGCGCAACGCGAGTTTGCAGGCGATTTTTCTTATCGCTCTTCGCTCCCGCGGGTACCCGCGAAGAATATTGTCCAGTTGCTCCTTCCCGAGGGACAGCAGCTGCACAAATGTTAGGGCGGTGGTGTGGGCGACGTGCTGCAGCCTTCGGTCGGCCAAAATCACGTCCTCGCCCCATACGGACCCAGGGACCATCACCTTCCCCGCGCGCCCCACCGCGCCGCGCTCCACCACACACAGACGCACGTAGGGCATGTTGATTTTTTCCTTCCGGGCGAACATCAAAACGTCAAACCCGTCGACTAGTTCCAGGATAAAGGACGGGGAACAGCCGCGAAGGAACGTCACATCCTTGATCCACTGGCTGCTCGTGTGCATAATCAGCTCGCACTTTATCGACGGCGCCATGTCCTTCGAAAGTTCGCGCGACCGCAGCAACCGATGCAGGTTCTGCGCTTCTCGCATGTTCTCGCGCAGCTTACGCTGGAGGGTCGGAGGGACCTGTTGTGTGGAGATGAGTTAGAGTTGTAGAATTGTGTGAAAACTATATCTCCTGGGCCGCGGCGTCAGTAGTTGAAAGATACAGACCACACGATCACCGAGCCACATGGAGTGCATAAACGTTTTTTCAATCGAGAACTTTCAGTACCAGCTGCTCTTTCATCATACTGTTCAGCTGGTCCATGGACTGTTCGAACTCGACGCGCACCGGGTCCATGTTCATGATCACGCTGCAGGCGTTACCCATCACGTAGGCCCAGGAGAAGGAGGCAATGAACATGACAATGACGCAGGTCAAGTACTCATTCCAGTGCGTCGGGGTCACGTCCCCGTACCCAATGCTTGTGATGGTCATCACGGACCAGTGCAAGGCGATCACGTACACGCTGAACTCCAGGCACGGGTCGTCCGCGTGCAGAAACTGCTGCTTCTCCTGGTCCGTCATGGAACTTATCGTCGGACTGGCCCCGTTGTTCCCGTAACTACCCAAGACAAACGTGTTCTTCACCCAACTGCTGGAGCTCCAGTCGTTAAACGGGTCCCGATACGGGTTCCGCACGCGCGACGCCACGATGCTCACCTGGTTGGTCCGCGGGTTGACGAGCTCGTCCCCAGAGTTGAGCCAGCAGTTGGTCGGCTTCCCCGTAAACTCGAGCCCCACGAGGCCCCACACACAGGCGGTCCAGTGCGAAAGGAGCAGGATGCCGATCCCGAATTTTGCCAACGCGATGGAAGCGAAGGAAAGAGAGATGTGGTCCTGCCATCGTTTGAACAGCCGCGACGCACGGAAGATCCTTGCCAGCTTCAACAGTCGCAGGAGCCGGAAGATCCGGAACGTACCGAGCGACTCACCGGACCAGCACGTGATCAAGTCGTAGGGGATGATAGAGAGAAAATCAATCAGAAACCACCCGGAAAGGTACTTCTGGATGATCTGTCGGCGGTCGCGCAACAGGACGGTGCCGCGCCGGGATTTCTGCTCTACTTTCAGGTAAAACTGCATAATCATGTCCTTCAGGAAGATGACGTCAATCACACGGTTGCTGAAGCTCAGCGGCGTCAACCCGCAGGAAGACCCAGAAAGAGGTAAAATGAACCCCACTTCAAAGGGGGTAACCAGGCACGTGAAAAGCAGCGCGGTCATAATCTGGTTGGTATGTTGATGCGTAGATTTTTAGCTTTTTGTCCGTTTTGCGGCTATATTTAAGTGATCTTGCCTGTTACTTAGCGTGCTGTCCTATGTTGCAGTGGCTTTTCATATGTATGAAACAAATTTCACCTTACCACAATGTCCCATATTTTCATGTAGCCTGCCGTCGGGTCAATAAGAAACGCCAAGTTTGAGCTCAGCGCCTGGTGGATCAGCATCGCTTGGTCCTGCATGGGAACTTTCTCCCAATTCTCGTGGCCGTTCCTCTGCGCGAGGCCTTTCAGGTCGATGGTACGAGGCTCCAGCTCACCGCCGATACGGCCAGTGATAAACTCGATTACCTGGATGAGCGACATTTTTCATCAACGACTCAACAAACTGCACGGCATATGAAGCTGCACCTTCTGGTGCGTCACCACGCGCGAACAAAACGAGCCTACTCGTGGTCTATCGAAAGTGTACATCTACACTGCTAGTCACAGTACTTTCGCCTTCGTGCATCCGAACAGGCAGCAGCTTCTTTTTCTCGGGCTCGAGGGGAAGTCCAGAGACATACTGGACGACGACTTGCTTTGGTCCCGACCGCAAAACCGCATGATTTGCCGAACGGAGCGATAGCCCTGCGTGTTCGGGCTCATGGCGGAAAACGTCGAATGCCTGTTCGGGGTGGGGCTATTAAAGCCATTGAAGTTCATTTTGCAGGAAGGCGAACTCGGATCATAGTCCTCGTAGCTACTCGGATAATTGTGGTGCATCGGACACGACCCCCGATTTCGCACGGGCGAGACGTTGCGGCTGCGCGGTGGGTCGTTGTGGCCGTTGTCAAAATTGTCCAAGTCTTTCGACCGCGCCGGACTGACGTTGCTGTGTGCCATCTTCTTGTCCTTCTTCACCGCGTCTGGGTGTTGCCCACGGGCGTCCAGTGCGCGATTCAAGATTTTGAAGGTCGACTCCTGCGATTGGATACTGTACTTCCGCTGATCGCTGTGGTGGCTGGAATTGTGCTCGTCGTGCAGCGAGCTCACGTGCTGCGCAAGCATCACCGTTGACGCTGTTGCCGCAGCCATAGGGATAGTACTACTCCGACGGCCTGCTGCGCAATAAACGCCTTTACTTCAATCGCAGCGTGCAGGCAGCACAGCAACGATATTTCCGCTTGGGTCGTGCTCCCGACATTTTTTTCCCTGCAGCTACTTAATATACTCCGTACGCAAGAACCTAGAAGCAGATACGCACTCTGGGCTCTTGCGTTGCGTCGGTTATTCATAAAAGATCGAACAAAGAAGCCCGCTTGTGGCTCCGCTACTTTCTCACCTACAGAGTGTTCCAATGCGATGGCAAAAAAAGCTGGTATCACACGGAAATCCTTTTTGAAGCCCTCTTCTCCTTTTGTCGCTAACGCTTTTTGTAACAGCTCCCGCTCGGACTCGAAGCAAACGACGAAAAAGTGAATAAAACCGCTGGAAAAATTGGATTATCATAAGAAACGCGAACAACAGTATAATGGATGCACAAATATGAATTTTGTGCCGCGAAACCTTCGAGCTAGTTTGATTTTTTTCAACGTCAGTGACACTTTTTCTATACTTTTGTTCGAGCGCACAACTTTGTTTTACGTTGAAAAGTCGTCAGATGTGAGTCAGAATCTTCCTCGCGCTAACCTTGCTCCGTCTCCCAAAGTACCAACAACATGCGAAGGACAGTAGAAGCGGTATGAAGTTGTCAGAGGTACTCCTCATCTTCGTCCTGGCACAAAGCCGTGCTGTGCCCATGCCGGTCTGTGTTTTCCATCGCCCTTTTCCCGCTCGCGGAGGTTGGCCGGCCGCGACGAGGCGGGGAGCGCTTGGTGCGCCGGAAGGTTCATCCCGGGCATGAGGTTTGGCATCGAGGGGGTGTGCCCCATGTCCATTCCGGGTAGGCCGCCCGCAGGCACATGGATGATACCGGTGGGGACCATGTTCATCGCGACTGGTGCGCCTGATGCGTTCCCGCCATAGCCTCCTGCGGGCGGCAACTGCGTGTGCGGCTGCGGTTGCATACCCGGATACTGTGCGTTGGGCCGCTGCAACATCGGCATGCCAGACATCGGATTCGGAGCACTCCGTGGCCCGGCGGCAGTTATCGCTGTTTTGATATTCATTTATCATTGAAACTTTAAGTCATTTCTTCAACACGAGCGAGGCAAAAGCCAAATTATATATTTCCGCTCTGAACGCAAAAAACGTGCAAAAAATCTGTACGTGCGCCGGCCTTTGCACTGATCTTCTGCTGGAGTTTCTCCTTCTCCTTCTTCTTTTTCGTTTCGACAGCCCTGACGTATACATGCCTCTCGGTGCCTGGCTCTTCCGGTGTCACTGTTATGATTTCGCATCCGCGGAGAACGATCAACCCAATCGTTCTCTTCACCTCTTTCAACTTCTTCTCGCCCTTCACCTTGTACCTGCATGAGAAGGAAGAAACTGCAAAATTCAAACGGCAATCTAGTATAGGTCCGGAAGATTGACTTTTGCTCAAGAAATAAACCAGAAGCGCACAAAAAAAAAACAAAAAAAAAAACAAAAAAAATGTAGAAAATCAGCAATACAGGCGTGATTCTTCCGTTTTGTGCAGAACCAGATTGAAGTGCCGATCGACGCCCATTAGTATGCCAATCCACTGCCGGTCGAAGCACTGTACTCGCACTCTCCAGTTAAAAAACTGGGCGAGCTTCCGTCGTGTCGGTCGTTGCTTTCCCATTTGGTCTCGGGTGGTCGCTTTTGGAGTCTACGTACTTCGACAGAAATTAGAATAAAATCAATCGCGAACAATACGCTAGAGATAATCGCTTCTTTCCTGTGGAAAAAGTCGCTTCAGCGTCTACTGTTGACCTAGAAAGAAAAACTTGATAAGAGCGCGCTGCCGAACTATGAAACATCACTTCCGGACCGTGTCGCCTGAAAACCAGTGTGAAAGGGACACTTCGATCGAAGCGAAAAGAAAATTCATCAACGCTAAAAATCATTCGATCTCAAAATTCGCAAAGAAGAGACCGGTGATCAGGCGTGCCACTGCCACGGGGATCTTGAACTCGCTTATCGATCTTCTTTTTTTTTGCAAATAATCCAGAACACGAAACCAGCACTTCGGTTTTCTTCATCATTTCCGTCTACTTTCATAACGAAGCACACGAATGCAAAGTGCTGGCCTCTGATCTTGTATTTCTTATCGAAACGGATTCGTACATACTTACTGTAGTTTCGCTTAGCCGTTTTTTACGTGGTGGTATAGATCAGCCAAAATTTTCAGGGGTCGTTCTTCTTGTAGGGAAACTTTATCTAGTTCAAGTATCAATTCATTGCAATTTGCAGGGTAAAGATCCATTCGAATAGGGATGTACGAATAGAGAAAAACTCTACGCAAAAAAAAAGGGTCTTGTGAAATATTTCTAAAATGCTTAATTTCTAGTGCATCAGAGCGTCCAGGATGCTGGCATAATCATCGATCCTGGGCCCTGTATTAGAGTGGTGGTTAACTCCCGTTCTAATCTTTCTAGCTGTGCCATGACGCTACTTACCGTAGCGTCGGGATCCACTATCGCCTCCGGCAAGGGGTCGACCCAGTCATCCTCTTGGTAGAACATCGCTATTTGGCCTAATGGCGACAGCTTTGGCGGTTCCTCTTCAGCGACAGCTACTGTTATTTCCTTTTCCACGTCTTTCGCGGAGAGCGGTGGAGTCCCGGGAGCTATTATCGGCTCAGGGGCTATTTCATCTCTCGGTGGGACAATATTTGAGTCTGTCGACGTAATAAACGGCGATGTCGCGGCAGCTTCGAGGTGTTGTTTCATCTCTGCCTCCTGGAGTTCCTTCTCCGTGTGCATGGTTCTTCGTTGCGACCGTCTCTCGGAGCTCTTGGAGCTGTGCCGCCGGGTGGAGTCTGTTTTTGGGCGGATGCCGCGGCTACTCGTGGTGTTCTTCGGCAACACGCCTCGGCCGCTTTGTTCCACGGCGTTGCCATTGTCCCGGATCTTCCTCAACAAGCGGTTACTGGACGGTGGGGCCTGTTTTGGCGTTCTCGACGAAGTCGTGATCTTGTTGTCCACCGCAACTAAATTTCGGGAAGAGCTTGACGCAGCGCCAGCCCCGGGCAACGCTTGTCTAAGTTTTGCAACTTTTTGCTGAATTTTGGGATCCTGGTGCGCCGGGACGGTGTGCTTCACCGGGCCGTTCGCATCACTATCCGAGTTCCACACGTTTTGATCCCCGTTTTTGGTTCTTTCTGACGGCGCAGCTGCAGCTGCAGCTCCTGCGCCCCCTTTTTCTACTATTGCTGCAGCCAGTGACACTGATGCACCTGCACCCGCTTGCACTTCCGGTTCTTCAGCTCCGACGCCGATGGCAATATCCTTTGTCGCACTCCTGTCTTCTTCGTTCTTCAACTCAGAATTGGCCTCATCCTGAGGAAGGGCCGGCATCATGCGAACAGAATCAGCGATCAACGGGGCAGCTCCGCTCTTCGGCGTGACCTCCACCACTCGTTCCTGATTTTCCGGCGAATTTTCTTTCTCACCGTCTGGCAGCGGACCTGTGCTGAGTCCCCACGTGCTGTTCACACCGAAGGAGTTTTCGGACATCTTTATCAAACTCAGATCGATAACAGTGCTCGGACTACCCGCAAGCGTTGCCCCACTAGTGTTCATCCGCTCGCCCGAACTTCCGCGGCTCTGCGGCTCCTTGTAGAGCGCGAACGGCTGCGTCTGCTTCAATTGCGAAGTGCGCCCGGATCGTGGCGTCGTGTACTTGTCCGTTGGTAGAACGACTGCAGCTCCTTTAGGAGCACTGCTAGAGCCAGCACTTGCGTCTTTGCCAGCCCCCGCAGCAGCTGCAAACAAATTGTTCACATTTGCCAGGTCCGCCGCGTCCGTTTTATTCGCGGCACTACTGGCCTGCAGCTTCTCGCTCTCCGTCTGCTTTTCGCTGGGGCCGAGCAGCGCGCGCATCTTCTGCGTCGTTTCGATCCGCGCGGCGCGCTCCGCCTTCGGGATGATTCGCGTGGGCTCCGGGTGGTCCGTGATCCTGGACAACGGGGACGCGTTGTTGCTGCTGCGGCCCGTGGCGTCCAGCGGCTTGCCACCGCTCCAGCTGTTGTGCTTCCGGATTTCCTCCTCCTTGTCTCTTGCCTCCTGCACGGCTTTCTCCTTTTTCTCCTTCTCGGCCTTAGTCGCAGCCTTCAGCTTCGCCAGAATGCTGAACCCCTGCGTCTTGTTCTTCACGCGCTCCAGCCGCAGCTTGTTCTTCAGCTTGGAGATGTTGTCCACGGCGCGGTTCGGATTGTTCAGATCCATCTTCGACGCGAGCTCCTTCGCCTTCTGCACCTCCTCGGCGGTTCCCACCGGCTCGGAGGGTGCGAGAGACGCCTTGCTGCTGGCGGCCTTGCTCGCCGCACCACCCCCGCCGCCCATCAGCAAAAGCATGGCCTTGTTCGTCTTCCCGACCTCTTCAATCGCAGACTCGCGCTCCTGGGGGGTCAGGTCCACATTTTTCTTGACCGGCGGCGCGCCCTCCGGTACGAGCTCCGCCTCCGCGATCTGCTCGATCTCCTCCAGCGGCGCGTCCACGTCCACGACCTCCGTGGTCTCCGTGACGGCCTGCGTCATGAACTCCTGCAGCTTCTTGGCGCGCTCCTCCTCCTGCTTTTTCCGCTCCTCCTTCTTGCGCTTCTCCTCGATGGCTTCCGCGTCGTTCAGCGTAGTCACACCCGCGGCCAACGAGCTCAGCGACTGCAGCTCCGTCTGCAGGTTCGCGAACTTGACCTGCCGCTCCTCCTTGGTGCCCTTGCCCACCAGCGACTGCACCTTCTTCTCCGCTTCGTCGTTCGCCCCGAACTCCAGCAGCTCCAGCTTCTTCGACTCCGCCTGCGTCTTGTTTTCCAGCGCATCCAGCTTGGCCTTCAGTTCCGGGTTCAGGTCCCCGGCCTTTTGCAACTTCTTCAGCCGCTCCTGCACCAGGTCCCACACCTCGAAGTGCGAGGCCTTTTTCTGCGTGACCGCGGCCACCGCCTTGGTCATCATGAAGCTCTTCTTCATGGTCTTCCACTTGCTGCCCTCCTTCAGCGTGACGGACTCGCGGCCGGAGGGAATGGCCTTCTTCTCGTTCATCTCCTCGGTCTTCAGATCCGCGATCATGGCCTTCCACTCCTCCTGCTTCGCCGCCTTGTTGGCCTGCGACGCTCGCAGCTGCTTCCACAGCTTGGGGCTGGAGCTGCTGTGGGCGGAGCTGGGCGGCTTCGGCGTGGAGGGCGCGGCGGAGAGCGGCGGCGCCTCGGACACCGCGGCCTCCGTGACGCGGTCCGGCTCCTCCTCCTCTCCGACAGACTCGCCGTCCTCTTCTTTTAACCGCTTAAGCAAGTCCTTCTGCTGCTCGAAGATGTCCGTGTGCGAATCCCGGAATAGCTTGGAGTGGAAGCACGGCGGCGCGATCGCGGCATCAGAAATCTGCAGGACCTGGCCATCCGCCCCGATGAACTGGTCCGCCTGTTCGAACCCGGGCAAGACCTCCATCTGCGCCCAGGTTCCCACGTCGATGCTGTTCCGCTTCTGCCCCGCGGGCAGCAGCTTCGCGGTCCAGTCGCTCTTTCCGAAGATGGACGCCCCGGCGTTCTGGGCGGAATACCGCTCGATTGGCGTCGCCTTCGCGAGCTCCTCCTGCTTGGCCTTCTTTGCGTCGATCGTGATATTGCCCGCACTGGCGCGGTTGATTTCGTCCTGCGTCTTGCCGACCAGGTGCTCGGAGTCCCGACCAAATTGGGCCCAGGCCGAGGTGTCCTGCTTCCCGCCCGAGCTGGCCTCGAAACTGCCGAAATCCCCCCGCGGCGGGCCGGGGCCGTCGAGACCATCGTTTTCCTCGTCGGAATTCGCGCCCGGGCCGCCCATCTCCTTCGACTGCAGCTTGATCCCCTCCATCTCGAGCAGCGAGTTCTTGGTCTTGCGCACGAACGTGTTCACGATCGCGTACACCGCCTTCTCGCCGTGCGTCATGCCCTCGGTGGGGTCCTCCGCCTCTTCGTCGAGCAGCAGCTCCGTGGAGACAGCCTTGTCGTGAAACAAATCCGGCAGGATCGAGTCCGTGAAGTTTTCCCGCATCTCCGGATTGGCCTGCACGATCTTCTCGGAGGAGGTCGCCAGGTAGCTCGCACCCGCTTGCACGCGCATCTCGGACCGGCCGTACACCGAGGGCACGACCGGCACGCCCGTGCCGGAGGACCGCACCGGCTTGGGGCGGCTGGAGTGTGGCGCTTCGAACCGCATCTGCGTGCCAACCTCGGCCACGATCGGCTTCGCGGCCTCGATGCGGCGCTCGGCCTCCTCGCCCGCCTCGTACTGAATCACGTAGTCGAGGAGAACCGGGTTCTTGCCCGCCAGCTTCTTCGCCGTCTCGATCTTTTTCCGCTGCGAGACCTGCGAGTTCTCCAGGGCCTGGTTGATCGCCTTCGACATCATGCCCTTCAGCCGCCCGTGCGACTTGCTGCCCTGGCCGGGCAGCATCACGGACCCGGCGACGTCCGCCTGTTTCAGCTGATTCAGCAGCTTCTCCGCCTCGACGTCTTCGGGGCCCGGTCCCGGCGCGCCGTCGGCCTTCTTCACCTGAAATAGCAGCTTTACCTTGCGGCCCGCGGGTCCACCGAACGCAGACACCCCGCCCGCAATCAACTGCGGCGGCGCGACAACGCGCTGCGCAGCCAGATCTTCCGGGGAAAGAATCTGCTTCTCTTTCGGCGGCTTCAGCACTTCCCGCAGCGGTGTTTGCTCCGGGAGCGTAAACGCTGAGATTACGGTGGTGGAAAGGTGCTCCGTTTCTGTCTTCTTTGGACCGGCGGGTGGTGGCTCCGGGGCGGCCGCGCCGAAGTTCATGGCCTGGCTCAAGTCCAGCACCGGCATTTGCAACTGCCCGTCGGCAGGCAAGGGAGCTTTTGCTGCCGTTGGTCCCTTGGGTAGTGAGAAGCGGCTCTGCGGCACCTGCGACTCGCGCCCCCGCTGGGGATCCGGGGAGAGCTGCGGAGACAGGGAGATGCTTTGGCGGAGCTGCACATTTGGCGGAGACAGGGACGCGGCCCTTGTTCCCACTGGTGGCCGCGTGCTGGTACGCTTCGGGGACGCCGCCTTTCCGTCGGGAGCGACATTTTCGTCGTCGTCCGCGGCGATCCCGCTCGTGCGGATCTCGGGCGGCAGCGAAACCGACCGCTGCGATCGCGGCTTTCGCATGCCACGGCTACTGGCCTTCGAGCTCGTCGGGGAGCCAGGCACCTTTTCTTGCGACGCCGTCGCAGCGGCCTCCTGGCCGGGCGCGACGATGCCAGGCGGCAGCGCCTTCTCCGGGTTCTGCAAGGTTTCCGGTACCTCCAGCGAATAGCGCTTCAGCTCCTGCTGCCTCGCAAGCTGCTCCGCCAGCTGCTCCTGCTGCCTTGCTAGCTCCCGTGCTTGACGCTTTTCCTCGTCCGTCATTCGTTTTTCCTTCTCCAGCTTTTTCACCATGTCCAGGAGCTGTCTTGCCTCACTCAAAGTGTCGTCCAAATGCGCACTGAGCCGCGCGTTCTCGCGCTGGTCGGCGTTAGGCATAAAGTCCTCGACCGTCGGCATCTTCCCGAACAACTTCTTGCCGCCGAGCTCCGACGGCTGCAGTTTCGGCGGGTTGGTCCTCACGTTCGTGCGCAGCTCCGGCCTACCGCTCGGGGAACCGACCGCGCCGGGGATCAGTTGCCTGGGTGGGGACAACGACTGCTGCGCCGTCGGAGACTGATGTTGAAACGCGGGCGCCGCTCCCATTTTTCGATTGAGCGGGACCGGGTCATGAGCCCGCACGTCGAAGTTGATACGACCCGCCTTCACGCGGCTGAGATGCTGTTCCATGTTGTTCGCCGACACGCTGAATCGACCCAGCACCATTTTCGGGCTGCCGTCTTCGTTGAAGTCGTCGCGGTCGTCGTAGTAGTCGTCCTCGCGCGTCATGCCCCCGCCGCGCTGAGCCATCTGCCTCCGCGTCGCGCGGCCGCGATGTATGGCCTGCACCTTGGTTGCGGCCTCCCGCTCCTCCCGCATGCTCCGCCGGGTTTGCTTTCCGCGGTGCACGGCCTGGATACGGACCGCGGCCTCTTTTTCCTCGACACTTTGCCGCCGCTTGGCTTCGACCTCGCGCCGCGCCTGCTTTCCGCGCTTGATGCTTTGGATGCGCAGGGCTGCAGCCTCCATCTCGTCGTCCATGATAATTTCGTCCTCCAGCGTCTCCTCGCCGTAGAACTGCATCGTCGCGCGGTTCTGCATCGAATTCGCTCGCGCAAAATCCTTCTGCGTTGCCCGCGCGTTCGGCGACAACGAGGCGGCGCGCTGCGTTCCTCCACTGCTTGATGCGAACTTGGACTTTCGGTTCTGCTCCTCCATAAAGCTGGTAATGTTCAGGTTCGGTGGCTGGATTTTCTTGCCCAGGAAATCAGTGCCCGGCGTGACCGGCGACGTGATCTGGAACTCTGTCTCGCGCAGCACCGCGTTGCGCCCGTCGCCAAGGCGGCTCCGCGCCTCAAACTCGTAGTTCTTCTTCGATAACTCCGGCTTTGGGATTGGGTCCATGTAGTCTACGGCGAGTTCCGGCGCTTCGATGCTTTTCACGTCGTAGGAGACCGCCTGCTTCGGGTTCACGGCCTGTTGGATCACGACTTGGGACTTGCCCGTGAGCCGCGGCCCGATGTCGGGACTGAGACTGGCCGACTTGATGCGCTGCTCGGCCTGCTTGTCGACCTTCACTTCCGCGGGCGGCACGAAGCGCTTCGGGTCGATGATTTGGTCCTTTTTCTTCAGCTTCGACTTCTCGAACAGCTCCAGGCGCTTCCGCTCCTCCTCCTTTTTCTCCTTCTTCTTCTGCTGCAGCACCTGGACGCGCTTGGCCAAGTCGTCCTCGTGACTGGCCGCGGCCGCCAGGAAGGGGTTGTGGTGGTGCTTGTGGTGCTCTTTCGATTTTGACTTCGACCTCTTCTTTTGCGCCGCTGCACCGTCCCCGGTCGACTCGTAGCCCTCGTCCTGCGACAGCTCTTCCTGCTCCGACTCGGATGTGGTATGCACCTCCATGCCCAAAGCGTGGTCGAAAAAGGCCATGGCGTTCTTGAACTTGCGCACCGTCTGGCGCTCGCGCTGTTTCCGGACCTTTGCGTCCAGGGTCAAGTCGGTCCGCACCCCGGGGTTGAACAGCGGCTCAAGCTTGAACAGCGAAGGCTTCGCGTCGAACTGCCCCGCCTTCTGCAGTTGCTTGGCGCTGATGCTGTCCTTGGACGCGACGTCTTTGCGGTCCCAGGTGCCGTCGGCCTTCTCCTTGAACCCAAACTCCTTGTTGTCCTCCTCGAGCGTCGTGTCAAACGTGACCCGCAACTCCGCTCCCTCGAAGGCCGAACCCGGCTCCAGTCCTGCCGTCGCCTCCTTCGAGGACGACAGCTTTTGCTTCAAACTGTCCAGGTGCCACCGCACCTCGCTCTCCACGCCCGCGGGCAGCTGCTCAAAGGGTACACTGCGCAGCAGCTCGTCGATCTTGCGGTCCGCGGTGTCCAGAGCGCTCTTGGAAGCGGACTTCGAGGCTTGTGCATCTTTATCGCCCACACCAGGCTCCGGCGGAGACGGCTTGAATGCCGGTGAAGGACTCTGCGCCGAGGCAGCTTGTTCTTGGACCACTGCAGCCGCGCCCGGTGTTGTAGGAGGCATGACTACAACTGGCGCGGCGGCTGCAGGCTGAGACGCGGCCAACCCATCCGGCGACACCGAACGTGTCGGGCTAACCGACCGCGACGATCCCGCTGTTTTTGATGATTTCAAGATGATTTTACAGATGTTGCGTACCACCTTGCAGTCGCGACTTTTTAAACAGCAACTCCACAAGCAAGACAACAAAAGCACAAGAAAAAAACGCTCGATGAAAAAGATACAAATTCTGAAACTACTACTCCTGCTACAAATCCAAAACATACCTGGTCGACACAGCGCCTTGGTCTTTCTGTATATCTCGTCCGCCTTCGGCAGCACTGCGGGCGCTTCATACAAGAGTCTCGGCGCGATGATATTCGGGCGGTCCATGCCGGGACAGGGGTCTTCGAGCTTGCGGTCAATGGCAAGGACGTCCTTGGCGTTCTCAAACTGCACCCGACTCGCGATCTCCTTGTGCTTCTGCCACAACTCGTTCTCGTGCTGCTCCACCGCCTTCATGGCCGCCTGCATGTCCATGGTAGCCTGGAATTGCTTCATCCAATCGATTTCCACCTTCGGTTGCAGCAAGGGCCCCTCGATCACTTCCGGATCCTTGATCGCGTTCGGGTCCTCGATGAGCCGGTCGGGCTTCGGCACCTTCCCGGTGTTCTGGGCGTGCTTGGGGTTGGTCAACCCCTCGATGCTGTTCACGCGCCGCGGCCGCGTCAGCGGGCGGTGCGGCGCCTCGTTGCGCAGCCACCGCACCTCCTTCTCCTTCTCCAGCGGCGTGCGATCAGGGGTCCGCTCGGCCGCGAGGTAGGGCGGCGGCGGCGCCTTCATCTTCCGCGTGTACGCAGTCGGCGAGTCCTTGCCCGATTCGTCCGTGTCGAAGGCCACCCCCCGTTTCGGCGACCCGGACCGCGACTGCGCGGGGCTGCCGCAAATGGACTCGATGCAGCCCGCTTCCGCGCCCGGGTGCCCGCCGAGCGCTTCCGCGTCCTTATACAGTCCTCGCAATTCGCGGGGGACCGTGGTGTTCCGCCGACTCGCGGTCGGAGAGCGTGTGGAGGCGCGGCGGGCATCCGCGGAACTTTTGTAGAACACGGCCACCGGGCTCGCGGACCGCGGGGTGCGGTTATGCGCCTTCGCGTGAATGATGTGGTTCCCATGCGGCAGCTTGTCCTTCGGAAACGTGGGCGCGTGCGCCACCGGGCCTTGCGAAGAGATCGCCACGGTCGCCTTGGCCGCTTGCAGCTGCTGGCCGATCACGCGCTCGGCGTCGGCGGTGTGCAGGATCTTGGTGGTCCCGGTCTTCTTGTTTACCACCGCCAGCGGTATCATGGAACTCGAATCTGCCATCGCGGGCTAGCTTGACGACGGGGTGCTACCTGAACAACTACTCTACAGCTCAAGTAAGATTACGGCTTCAACGCGTCGGGTTTTTGGCATAAAAAATTTGACTTCCCGGGGTGTAAAAATGCACCCGCGGCAATAAAAGGTAAACCTAGCATATGTTCTTCTTGGGAGCATTAATGTAACTCGCAATAAAATTTCAAATTTGATTTTCAGCTTGGGACAAGTTGTTCGGGGGTTGTTTTACTTGCTGTGAATGTAATTTATTGAACAGTGCCTTGGGTAGCGGTACTTCATAGTCATACTAATGATGTAGTAATCAGTCGACCTTGTAGACGAGCGACGCAAAACGGTCACGCAGCTGACTGAACGATGAGAAAAGCGGAACGAGGACGAAAGCCGAAAGGTGGTGCACGAAAAACCGACGAAACGGCACACGTAGAAACTTGAAGCACGAGTCAATACAAAGGCTCACCGAAAACCAGGGAGGACACGAAAATTCAAATTACCGAAGCAAAATATTTGTGTGTTGGTTCTTGCGGGCGTACGAAGAACCCGACAACTGAAGACAGTCACAAAGGAGAAAAAACAAAAACAAGCGAGGGTGAAACGCCCTTTCATACTATTCGTATGACAACGATGTGGTTCAAGATATATAACCAAGTAAAGAGCCACCAGGAAATGGGTTTCTCCCATTAAAGTCAGACATCGAAAAAATCTCGGGGTATGCAAAATTTTCAATCCTAGGTTCTTTCGAGATCGCGGAAACTTTACCGCTAACTGGGGTAGAACTAAACGTGCCAGTAGGTCGTATGTGGATTACATCGAAATGGGTCAAAAGAAATCATTGTACACAGTGTAATCATAGTACGGGTAGCAAAAATTATTGGCCGAGATGAAATCACGAACTGTGTCCAAACTCAAAATCTTTCATCGTCCAAGTGTCCGACGTCATACGGCCCTGCTTCGCCCTCCTGTCGTGGCTTCTTACTATCTTCCTGCTCCACGTCGAGGTGTTCCCCATGTTGTCCTTGCCCGTTATGCTGCGGATGCCCGTGATTGTTCTTCTTTGGATCGTGCGCGCTGTAACTGTTGGCTACCACACCGGCGTAGGGTTTTTTCCTTCTCAAACGGTCGCGTGGCAGATTCTCGATGTTTACCTCCTCCTTATGGTTTCCCGCACCGTGAAAGACCCGGACGGAGTACAGGTGGCTTCCCTTAAGACTGGAGGTTTTCGCCATCACGCGCCCCGGGATCCACATCCGGCTATTCTCGGCAAAGTACTGAATCGTGGTGCCCACTGCCAAGTCATCGTCCTCCGAGGTGGTTACGGGGGGACGCTCGGACATGTCCGACTCGAAGTCGGTGTGCTGGCCGGCCGGCTGTGACAGTCCGGCACTCGCTGCGGCCTTCGGGAGCAGCGATACGACCGGGAGGCTGGTCGGCGGCGTCCTGTATTTGTTTTTTGAAACATGCACTGAACGAAGTGCTGCTGGGGAATGTCAATCATTCATAGTCCGAATCAGTTTTCTATTGAAGACGCATAGCAGGAACATTGGACAACAGAATAAATGAAAAATCTCAATTCATTGAGAATACCGAATCTGTGCGGAAACGACCGGCGCCCTGTCGTCCTCGGAAGACCCTTCTAGCCAGTTCGGGTGGTTTGCGAAGTCACTCTCATCCGACTCCGGAGGTCCCGGCTTACGCAAAGGACCGCCAGCTTTGGCGCCGCTTCTGCCACTGCCCTCGTCGGGAATGAGCGCGTCCACGGTCTGCAGCAGCACTTTTTGGCTCTGTGCGTGCTCGTCCTGCTCGACGTGGCTTCGCGTCCGATCCTCAATCTCTATCTGTACAGGGCGCTCGGGCACATCCTCGTCTTTGAGCATGGCCTCGCCCTCCCCGACGTGCCTTCCGGGGTGTCGTCCGCCGAGGTGCGGTGCCGGCGCTTGGATCAAATCCCGCAGCTGCGGTCGGACGTTCAAGTGCGCGAGAGAGGTCCCCGCCAAGTACTTGTTCGGGCCTGCGAGAGAAGCGCCCCTCGTGGTGGTGCCGTTGGCCACGCACAGGAAGTCCAGCAGCTCGCGGCGGTGCGAACTCGCCTTCGAGCTGATCAGCTCGTCGTTCAGGTTGCTGTAGTCGTTGTGGTTCAGGTACTGATCGTGGTCGAAGTCCGGGCCAAGCCTGCTGTACTTCCCCGAGTGCAGGTGTTGCGACGTCTTGGGGCTTTTGCTCGCCCGAGTGTGCCGGTGCGCCCCGGCGTGCTCGCGCGCTGCAATTCCGTCCCGAGAACGCAGTAGGTGATCCGTCTTCTGCGTCAGCTGCAAAACGTCCCCGTCGGCAATAGCACTGCGCTCGCGCTCCCTGCGCCGGTGACGGTGCCGCATCGTGGACTCGAGCAGCATATCCAGTGCCTGTTCCTCCTCCAGCGCAGAACCCCCGCGCGAATGCGAACGTCGGCTCTTGGAGTGTCGTGCGCCGAGGTGCGGATGGAGATCGTCAATCAATGTCGCTCGGCTCCCGATCAACTCGCCCTCCGAGTCGTGCAACGCAAAGGAGGTCACGCCACCGCCCGCGGGCAGCAGCTCGCTGTTGTGCTGCAACCGGCGATCCCGCGCACCCAAGTGGCGCGCGAGATCCTGCTGTAGCTGTGCGGAGATGTTCTCCGTCATTTTCTCTCGGAGCTCCTCCTCGTGCTGTTTGAGCCTTCGCTCCCGCCACTCTCGTTTGTCCTGTTCGAGTTCGTGTGCCACCTCCATGCGCTCCTCCTCCAGGCGCTGCTGAATCTGCTCGCGCTGCAGCCGCATCTGTTCCCGGAGCTGCGCCCGCTCGTCCTCCAGCCGGTCCTCCTCCTCCCGGTTGGCCCGGTGGATGTCTTCGCGAGTCCGCGAAATCTCCTCCGCCAGCTCCTCTTCCATCTTGCGCGCCTTCAGGCCGAGCGCGCTCTGGCCCTCGTGGATTTTGGTCTCTAGCAGCTGCTGCGCCTTCCGCTCCTCCGCACGAAATTCCTCCTGCAACGAGCGCTCCTGCGCCTGCAGCTCCTCGCGCAGGTGCACCTGCTCCTCGTGCAGCTCCGCCTGCAAGTGCTCTTGGTCGCGCCGCAGGTCCTTCTGCAGCTTCTCCTGCTCCCGCGCCAGCTCCTTCTGCAGCGCGGCCCGGTGCTCGCCAAACTCGGTCGCGAGCTCCTGCGCCGTGTGGTCCCGCGTGGCGTGGATCTCCTTTGCGAGCTGGTGGAACTCCCGCTGCATGGCCTCGCTCTCGTCCTTCATCTGCTGTGCGATCTGCTTCCGCTCCTGCTCCACTTCGCGCTCCGCCTTCTGCAGCGACAGCTCCATCGCCTTCTGCTTTTCCACCAGTTCCTGCGTCAGCTTCTCGCGGTCCTCGTGAAGCGTTTCGTCAAGCCGTTGCTGCTGCTTTTGCAGCTGCAGTTGCAGTTCCTGGTGCTCCTTTTCGAACTGCTTCTGCAGCGCCTCGCGCTCCTTTTCCACGCCCCGCTCCAGCACGGCCTTCTCTTTGCCGAGACTCTCCTCGATGGACCGCCGCTCCGTCGCGAACTGCTCGTGCAGCCGGTCGCGCTCCTGCTGCAGACTCTGGTCCAGCAATTTTTGTTGCTTCTCGAACTCGACGGTCAACAGCCGCTTCTCCTGGTCCACCTCGGTGTGCAGCACTTTTCGCTCGCGCTCCAGGGTTTTCAGCAAGGTTTCCTTCTCCTGGTCAAATTCCGTTTTCAGCCGCTCACGCTTCAGCTCCATCTCGTGCTCCACCGCCTTGCGCTCGGCTTCCAGCTCCTCCTCCATCTGCCGCTTCAGCGTTGCCCGCGCCTGGTGCAACTCCGTCTCTATAGACGCCTGCAGCTCGTGCCGCAGTTTCTCCTGCAACTCCTCGGTAAGCGGGCCGGTGCCATTGGTTGCACCGTTGTGCTGGTTCTCAACATGATGGTGCGGGGAAGATGAGACGTGGCGAATCTGTTCGTGCAATTCCGTCCGCAGTTCGTCTTTCAGTGCTTGGAGCTGCGCCTCGGTGCTCGCGGAAGGTGCGGCAGGCGGGGAAACTACGTTCGTGGATGTGATTTGCTCTTGCAATTCCGTCCGCAGTTCGTCCTTAATCGCCTGAAGCGCCTCGGCGCTAGCGACCGGATTTTGGTCTGCAGGGTGCTGTTCGCCTTGCTCAGGCTTTGAGCTGCGGCGCGCGGCCTCCTCGGCGAGAGATTGCACAGGAAGGATCTTCTGCGCCATCTCTTCTTGCAACGACGTCTTCATCTCTTCGACTTTTGTCCGCAGCACGGCGGCCATCTCCTCGCGCAGCAGTCGTTGTTGCTCCTGCTGACGCTCCTGGACCGCGGCGAAATCAGCAGCGTCGTTGCGCGCTGCCTGCTGCGACTCGAGGACCTGTTGTGCCTGCGTCTTCGCGGCCGCCTCCGCGATGGATTGGACCGGCAGGATTTTCTGTTCGATCTCTTCCTGCAGAGCCTTCTTCAAAGCCTCCACTTCGGCCTGCATCTTCGCACTCACCTCCGTCCGCAGACTCTTCTGCAACTCGTCCTGCTCGTCCCGCAGGCTTTTCAGCAGCGCGTAGGAAGTGGGCCGCGCGGGCTCGGGATCTTGGTTCTCCGGTCGCGCCGGTGCTCCGGCCTGCTCCGCCGCCGTGGCGCTGACGGCTTGTAACTTCTCCGCGGCTTCGACGGCCAGTGCCTGCACCGGGAGCACCTTCTGCTCGATCTCCTGTTGCAGGGATTTCTTCATGGCCTCCACCTCGGCTTTCATCTTTTCCGCCATCTCCGCCTGCAACTGTTTCTGCACCTCCTCCTGCTCCGCGCGCGCGGTCTGTGCGACCTCGTTTTGCTTCCGGCGCTCCAGTTCCTGCAGTTCCGCGGTTTTCTGCTGCGCCTCCCGCTCCTGCTGCATCTGCGCCCGCAACTGGGCGCGCATCTCCTCCACCTCGCTGCGCATGCTCTGCTCCATCTCCTCGCGCAACTTGGTTTGCGCCTGCTTCATGCTGGTGAACTCGGATTCCAGGGCCGATAACGACTCGGTGTTCCGCTTCTGCTCGGACGCATCGACCGCCGCAACCTGCGGCACCGCGGGCAGGAGCGGCTGCGCGGCCGACACCAGCGGCTGCGGCGCTGCTTCCTCCTGCTTCGAGTCGAACACGCGGTGGTCGGCGTGGCTGTCGATGATGTGCTTGTGGACCGAGGCGATGTCCGGGTGCCGCGAGTGCACGTCGGTGTTGGTCTCGCGGTTTTGCGCGGCCGGGGAATCGCGCAAGTCGTAGTCCATCGGCGGCAGCGTGCGGTCCAGGGACGCCACCTGCGAGTGGAAGTGCTCCAAGGTGTGCAGATGCTCGGGTGGCGGCGCGTCCTTCTCCTGCCGGGACGGCTGTTCCGTCAAACTCTTCTCCTTCAACGAGCTCCGTTGCGGCGAAGCCGCGGGGTGCAGCAACGCATTGCCGACTTCGGCCGGACTCAGGTGGGGCAACAGCAGGGCCAGGTGACTTTCGTTCAGGTCGTGGACGGTGCCGATCCTCTGCGCGGTTTCGTCGATCGCCTCGATCCGCCGGGAGGAATTCATCGGCTTCGGGTTCCCGCTGTTACTCAAGTTCGCGGACGCCAGAACTTCGCCCGTGGGCGGTAAAAGGTTCGCGATCAAATCCTGGTTGAATTCCGTCATCGACGCCTTTTCGGCCACCAGGATCTTCTCCATCTCCTGCGATTTGCGCACGCGCACGCCATTTGTCCGCTCCGCCTCCTTCTCGGCGGGGGAGGCTTGCAGCGGGTGTTCGGGATTCTCCTCGTCCGCTCCGGTCTGTTGTGCATCGGAAGCCGCACCTAAGGAGTGACCACGCGAGCTCGACGGAATCCCCAGCGCCGGCGAGGCGTCAAACTGCGACTCGGAGGCGGTTGGCGGCAGCATGGAGTCCAGCTCATCCGTCAGCAGCTCCTTCATGGTCTTCTGGGTTTGCGGCGGTTCGCTCCGCACCTCCTTGCCCGAACAGATCGCGGTCGCACTGAGTTCGTCCAGCGCGTACTCAAAGGGAGGTAAGACCACGTCGAGCCCGGAGTTCCGGGCGCCCGTTTTGTACTTCGCGGACTCCTCCAGCGTCACGGTGGGTGCGGATCCCAGTTGCCACGGGGAAGCGATCAGCGTGTCCAGGTTGGCGAGCGGCAACCCGCCGTTGTCGGTCGACGTGTCCCACCACCACGCGGGTGCAGGGCTCTTGTTCGACGGTGAATCTGCAGTTGAGCGCACTTGCGGCCGCGGCCCCTGTGGATGCGTCGCGTGGTGGCGTGTGTTTTTCAGTTTGGTTTCCACAAAGACGCAGCTGGGATCGTGCGTGATGGGCACCCGGCCCTGACTCACCAGCTGCTGAAGCTTCCGCTCGTCGGCCGCCACTGGACGCTGGGCTTGTCCCTGATAAGGTCCGGAATTCGCGAAGTACTGCGAGCCGTCGGATTGCGACGCCCAGGAAAACTCTCCGTCTTCTCGAGGTGTCGTCCCGGCGAAGAGCGGCGGTTCCACGTAAAACGCGATGCGACTGTTGTGGCGCGAAGGACCACCTTCCACGGCGGTAGAATTGTCGTCCGACGCGGGAGCCGTTGAAGAGCACAGGTGGCTTTGCTCCTGAAAGAAAAGCAACGCTTGCTCCTTTCCAATGGCGCGCAAATCCGCCTCTGCCGTGGCGGTGTCAACGATTTCAACAGTCGCGCTCGTCACATCAACATCCGCCGGCGGCGGTGCCACTACTATGTCTGACGCCTTTCTTCCTTCGCCTGCTGAAATAGGAGTTCCCACACCATCACTCTTCGGAGTGGCTGCAGCCTCCGGGGTCACATTGAATCCCGGTACCACCTTCCCAGCAGGACCGGCTTGTAGCTGCGACTCAAACTGCTTCTGCCGCTCCAGATCCAGCTGGAACAGCCGCAACCGCTGCTCTTCGAGTCGGCGGGAGCTGCGCAGACTCTCTTCGCGCCACTCCTGGAAGAGTTCGCGGTCGGGTACGAACTCCTGCGTCGCGTCCCGCCACATCTCGGCCCGCAGCTCCGACAGCTGGTCAATGTTTTCGATTTGCTTGCCCAGCAGCACGTTCGTGGGCCCGCACTCGTTGAAGGAGCTCCGCATCAGCTGCCCCAGCTCCTGCATTCGGGCCTCCGCTTGTGGGTCTTCGGCGTCCAATTTCACCGTTGGATGTTCTCCGCGGCTCGCCCTCCGCGAAACCCGCTGCGCCAGCGCCTCCTTGGGCTGGTCGGAGAGCGGGTTTTCGGCCGCGTAACTGTAGAAATCGTTCAAGAGTTCCCGATTCAAAATGGACAGGTCCGCCTCGACGCGAGGCAGGGCGAGGCACAACTGACCCGCCCGCGGCTGGTCAAACCGCACTGGAGGCTTGGAAACGTCGGCTACCTCGGTCACGAAGCTGCCACTCTGGGCCGCTACCTCGTGGCCACCGCCAGTGAAAAACCGAGGAACTGCACGGTCGTAGGGCGCGTCGGTGATGTACTTTTCACCAGTCAGACTCAGCAACCTGTCGTTCACATCGCCAAGCTCGGCCTGCAGCTTCCACAGCTCGTCGTGTAGTCCGCCAGAAGAGGGTGATGGCGCACTGATCCCGTCGGATTGTGGTTGTACATTCTGTGGCTGCTTTTTGTCAGCACCATTCTCTTGCCCCTCTGCGCTATTGGCACTCGGCTGTTCCGCCGGTGTTCCCACGGTCTTCTGCACCTCTACCAGGCCGCCCGGGCCCTCGGGGTCTGCACGTACCAACTGCGGACTACCGCGACTCGCGCGACGGGACGACGCGGACAGGCGGTCCGTTTGTGCGTCGGACTCGGGGACGACCGTTTGCGCGAAAAACAGGCTCCGCCGGCGGTTCACGCCCTCCGGCGACTGGTCCCGCATGGAAAACCAGTCGACCGGCTCCTGCGGCTTGCGGCTCGCGACCGGCACCTCCGTCTTCTGCGTCTCGGTGTCCGACGGCTTTTGCCGCAACCGCACCTTCAGGTTGCCCGCCCGCGCGTTCCCCCGGTCGGTGGCGCTGCCCTCCTCCTCGGTGGTCCCCGATACGATCCGCGGGAGTACCGGTGCCGCCTCCTGCTCGCCCTCGGCCCACAGCTTCTTCGCTAAATCGTTCTCCTCAAAGGACTGGCTCAGGCGCTGCATCGATTTTTGCAGCTCCCCGTGCCCGTCCAGGTCATCCTCGCTGCTCGTGTGCTCCACAAACCCGAAATCCGACGCCGAATCGACGTCCGGTTTCACGTGCTCGTCCTCTTCTTCCTGCTCACCATAGTACGCAAGAAGCATCGCTGGCGCCGGTGGGGAAAGGTTCTCTGGCTGTGAGAAATCTCCTTCCTGAGGTCCTCGTGACTGCTTTTTAATACTGCTCTCAGAAAAACTGCTTTTTTCTCCTTCCAAGAACCGTTCTTCCGCAGTGTCCTTCTTTTCCGCAGCGTCCTTCTTTTTCCCGAACAGCCAGCCTAGAAGTGGCACTGACGGTCGCGCCGAAGTAGAGGTTTCTTCCTTCTTTGGCTGTACTGGTGCAACGCTTGTAATATCCTGTCCCTTGTCGAAGAACCTAACCGGCGACACTATCTTTGGCTGCACCAGCGGCGCCGCGCTCTTCCACTGCGGCGCGCTCCTTGCCGACAGGCCGAGAAGACCGCCTCCGACAGGCCCTTGCCTGGAATTATCGGCCGGATGGGTCACGGTCAGAGCATTAGTGCTGTGATTCGAGCGGGAGTCCTTGTTTGAGAACACTTCCCGAGCATCCTCGACCTCGATCCCCTCGTCTTCAAGCGGAATCACGCCCATTTCGTCTTCGTCCGACATTTGACTCTCCTCCGCCTTCCACGTTTTCAGCAGCGGGAGCGATGCCAAGTTCTTGCCGGAGGCCACGCTGGTCGGGTTTAATATTTCTTTTTCTCCAGCACTGCAGTCGGCTTTTCCCACATAGCCGCTCCCGTTTTGCTCCTTGACCAATTTCTCTATCGGTCCGGGCGTCGCCGCCAGGAAGAACGCATTCCGCGCGGCCTGGCGATTCCACGTCTGCTCGTCGTCGCTGGGGTGCCACACCGGCAGCTGGTGCTCATCGAGAATAGGATGCGGAGATGTAGTACTATCACCCAAATCATTCGTCTTTCTGTTGCTGCTCAAGCACCTCTGGACGTGCCTAGTTTGCTCGCCGGTTACCGAATCATCCACGTTCGAGCGGTACGTGTCCAGGTTCGTTCGCTTCGAACTTTTCGGCGAGGTGCGCACGGAACTCGCTACCACCAACGAGGGAGGAGCGTCGAGTAGTTCGGGAGGCATCTTTTTCAGGCGACGGCGAACGGAAAGTTGTCAAAACTGTATACACTTGCAGTCGTGATCTACGTAATTCCCATGCAACGTCGATTGACAACCGAAGAGATTCCTGCGAAAAATTACTTGCTAGCTCGCCTTCATGTGGACGTCAATCTTGGCGTGTACCGGATAGACATCTTTTTAACTCGCTGAAGTAGTCAAGGTCGGCGTTATGTACATACACATGTGCGAATAAAAGTTCAGACATGATATGCATCGTGGGACACAGATTGTTGCCTGGAGAAGGATATAATGAGTAGTAAAGCATTACTACGTCGAGAACACCAAAACGTGTGCTGGCAGCCACCAAACGAAGAGAACGAAGAAGAACGAGACGAGTCCGAATTGTCACGCTAGTTAAACGGAGTAGAGCTAGAGCCTGCGCTGGGATTTGCACGGAAACTTCAGAACGAGAGTACATGTGTACCATTATTATTGTACGCGAAAGTTGGGACGCACAATGCCCTTTTCGCATCAATTTGTACGGATTGAGAAACTCGTGTGTGAATAAAAAATCCAAATCAAAAGAAATGTGTGAAGACGAAGCACCCATACCTGGAAGCGATGACGGTTGTGGTCGATGCGTCGTTCAAAGTATTCCCTTAACATTGGCGAGACTTGTTCAACTGAGAAAGATGATTTACGATGACGATTGTAGAGGGACGACGACTGAAAAGCGAGGGAGTTTCGCGACAAGTCAGGGTCAGCACGAATCACAAAGTGGGTGACATCGACATTCGGGTTTAGACTAGTTTCATCGCAAATACAACAATCTCGTCTGACATAGACATATCTCCTTCTGCAGAACCCACACTAATCGTCGCCTGTGTGCAAGACACAGTCTATCATGTTCTGGTCCCGTCTTTCGTCATAGTGGCTACAAAAATTTTCAAAACTTTCAAAGTGGGCGGCGCACTGCTTTATTATCTCTTTCCTCCTTCTGCTCTTCTACTGATACGAAAAAATATCTTTCTGACTCATATTTTTTGATCAAGCGAATTCCTTCATGGCTAGCCAGACAGTGCGTAGCATACGCGTGGCCAAGTTTTAGCTCATGAAAGCTCTTAAAGTTCTGGAACGCCACCACCCTCCGCCTCCGGCAGGTATTCATTGACAAGTCTGATCCGATCACAGTTGTGGTCCACTTCTGCACGAGATACTCGGGGAACAGATCCTTCTAGCTCTACGATGGTCATACGAAAATGTCAGAGCGTGAGCCTTTTTCTCGTATCCGAGTCAAACATACTAAAAGTCTAAAAACCTTGAAAGCATAAACACTGTAATAGTCCTAAAAGTAAAAACTCCTATTTCTATCAAAATCGATTCTATCGTGCCTACATAGATACGCCCAGGAAGCCCGGACATATTCGTGGTTCTTACATGTGCATCACAAATATCTGCTTTGTGTGAAGGCGATGAAAGTCGTGAAATTCGAATTCCGTTGTCCACTTGCTTCAGGAACTAGTTTCCGATAGGTAAATAAGGTGCCCCAATCTCGGCTGGTAGCCCCCCCCCGCCGCTCGACGAGTCAGCATTGAGGAGCTCGCTCTTCTCCCCCAGCTCTTTCACCATCTCAATAAAAATTTGTCCTGCCGCGTCAAGGAGAGGCTTGCTGTCGTTGTTCCCATATTTTTTATTGCAGAAAGCTGTGAACTCACGAAGCCCACTATCGGGATGTACCTTCACAGCCCGCCGTCTGTAGAGGTGCCCTAGCTTGTTATGCTCTGGTGGACGTAGCTGAAAGTCACCGCTCGTCTCGGCGCATCCCTGTTTCGGATCAATACCAAACACACGTAGTGCCCGATACGCCGCTTCAAATCGTTTCTGACGGTTATTTTTCGTGATTTTGATCCCGGCACTCTTCAAGTCTGCGGAGCATCGGTCACGCGGATAATCCCTATCAGGAAAGATCTTGCCAGATAACGCCTCTAAGTGTTTTACAAGTTCGGTATCCTCTGGCTTTAATAGACGGATGGCTTCGATCCGGTCTGCGTATTCTTCTGCTTTTCCTTTCATTTCTAGATCCACCTGGTTTATTATGGCAGCCTTTTCATCCGCACCTGGCTGCGAGTTGTCGTCCGCGATACTTTGCACAAGATCACTCATATGCGCCTCGAGGACATCGCAGGATTGCGGACCAATCCCAGACTGACTAGGCTCAATTATCTTCTGGATGATGCTTAAGAATTCTGACGATTCTTCTTGGACCTGCAGAGCATGCGCAAGAGTGGTCTTTATTTGAAGTTGCTGTTGCTGCGGTTCCGCCTCAGGTGCTTTTGCAGTTTGCCGCGCCCGGCTCCACTCCGTAAAAGGCGAATCCATAATGCCCAAGATTTGTGGGACTCTAGCGGCGACCACAAACACACGCACTATTCCGTGCACGTCCAAGGCCTGCAAACAGGAAGCCGGCAGCCCTGAAGACAAATTTTCAATCAAGCCCCATAAGCAGACGAAACTGTCAGTATCAGAAAGTCAATTCTCGAGTTACTCGTTGTGGAAATAGCACCAGCCCACCTTGTGGAAATCAAATTGCAGTAGAAGTAGAACTACTGCCTCCTGAATAAAATTAAAGGCCACAACAAAACAAGCCAGAAACTGCTGTCGACGTGCGTCACTCTTCGAAGTTAATGGTAATAGCGCTGCGACAATGCGAATATACAGCGTGCTGGTCATGCAGGCTTCTTCGACACCGCGGAGGAATGCCGTCAGGCAAGCCCCGCAGGTGCAAGCTGTGTGACAAGAAGCGTAGCAGTAAATTGCGTGCACTGAGTGTGTAAGTTGCCGGTCGCCACGCAAGCAGCCAAATACTGCCCGTTCATTTTAGCTCAGACTGAGATATCATTTCTTTGCTTTGTTCAACTCGAGCAGTTAGTATAGCACCTCATCTGCCCCTAGTGTTCAAGAGATTGAGCGGAATCCGGATCCACTTGTAGAAATGCAAATCCCGATGCGCACGCGCACTCGCCCGGGCCCTTATGCGACTTTGTAATTATTGAAGGACCAGAATGCCGATGAGCATAATCATTTGTAACAGGCGGCATGTGGAAAAGCGCAATGAACAGCACTCTCCTCTGCGCCACGGAAGGCGGTACAGGTACGCACTGGAAAAAGTGAAAAATCCAATTTTCTCCCAATGGACGGCGGCCAGCGGTCGATTGGAAAGAGGAAAGCAGAAGGAAAAAGCATGTGCAAGGAGTGGAAAATGAAGTTCTAGATACATGAGTACATGTAAAAGATAATGGTTATGCGACAAAAATCATCTAACACGAACTAAATCTAAAACAATCGTGGTTATAACGTACCTCCGCCGAGACCCTCTGCCGCGCCCGGTAGACCATCCAGAAGAAAAGGATGCGTGTACGCCTCCACATCCCTTAGTCCGTCTTGCTCATCCCTTTTCGATGCAACCAGGTGTGCTGCTTCTATACCCAGTATCTTGCTTCCTTGGTCCTCCACGAGGGACGCCATGCCGAAGTCGTGAAAGAGAGGCCTTTTCCAGTCTGGCCCTGCGTTGACTCCAGCGGAAGACTTCCTTGCAAAACCAACGGTGGCTCGTGATACTTCGTTGTACGAGATGCCGTAGCTATGAAGCATCGCTGCACATCCTGTTAGTCCTTGCAAGATACTTTGCACTTCGTCCTGCTTCTTCGGCCAATTTTCAGGTGTCATCGGCACGAAATCCTCAAGAAAAAACGCAAACTCCGTTGACTCCTGGCTGTCAAATACCACCACCATATACAGCTTCGCAACACAGCCTCCAAACTTGTTCGGGAAATCCGACAACCTCAGGTGAAGCAAGGCAGTCTGGGATATATTCTCCATACACTTTTGATAGTGCTCCGTGTTGTGTTTGCATGTCCGGATTCGAACTCTTTGGCGGTTCTGCATTCCCTTCAGTGGCCGTGTGAAGTCCGTACGACTGTACCAGCGTTCAATTTTACCCGTCTCCTCTGTCGGCTTGGAGAAGGACGTCAATGTGAGAGACGCTTCCCTGAAATACGTTACACCACGAAGAGGAGCTTCCCTGAAGTCGCGCAGGTTTACAGAGAATTCTTGTTTGCTATCTTCAGTAGACAGGAGTCCGAGAGCTTTGCCATTCTTATTTTCTCCTGCAAAAACCCTCTCTAGCAGCCATCTACTGACTGCAGTCTGTCCATCCCGCACCAGGAACGTATTTGGAGAAACTTCCAAGCTCGCTGCTCCGCTGTTTGACTTGGAAACCGTCCGTAAACCCTTGTTCATGACAACAAGAGCATCCCCAAACCCCTTGTTCGGATCATTTGCTTCTTCAACACGTACAGACGGACTCAGAATCTCAGCCGGCCCTTTCGGTACGCGGAGCTCTGCTTGCACAGCCGCGGCTGGCGGGGCTGCTTGTTGTCTCTTTTGACTGGATGAACCTCCGCCGTAAAGAACTTCGAGATGAGAATCGGGCACAAGCTGAGGGCTGAAGCCTGAGGCTATAATCTCGATCATGACGTCCAAAACTTTCTCTTGTAATGTGATCTTCGCCTCCGTGAGCGCCGTTTGAATATTTTCTCGTATGTCGACCATTGTGTATTGCTTGAGTTGGGCAAACCCGAACACGCTACACCCATCGGGAAAATAAAAATTCACACTTTTCTGCGCCTCGAAGCGCTCTTTCACTCCGAGCAAAATCGCATTTGCTCTATCACCAAGCAATAGTCGCAGCAGCGTCACCACCAACCCGTACCAATCCGACTTTGAGCTGTACAGGGTCTCTGCGTCGGGATGCTCAAAAATGACACTTTTGCTTTCGGTACCTGTTGTATGATGTGTTCCTGACATTCATTTCATCGGTTTCGTTGTCTTCCTCCTGCGGTCCTGCATTTACTCGACTGCGCGTCGGCTGAGCGAAACAGACTCGCTCCTGCTCCAAATATTTCTAGTACCGACCAGAACTTTTGAAATGCCCACCAACTCTTAGATCCTCAGACCCGAGGCTGGTGAATTTCTCTGACATGTTTCAAGCTCTTCTCGGACATGTGGCTGCACCCGATTCAATGCAACCGCGCCCCCTTGTGTCGCACAGCAGCCGCGCTATCACTGAATCTGAAATCAAACATCACAGGCATTATTTTTAAAAATCGAAAACTTTGAAACTTCTTCACAGAAAAATCCACTTCTGGAGGTGTGAAGATCAAAGTCACCATGCTGAGCTCACGACGACCGCTAGAACTTATCCAAATCAGCACGTTGATCCAGAACTCTCCTCAGAGGCGCTACGCGTTGGAATCCCGATGGTATGAAGAAGATGGCAGCAGTGTTTGTGTATTTCCCACGGCATGGCAGTTACGTGCTGGATTGATAGTCATATCTACAAGATCTTTGCAAGACTTGCGAATAATTCAAAATGCTCAAGAGTTCAAGAGTTCAGTGCATCTTTTGAGTTCGGTTCACCCTTTGAGTTCAGTTCACCATTTGAGTTCAGTTCACAACTTGAGTTCAGTTCACTATTTAAATTCAGATATCTTCAAGTCATAATCTCATATTCAAAAGCTTCGAATCTCAATTCTCAATCTCAAATCATAATCGAATCATCTCAAAAATCGCAACTTCTTATCTCATCTTGGAATCATCAACATCTTATCCTATCTTAAAAATAAAGTCATAATCTTCTCAAAGTCATAGTCTCAATCTTCATAATTGAATCGACGAGCCTTCGTCAAGATGTGAGTCTTCATCTCAAAAGTCATAAGTTTAGATCTTGAAGCTCTAATCTTATATCTAAAAACTATTCATATTACAGATCGGGGCGCAATATCATCACATCGCAAGGGCGGGGGGGGCGCGGGGGGGGGCGAGGGCCCCCCGCATGTAAGTCTTCATCTCAAGAATAAAAATCATTCGTACAGATTGAGGCGCAATATCATCACATCGAAAGGGCGGGGGGGGCGCGGGGGGGGGGGGCGAGGGCCCCCCGCATTAAGTCTTCACCTCAAACGTCAGAAATTTAGATCTTGAAGTTATAATCTTATATCTAAAAACTATTCACATTGCAGATCGGGGCGCAATATCATCATATCGCAAGGGCGGGGGGGGCGCGGGGGGGGGCGAGGGCCCCCCGCATGTAAGTCTTCATCTCAAAAATAGAACATACCTCATACAGATTGAGGCGCAATATCATCACATCGAAAGGGCGGGGGGGGCGCGGGGGGGGGCGAGGGCCCCCCGCATGTGAGTCTTCACATCAAAAGTCATAGGCTTAGATCTTAAAGTTGCCAAGATATCTGCAAGCAAACCAACAAGACTGCGCAGGGAAGGAAGCAAACGCGGGAGCAGGCTGAGGCCCGTCAGGCTATAACAAACCATGGCGAACATCTTCGATCGATCGGAAATACGGCGGCAGCTACTCCGGTAAAAAGCCGCTCACAATCTTCTTTCATTCATATATAGAAAGCAAAATCCCCAAAGGAAGTTTGAATAGAGCGCGTATACATTATGACTATATCACAAAGAGACCTGTCGGCAGGACTTCTAAAAAAAAAACCAACCGGACACGTCGACCCTAAATCTGCCAAGATCTATGACCAGTGCAGCGCTGACGTCGGAAGCAGTGCGACATCTGGCCGCACCGCAGAAAATGCTGCGTCGATGGCGTCCGTATAGTCTTCCGAGATTCCCACGACTTCGTCCAGAAAAAATTTCGCCCGATGCCACGAAATCAGCCACCAGTCCCCAGTCGCCAGGCGAACACGATGGCGCTCGCTTTCCTTCTGGCGCTTCGGCTTCTGCGAGGTGAAAAACCACGACACAATGTGGCCACTGGCGGCCTTCGAATCCCCGGCCCAAATGTACTCCGCCGCAACCCCCCTAGCGTTCGGCTCCCTGTGCTCCTTCTGCGCACCCGTGCGCCGGTGGTAAATGACATCCCGGCGAATTGGCGCAAATCGGCCGCGCTCGCCCGAACCATGCTCCTCCTTCGACATTGTGTGCGTGGCGGCTAAGTATCTGAATGTCTTCAAGAAACTAGAAAATAAAAGCGTAGCAGGAAAAAGAGACAGCTTGCTGGAGGAAAAAAATAAAAGTGCTGGCGGCGATCATAGATCTAAACTAATGCACGAAGATGACAACAGAGGCGCACTGACAACCAACGCTCTGAGTGCAGTCTGCATGGGTGAGACGGAAATAGGTGGTCGCTGTTTGGAAATAGGATGCGCATGGCCGAGGGCATGCGATATATAAGACAAGACTTTCATCATGAGCGGCCTACGCGCCTACCGCGGCTGTTTTCCGCTCTCCGGCAATCTACGGCCTAAAACGATCCACGGCTCGACGATTCAAGTGCGGGCCACTAGCGCAGCCAATTTAAGAACGTAATCAAGTCAATACTCCAAGCCTACGGCGGAGATCCAAGCGCCTGCTAAGTACCTAGAGCGATCGGGCATGGGGCTAAGGCGTTCGACTTCTATCTTCTTTCAAAAGAGGGCTCGGCCTGATGCAAGTATGCGCCGTCCCCCTAGCGGGAGCAGGTGGCGGCGCGCATGCATGTTCACGCGGAATCTGCCCGAGGTGTGTCCCCTGCCAGGCATGATTTACCGCCCCGCGCGTCGTGCGCTCGGGTCGCGGTGTCAATCGCTTCCAGATCAGATGCCGTTTGCAGTTTATGCCAAGTTACGTCGCGCTGCCCCGTGCGCTGCTTCCCCGCCCCAGACTGTGAACTCTGTGAAAATTGCTCTTTCTAGCGCAAGTTTGCGATGTCAAACCGAGCGGGCGAAGCTATTCGAGTCTCGTACTAGTGCTATAGCTATTAGCTCCACACCGGCCAATATAGTGGCATTAGTGTTCTAACGGTAACAATTTCAATTATGGAAACTTAATACGAACCTGCCCCCTGCTGTCCGTGGCACCGTAGCAGAGCCGGGCTCATGTACAGTGAAATCTCCGAAAATGCCGTATATGTCTGCAAGGCAAATGGCTCTGCGAGGTCGTCCGAAGAAACTCGCGTCGCAACCCTCTGCCCTAAAATCACCGAATAAAACGGAAATTTCAGATTCTGGTCCTGCGCTGTCCCACTTGTTCTCTCAAGAAGATAGCCTGCCGATCCGTCGACATCGTGCTTGTCCACAATCGATGCACGAGAAAAATCAAAAAGACGTGGCGCCGTCCAGTCAACTTTAACCTCCGCTGCCGCTGGTGTCGTTTCTGCATCAGTCGTCTTGGTTGCAGAGGTAAAGCCGATATTATGCGGTGCCCATTCATTGAACACCACACCAGCCGACATCAGGCTCTTCGCACACAACGCGAGGGCATTCATCAGGTTGCTTCCTGTCTTGACTGCCTCGGTCGCAGAAGGATACCTTGATGCTTCAAACAGATTCTCGTTCTCCACGAAAACCTGAATCAGTATCTTTCGCGAATGGTTCTCATAGCTCACACCAACATGGTGCAAGTTTGCAACGCAATCGATCGGCGAGGACAAAAAGTGAACCAGAGCAACCTCGGCAGCGCTCGCTAAACACCGCACGTACTCAAGCTGGCCTTTCTCGGTCTCGCCGGACTCTGGTGCGCGGCACAGACGAGCGGTCCGGGGTGTGAAAGCAGGAGTACTTTGGTATATCGGAGCACCGATGTCCCAAATCTTTGTTTTGAGCAACTCGTACAGTTTTTCCGCAACGTTCGCTACACCAATATTGTTGCACTCTCGCAGATTCTCAGGCTTGCCCTTTAATTCATGCTCGCAAAAGCTCCGCGTCAGCTGCAGAAGCGTTTCGGGTGCTCCGCCAAAGGCCGGAGAGGATGTTGCTACCCGGGTGATTGCTTCTCCCATCAGATTAAGAAACTCCGTTTGAGCTGCTGCGGAAGGTGACGCAGGTTGATGCTCCTTCCCAGGATTCGCACCAGCCTTCTCCCCCAAGGTGCGAAGCTCGTCAAGATCAGAAATGGACACAAGTTGAGGGGCGAAGCCAGACGCTAGTATCTTGGCCATTATTCCCGAAATCCTCTCCGACATGTTTGCGTCTGCGAACGCAGTGGCAATCGATTTTCCCAATGCTTCTGCTGTCCACTCCTCGGGCTTCCCAACATTCCCGCACATCTCGAGAGAGTAAATATCATTCGATTTCCCGGAATCAAATAACCTTTGCAGCTTGACATTGATCTCAGCTTTATTTCCAAATAATAGTTCCAGCAGCGTCGCCACCATGCCGTACCAGTCCGACTTTGGGCCGTACAGGGTCTCCGCATGCTCAGGGTAAGGCTCTCGGCCGCTTGGACGACCTAAATTGTGTATTTCGGAGTGGGTTAGGAGCTCGCGGAGTGATTTGGCACTCTGTGTAAAACCTACTTTTCTGCAGAATGCGAGCGCTTGTACACCCTTATATGGGTCTTCTGATTCTTTTGCAAGCATTGAAAAGAAAAGCTTGCGAACCTGTTTCATATTTGTTTCCGCTAGCTCCAGGTACATTTCCGTGGCACCGTAAAAGAGCAGGACTCGTGTAACGCGTTTCTGCCGGGAGAGTCTGAGGCGTCTGCAGCGCATGTGGATACGCTGCAGCTTTAGTGCGTACACGCGTCGCAACTCTCTGGCCTAATACGACCGAAAAAAAAAAGACTTGTTTTGGTTGTAGCTGCCCGTCTGCCATAAGCACTCTCGTCGAACTTGTGTACTTCGGTGGGAAGTCGTAAAAGTCCACGATCGAAGCTCCCGTGAAATCGAAGAGGCGAGGCCTTGTCAAATCAACTGTCCCGCTCGTGTCCGACCCGAGAAAGCCAATATTTTCGGGCGCCCATTTATTATACACCACGCCAGCTTCCATCAGCGAACGGGCGCACCACGAAAGCTTTGAAACGAGGACGAGCTCTCTCTGAGGCGAAGTATTTCGTAGATTTGTCATGGTCTGCTGTGCATGACCTGCAAAAGTATATTTCGTTTTCTTCGTCTTCTTGTCCACGGCCTCAGTCACCTTGTCCATGAAGAGGCGAAATTCCATCCCGGTCACAGCACCCTGATCATCTCTTTCTTCCTTCACCGCAACATGATGCAGGGTTGCGACGCACCCAATGTGAGAAGACAAAAAGTGAATCAGTACACCTTCGGCAAAACTCTGGACACACCCTTGGAGCGCGCCTATTTCGCTTTCGCTAGCTGCTTCAGACCCATGTTCCGGTGCTGGCACATCGCACCTGCCGACGACACGGTACGGGGCGCCGCTGCTTTGTCCCTTCGAAGCATCAGCTGAAATCTTGTTTCCGAGCCAACCGAGCAGCTTCTTCGAGGCCGCGCCCGCGTCCATTCTTTGAATCTGGTCACATTCATCTGCAGGCATTTGGCCCTCCTGCTTCAAATGGTGACAGAACAACCACGTGAGCTGCAGAAGCGTTTTCGGTGCTCCACCCGCAGCCAGGTTCAGCTGTGCTAGGTTCTCGATGGACGTCTCTATAGAATGAAAAAACACGTCACGAGAAAATGATCGACGATAATCCGAAACATATTCAGCAGATGAACGGGCCGCCGCTCGTTCCAAAAAATCGTGGGCCGCGTTCGCGTACTTCTGATCTGATGACGAAGTCCTGCTCCCAGCGTCTGCCATGACATTCTCGCCTCGCGAAAGGCTACCAGGTATGCTCGAGTCAATGTTACGCAGCAGCGAATTGGTAATGGCTTCCGCACCTTCGTCCAATTTCGACAACTTTGTTGCTACGATGGCGCCGTCGAGATTTGGCGAGCGGTCGCTTGTCGCGGAGCTCCCTCTTTTTTCAGCTTCCAGAAAGGTCATGCTTGCGCTCGCGTCCTTGGATTGTGCCACATCTTTCGTTGCGAGACCCAGGCCTTCCCTACTTCCGAAAGATGCGTCTCCAATTGCGACCTTGAAAGGTGTGTTCTCCCCCTCCTCCTCCTCCTCGAAGTCCTCCTCATCCTCGTCACCCGCACCGTTCCACCACACCAACGCAGCCCCCAGCCGGTCCATGGCGTCCGGCTGTCGCGGTCCGATCCCGTTGAACCCGAGAAACTTCCGCTCGCGGGCCTGCGTCAACTGCAACGGCGTTAACGACATGAGTTGCGCGGCAGCCAAGAGCCCCACGGTTCCCTTCAAGAACAATTTGCGCTTAAACGGAAAAACAGATTTAAACCCTTCCAGCAGCTCTTTACCGCGCGCAATCGACGGAGGAAACTTCGGAAAAAAACGCATCCACGTTCTCGCTTTCTGCAGCAGGCGTCTCAGCTGCCGGTGGCATTTTCGCCGTTCTTGTTGCTCGCGCAACTTCGCTCGCACCTGCGCTTCCCGCATCTGCTTCTCCGTTTTCACCTTCGCGACCAGCGTGCGGGGCTTCGTGGTCGCTGGCGGGACGGTTTCGCCGGGCGGGGGAGTTTCGTTCGTGTTTGTCATGGTTTTTCTGGTGTGTGGGAGAAGCTGTTTATTTTCTCTGGCGTGATATTGGTAGTGATTTGGACCAACTTTTTATCGGCCAAGAAAATCGAAAAAAAATCCGGTGGCGCGGCGAAACTGTAGAGGCCAGAGCCAACCAACGTAAGGGGGGCGATTCCCGATTCCCGAATTTTGCATTGCTCAAAATCGATTTTGCATTCCCGCAGACGCGGATTGCACAAAATCGATTTTGCATTGCACGAAACCGAATCCCGCAAAATCGATTTTGCATTGCACAAAATCGATTTTGTATTGCACAGCATCGATTTTGCGTTGCACAAAACCGAATCCCGATTTTGCAGTGCACAAAATCGATTTTGCATTGCACAAAACCGAAAGCAGCAAAATCGATCTTGCATTGCACAGAAACGATTTTGCATTGCACAAAACCGAATCCCGATTTTGCATTGCACAAAATGGATTCTGCATTCCCGCAGACGCGGATTGCACAAAATCGATTTTGCATTGCACAAAACCGAATCCCGCAAAATCGATTTTGCATTGCACAAAATCGATCTTGCATTGCACAAAATCGATTTTGCACTGCACAAAATCGATTTTGCTCTGCACAAAACCGAATCCCGATTCTGCATTGCACAAAACCGAATCCCGCAAAATCGATTTTGCATTGCACAAAATCGATTTTGCATGGCACACAACGCAGATTGCACAAAATCGAAGCCGCAGACGCGGATTGCACAAAACCCCTCCTCCAGACGCGCAATCCCGCAGATTGCACAAAATCGATTTTCCATTCCCCCAGAACGCAGCGCCGACCACAAGGCCGGTTTTGAGCTGACCACAGGTGGTTCGATGTTGTGGGTCGCGCAAGGGCTGTTGAAGGCCACACAATCGCCCGACCACACAAAATCGATTTCGCAGCTTCCCAGGTCCGACAGAATCGAGCGGCCGCGTGGCTCAATATCGAGGCGGTGCGCCACGCAATCCGCCGGGCCGACGGACTAGGGGGGAGAGCTTCCAGCTATGCGCTTTAGCGGATCTCCCACAAAATCGATTTTGTGCGTCCGCCCTTTCTTCGCGGATGCAGTCTCCCACGCCAATGCCTTACCAACCCCCGTCCCAGCCCGCGCCCTCAGAGGTACGGGCAACGGGCCCTACCGGCCACAAAGTCGATTCTGCAACCCCTCAACCCTATGGACAACGTCGGCACCTTGCCGGACATTAGATTTTCCGGAGAGATCTGGACTTCCGGAAAGATCTCGGGAGATCGCTGCGGTCCGGATTTTCCGACTTCCGGAAAATAGAGCTTCCGAGAAAATAGCAGAAAATCGATTTTGTGCCTCCATTACTATTCAATAGTAGCGAGATCGGACTAAACCTGGTCCATACCATCGGCGGAGGCAGTTGCTTACTATCCAGTTGGTAAGCTGCTGCCAAAAATCCAAAAAAAATCCGAAGGCAGTCGCGCTCGAGGTGTCGCGCGCAAAAATCCGCGTTGTTTTGTGTTGCGTCCCGAGCAAAATAATAATTACTATTGAATAGTAACCAACTGCCTCCGCCGATGGTATGGACCAGGTTTGGTCCGTCTCCGTTACTATTGAATAGTAACTCGCGCGCACTTTTGGCGCATTTTTGGCGCACACTCGGGCGCACTTTTGGCACACAGAAAATCGACTTTGAAGCGCCTCCGAATCTCTTGAAAGTGCAAGCGTTCGGATTTTTGGCAGCAGATTACCAACTGGATAGTAAGCAACTGCCTCCGCCGATGGTATGGACCAGGTTTGGTCCGTTCTCCTTAGCAATGAAGCAGAAAATCGATTTTCCGAGTCGATTTTCGATTTCGAGGACTTGCTGATGTCCCGATCTCGATTTTCGATTTCGGAAAATTCCGGATTTTTCGCAAACTCCGGACTTTTCGAAATTTCCGGAATTTCCGGAACCCGGAAAATCGATTTTTCGGCAGTCCCGGAAAGTCCAAGCAACGCGCGGACTTCCGGAAAACTTGCTCCTCTGGATTTTCAGGAAGTTGGAAAATCGATTTTGGCAAACAGCCGGACAGCCACCTGCCTTACCCACATAGCAGGCCCGCGCCACCTCTTTTGCCCGCACCACCACTGACGCGGACATCGCACAAGGAGCGGTCCAACAAAATCGATTTTGCACGCCTCGGGTGATTGAACCCGCAGACGATTCTGCGAGCCTGAAATAACTAAAATCCCCGACTCTGCGCCCCATCAAGCGCCCAGCGGCTGTCGAGGACTGAGCCGCGGCACCCACCGAGGGCTGTCTGTTTACAAAATCGATTTTGCGACCCCCGCGCCAGCCGAGAGCCTGTTCCTGGCGCCTCTACGGAGCTCAGAACACGCAGACGGGGCCCATGCCGCTCCCGCGGCTTTTCAGAACTTGGGCCCGGATGTAAGTCACAAGCTCGGGCGTTTTTCATTGCTTTCTACGCTGGGCCAACGCGATGAATGTGCGGAACTTCATCGGGGCGCAAGTTCTGGAATTCGCGATCATCCCTAAGCCTGTAGCGTGCGAGCGAAACATCGATCCAAGGCGGGCAGAGGCCCGTCCTCTGCGACTTCGCCCCACGCAATCAATTTTGCAGCTTTTGCCGGATTTTCCGGCTTTTGTGTTGGTAAAATCGATTTTGCGACCACGCGCGGATTGTGTGGCCCCGCCCGAGGATAGGGCATCTTCGAAAAGCGTGCCCGAAGGGTGCGCACAAAATCGAATCTGTCCGCGGGTACTCACAAAATCGATTTTGTGAGCACCGCCCGCCGGGCGGAACATGACAACCCGGCGCCCCCAACCCGGCTGCGGGAATCTTTCTGGCAGCCCGGACGCTCCAGGGTGGGGCCTAACGCCTCAGGACACCGGCAAAAACTGCCGGGAGACCGAGTTGGCGCATTCTCGAGCTTCGAGAACGCGGGCAACCGACTTCGCTTCGCGCTACTTTGCTTCGCTTGTGGACGTTAGCAGCCGCGGCACAAAGTCGATTTTTTGCGGCGTGCCTGGATTTTTTGCGGATTTTTTTCCGATTTTCTTAACATTTTTGAAGTCGGTCCAAATCAGTACTAAGTGATAAACGGAATGCTTAACTGACAAGACGATTGAAAAGAAAAGCAAGGTGAAGCAAGCTTTGAAACAAAGTTAACAAGTGTTGAATTCAAATAAAAGAAAGCAATTACTTAAACCGGGGGAAACTCGTGAATCTACCTCATGGAGGAGGCTTTTCACTGAAGGGAGTACGGAGATCAAATCAACTTACGAATCAATGAGAAACTGCACAGCAGCAGACGACAACAAGTTTCATCTGTCGGACCATACACAGGTTGATAAGGAAGAGTACGACCCATAAAGCACGATTTTGAACGATCACAGAACGATGATACAGCTTGCGCACGAAAACCGAGGTTCAGGACATGCTGCGTACGATCGGAAAGGAGAAATGTTCAAAACCGAGATATTGTTGAGGAAAACGAGACACCGACAGTCTGACGTGACGATGCAGCAGTAGAAGACGGCTGTTTTTGTATTGTCCTTAAAGAGGCGCTTGTGGGAGGACTCACATTTCGCACTCACGCAGCCTTTTCCAAAACAAACGCTCATCGCGGAACAGCGACAGTAGCGCTATCATGGGATCATCCAACAAGTTCATCGTTGACGCGAAGTTCAGAAAACGCTGACTACTTCATCTGCAGAAGCGATACATCGAATTAGGTTGCATCCGCACAAAAGCAATTTCTTCCCCGAGTGGCGAGTGCCATGTTTTCTCACAGTCGGCACTGACTCCAGGTCTGCAGGTCCTCGGCGGTTATGTTCGCAAGGAGATTGTCATGTTTGTATTGCGCCGCGTGCATCCCGTGGAGCACATTATACCGGTTTGGTCCCCGCGCCGACATCACCCCGCAGCACGAGTTCGGAAAACGGGTTCTTATCAGCGTCGCAATCTGGAACAGAAACAAAAACCCCACGCTGCTGAGCAAACCGCCAAGGGAGTAGCTGTTGGATCGTGGTTTGGTTCGGTCGTTCCGAATGCGGCACAGAGGAAACAGCTGCTCAGCGAGTCTCTTCAACCAAACTGCCTACCGCTATAGCATTCAAAAACGAGTTCGCGAAAAAAAACGTACTAAAAAACGAGCTGGCTCGTGATTGCGTCCGCCGACACGGTGCTCGTCGTTTCGTCCAACTGTGCGAGGTCGAGGGCTCTTGCTGGTCCCAGTGGCGTTGATTCTGCCACCGTACTTGCCGGCTGTTCTGTGTGTGGTTGCGCAGCTTGCGACCCCTTCCGCTTGAAGTACCCGAGCATCTCCGACCCATCAAAAGCGTCGGCAACCGCGGCCGAAAGCGCAAGCAAGACCAGAGGCAGCAGTGTCAATGCCGTCATGTCGTTGAGCACCTTGGTGCAGTAGGAAGTGCGCTTACAAAACCAATACTAAGAATCCTCATCGATCACTCTCAGGACTCGCTTAAAGGAAGATAAAGACGACACACCAAGATAGACGCTGATACCGCTCGTCTCTCCTTAGTGCTGCTGTTGCAGAGAGTTCGCACTCTCATTGCCAGCGCACTTGTAGATGAAGAGAAGTTTTCTGCTACCTAATACGTTTTTCTTCACATCGCGCTGCGCGATTGATATCATCTTGTTGTAGTCAAACGCTGAAACCAAACAAAAAGGCCCGAATCTTGGCCGGACCGGTGATTGCCATGGGGTCGATTGTCCAGTAGGAAAATATTGCTTCTTTGCTTTTGAAGACATGTGACACAGCAAATAACTTCTGTTTCGTGGTCATACGTTTTATGTCGATGAGTCATACGTTTGTTTCCCTAGATTTTTGATATGAGCTATTCCTTAATCCTTAATCTTCCTTTAGGCATCCTTACGTATCCATAGGAGTAGTCAAAGCAGTTTAAATGAAGCAGCTGGCATAGTGGCTTCGCTTTAGCTTTTGGTACAGCCACAATTCACGATGTTTCCCAGATTTTTGAAAAAGTCAGTTTTGTGTGCATCAGAACCGCCTAGTTGCAGCAATTTCCCGAAATCTTAAAATCATTAGGTGTGCTAGCCATTCATTATGTTTTCGCGTCCTATCCGACGCTGCACTCCTACTCGCGCGCGAGCGCCGTGCCTATTCATAGCGGAGGTGCAGCACACAGGAAGATGACATCGGATGGTTTGCTTTTTTAAGTAATGCCACTGACTTAGGAACTTTCGACACCGAACCACGTCTTGAACCGCGGCATGAGCACCGGAAGTATGGAAACGAAGAAAACCTGTCACCCCTGGTTCGCAAGCTTTGCTGTTCGACGCTAAGGCTGCAGCGGTCATCGTCGACTTTTTGCATACGATCATTCACGCTCTTGTGTAGTAATGTTTGAGATACTTAAGTTTGTACGTCTGCGTTTCATTCTCTATTTTTTTTCCCACCTCATGGCTGTACAGATTTTAGCTGAAACCACAGCGGAGTGGCAGACCTCCAGCTCCAGATGCAGAAACATGTAAAAATGCTGCACGAACAGCGCTTGCAGAGCCAATTTCTGCACCAGAGGGACGGTTGTTTTACCCGATACCGAGCAACGCCCCGCTTCCACCAAGATGCACCGCTTTTACGTGTACGCCAGCGTAGAGTCCCGCCATAAAACCGCGCTCAGCTGGTAGTTGTTTTTGTCCATTTCGAGAAAATAGGAATACGTGGGTAGTTCAGTACTACAATGCTATGCACCATTCATGCCACTAAGCAACGGTACAAACATCAGGGTCAAAGTATACAGGCAATCTGTCCGGCTTTTGCGACGAATCCGGGAACGTTTATGTTGTCTGCCCATGTGGTCACTGCGCCTTTCGGATCGAACGTGGCCGTATGTCCAATTGAAAACAATCCCCGGTGTGAGCAACACTGGCTCAAAGCTGAGTGTGATACTCAAGTGCTGGTTCTTGCATTGCCAAAATATAACTTATGGTGCCCCACAAATCAGTCGCCTTCATGGCCATTCGGCAATGGCAATGCTTCAGTTCTTCGTGCCTCCAATAGCTTTAGCAACGAACTGCAACTCCAGTCATAAAGTGCCGTCAAGGGAAGATGCTTTCAGTTTCATACCGCGATGGCTTCCTTCTGGATGATCGTTCTCGTCACGTCGCACCAGCAATTCAGCATGACGCCGAACATACCGGCCCCGAATCCACCTGATAGATTATGCAGAGGCCGTGAAATAAAGATGTTGCATTTTTTTGCATTCGGTTTAGAGTTGAAAAGAGGACACATGCAATCTTTCACGTACCAATCACGTCGCTCATGATTCCCTTCCCGAACACCGATTGCGCTGCTCCGGAGAAGACGTCGCGAATTATCCCGTTGAAAATAATTTCCACTTGATCGCAACTCACATCACCATCTTTGTGCGGTGTAGCGCTTATTTCGACGCTTCAAAAGCGCTAGCGCCAGGTGGCAAAGTAAGTACTATCTTGCTTTGCTGGGCCGAGAACGAATGTCCAAGAAATCATTTTCACCTTCGTAAAAGAAGCAAAGAAACCGCCGGTCCATGCGGCCTGACGGACCTGCATCTATAGATTGCAAAAGTGTCTGGGTCTGGAAGATTGCAACTTGTCATGCTAATTCCGAATGATGCAAAAATCTGTGTTGCATGAGTGCCAAAAGCTGTCCACTTTCGACCAATTTGGGAGGCAGTTTCTCACTCAGGATAGGCAGGATAGAACTCTCAGAGAATCTGTCATGCTATGTCCTACATACCAGACCTCATGGGTCATGGAAAACCTGCATTACAAGTCTGGCACTCTTCCAGACCCAGACACTTTTGCAGTTGATAGCATCCCTGCGTAGCCGATGTAGAGCCCCGCCGAACCGCGGGTCTTGTACAGATGGCTTGCAACAGAGGACATACCTGGGTGTGGATTATGGAATGCACACGGTCGAAAGATGGATCTGCAGAGTCGTGATAAGATTTTTCCAATTCCAGTCGTCAATACTTCACTGCTACCCGCAGTACACAACCGCGCAGAACCACGTCTACAAGAAATGTCAAACAGCAGCAGAAATACCATTGAATCGTTTTTCCTTGTCGAGCTGCTCGGCCAACTTAATGTTCTCGATGGGACTAATAATCACTACTTCGGGCACGGTGGCCAGCATACCCGCGACGCCCTTGGTCAGTGGCGTGCCGTCCTTTTGCTTGCGCCCGAAGACACCCTCGTGTGCGATGGGCTGCACCCAAAATTTCACCACTCGGGAAAAGGTGCCCCTGGTCAGCTCCGCGACCATACCCTGCTTCGCGAAACCAGCAACTCCGTGGGTCTTCAAAAAACCAGAAATTGCTTCGCCCGCTCCGACGCCTGCGTTAGGATTGTTTCTATGATATCATGTGATCACCAGAAGCAATTCTTATCATACTTACGTGGTCGTTCATGGCAGTCGCGCGAAACTTGAAACAGATCTCTTACCTGGATTCGCCATCACCAAGGCACGACAGACGTCTACGGGGTACATTGTAACGGCCACGGTGGCCGCACCCGCGGTCACCGGAGCCAGGGTGGCCAAGGCGCCACTCTTTTTCGGCGGAGCTGACATTCTGTCTGAGGTAGAGTAGATCAACAAAACTCGGCGCTTATGCGGTCTCACGTCCGCCCGAGGTTAAACTTAACTTCGTCGAGAAGCGTTCCGACAGAGCTCTGGGGACAAGAGCCGCACGAAAGACAGAGAGGGGTCCTGTGAGCGGCAGGACGCGAACAAGAGCTTCCTTTGTAGTAAAACACATGCGCGCAGTGGAAAAAACCAAGGAAAAAACAATGCAAACCTGCGCCTGATGCTGATTAACCCTCGAAAGAAAATAATGCTATCTCTCTTCAGTCAATGGCTGCGTTCTGCAGAACAGGACTATCACACTCACGCTCGAGTAAAAAAATGCAGTTTGTGAGAAGATCGCTCAGAGGCCTTGATGCTGCTGGAAACGACCAATGCAGCCCGTCGTCCGGGAACATGTTCACTTATGCGGTGCGACAGGCTTCGCCCTAAACTGGGGCGAGGGATTTTTATCTAAAAGAGGACAAGCACAATTACTCATACTTTCATAAAAACACAGCTTCAAACTTTCGTTTTCTTGGTCCGTAGCCATACGCGTTGATATTTCCTCGCACACTGGTCAGATGGGTTTTTGGATCCCTTACCTCGTACACATTCGACGCACCACCTTTCCCGCCCAGCTGAATACACTCCGTCGGCGCCTTCATGCAATTATCCTAGCAAAAGGATGCTTCATCTGGCGACAAGACATGATTGTAGGCGGTAGTGTAGTCTCTCATGTACTTAATGCGTGGGGTTCGTTCGAACCAAATCCAAGAGAATGCTAGCAGAAATGACGAAAATCGACCCGAAGTGAATGCGACAACTCTCTTTCACGTGTGCAAAATAAAACCTACATTCCATTTGCGAGGATAACGGTACTGCCCTTGACTTTCGTCCCAGCCGGCCTCGCCCGTCTGGAAGCAGATCTCTGTGTCAGAGTCCAGGTACACGTTCCCGTTCTTCACGCCCACACCGTTTACCAAGTCCACTTGCTTGCACGTCAGCTTGTTCAGTCGCTCGTACTCGGCCAGCCGCTCCGCCTGGGCCCGGGTCTTGCCGAATACCGCGGCTTTCATCGCGATGGCTGCCCCGTTGGCACTGGTCATCAGCAAACCCAGCGCGGCAAGGGGGCTCGTGGCGACCTTCATGGACGCGCCCAGGGTCTTGAAAATCTTGGACACGATGTTCATCTGCACGGCGGCAACCATGCGCAGCCCGTTCGTCATCGACGCCAGGGTTTTGGAGGGTAACGCGGACAGCGGCGCCGCAAAATCCAACGTCGGCGTTTTAGCCAGGGCGTACTCGTTCGGCGCGCAGCACTTGAACCACTGGCTTGTTGTGGGGAAAAGTACTAGCATAAAGTAGTCCTCATCAGCGAGCGCCTGGCATGGATGATAGATTACTGCATGAATGATAGATTACTGTAAGCGCCATGCATGGATGATAGATTCAGACAACGATACGGGCAGAAAAACCCAAAGTGCTCTTGCGCAGTGCCCTAGCTGATGCTCAATCAGCGCGTCGCAGCCGCTTTTCTTGTATATGCATGGAACCACAAAGAAAACCCTTTATTGTGCTAGAATGACTTTCCCACACGATAATCTTCTCCGTCTTCAAGTATATGTAGCGCAACAGCGGACACGTGCCGTCGTCGCGCAGCATGTCCTGCTCCAGGATCCGCGTCTTCCATTGCGTCTGTGCTTTGATGCACTGCACGTCGAAAAGCTTACTGTCGTCCTGCTCGCGCTCCGTCCCGTCGGGACCAAACACCGTCTTCGAAGGCGGGCCGGACCGGGGCATCTGGTTACTGCAGTCCAGATAGAAGCTCGTTTTCACGCGATTTCCCAATTCCGGGAACGGGTGCGTCCGGGGAAGAAGCAGTGAGACCGCATGCGTGTGTACGGCGGCCGTGTACTGCAAAAATTCCGGCAGGGTGGGTAGTTGCTGGATCAGGTCTGAGAGCCCTGTAGAAGAGGAGGTGGCTCGAAGCGACATGCTGATTTTTCTCATGTATTTGTTCAGTAGAAACGCGAATTCAGGTGTTTCAAGTGCCTTCTACCTGGCACTTTGTGTTCGGATAGGTTGTTTCAAATTATCCTTGGCGTCATTCTGAATAAGTACATAGGATCGGCGAGTTAGGGATGCAAAGTGAAAATCAGGGCACGAAAGTTGGCTCTTTGCATCAAGTGTGGTGCTCTAAAAGTACGATGAAAAGCGATTCTGCAACGACAGTGCTCACGATTGGCGATCTTGAACTGCAACGAATTTGCAGAACTCAATCTCAGCTTTACTATCACGAAGACCGAGTCAAACGCATCACCGATTCGCTATTTCTTCACGTGACGAGTTCAACTTCCAGGCGAGGAACTTCAGCGGAAGTTTCATTCCGCGTTGTGAACAGAACGCGACAGCGAGAACGGATTTTCGTTGGATTGAAGACATTCTTTAAACTAGTACCTAGAGTACGAAACAAAAAAGAGCTCGGCTACGTTGACTTTGTTGTGTTGCTGTTGTGTCATCGATCCGCAAAACCTCGAGTTCGAAACGAAAGTAAGTATTTTATATTACTTCTGCAAAACACGGCCAGCCTGTTCCACAACAGGAACATCAACATCAGTTTTTTCTTTGATACAGGGCCACCACTCGCCTGCCCGTTTGCATCCGCAAGGGTCGTGTACCAAAATTTTCGTGGTCGTAATCGTCCTCTGCTGTGCTACTCTCCTGTGGATGACGCCATCCGAACCACGACTCCAGTGGAGTTACTAGAGAATCGCGATGCGCCACTGGATCTGATGAGTCGACGTCCTTGTCCAGAAGCCCTCGATCGCAGTCACCGCTCCTGCCGGCACTCTTCCACAACAAGCAGCGCAAACCCGCAAAAGGAGTGAATGTTGATGCGTTCGGCGTCTCGTCTCCACTCCGATCTCGCGTCGAAGGCGCAGCGCTTGTGTGTCTACTACTTTCTCCCCTTGCTGAAGTTTGTTCCGTCTTCCTCTCTCCAGCCGATTCTCCCTCCTCCTCCTCTTCTTCTTCGAGCAAGGCCTCGTCGATGAGTTTCGGCAAAGCAAAGGGGAAGGGGGCCATGGCGCAGTGTCGGATAAACCAGTTGTTCTTCACGGTGCGCTCAGCGGAGTCCGCTGCAAGTTTCGCGCGCTCGATCGCCCGACAGCACGCCGCGGAGTGGTTGTCCGACTTCCCAACGTCAGTGGGGTGGCACCGCGGACCCGCGCGCAGGTTGATCTCCATGCCCCGCTCGAAGCTGGCCACCGGACAAATCGCGGGCGCCGCCACGGCGAATTGCGTTCTTCGGTGCGCTGCATTGCTGGAGGCACTGGTCGTAAGCACGGGCTGCGCGGCAGTCGTTAAACTCGAAGAAGGGTACGTAAAATCCGTTTCCAATCCCACCGACAACGCAGGATCTCCGACGTGATTATACCCATCCGGAGACGAGCTCAGCAAGTGCTGGCGTGCGGCTGCAAAGCGGGAAGACATGTTTCTTGATTTTCTTGGAAAAGTGGCGTATAGAGGTAAAGCTCAAGCTGCACGTCAGGGTAGAAAAGTTGGACTGAAATCAAAGGATTACAACCAACTTAGAGAAGTAAGAAGTATGCATCTTTCTACAGCGAAGTATGGAAGCACGAGCTCGATAGAGCGAATCGATCACTCGGGGCGAACACGAACACTACTCTGGCAAGCAGTCGCGTCGAAATAATCTCCGGTACGACTAAAACGATACGAAGTGAAAGAGAACAGCGAAAACCCTCGAAAGCTGCACAGGCGTCGACCACTGCTTTGGCTCCTGGTGCAATCACACTCCGCCCGGGAGTCGTCTGCCTCTGCTTTGCCATTTTCTATATATCAGAACCGTCTTTGTGTCTGATTCTCTTGCTTTCTTTTCATTTTTGTCCTCGAGTCAATCAAAGTATTCATTCCGCGCTGTTCGTATCCGACACCAGGTAGCAGCTTCGGATAGGCACACTACGAAGGGATATATCTCCTCGGTGTACAACTAGCTGGAGTTCCAAAAATCTCATGTACATAGGATTCTGAAAATAGCTGCCTCGCTCATGGAGAAGCAGTCAAAAATCAGCGGCGCTTGCTCTACCTTCCTGTTATTTCATCCTGTAGTTCCTACTTTTTCTTGTTTCTGGGCTACTCATGACGTAAAAGTGATTCTCATGATCCTTTTTTGGACTGCTTGTTTATTCCGGTCTGAAGATCCTGACGTACAAAAAAAGAGTGTGGGGGTCGTGGGTACTGGAATTCCTGTCGCGTTTTTCCTATCCCGTCGGGGTCGGGTGCTGGTGGGAGGCGTAGCGGTCATTCTTACCAAACTTCGCTGCAGAACGCGGCCAGCGACGAATTTAGTGCTTCTGACTGGACTGATGGGTTTTTGCGTCGCACTTGGGTACGATGCCCTGTACGCCGTCAAGCCGGGTGGCCATGCACTTTTCGACGTTCTTCTTTAGTGTGTTCACCGCCGTCGTGTTGTCGTAATCCGTGAACCAGACTTCAATTCGGATACCTGAAAAGACAAGCGGGCACTTAGGTTTCATTTCTTTGCAAGGTATGAAACAAAACTTGCGACCTTCACGAAATTCAAATCTCCGAGGAAAAACCCACCGTGAAGCAAAACTCAGTGGTAGTCCTCCTCATAAAATCTATACCGTTTGCTTGTCTTGGTCCGGAGAGCTTGTCGACCAGGCGCACCCCCGTGATCATATCTACTGGCTCGATCGTTCCCCCAATCATTCCCAACACTAGATTGTTCCAGTACTCGTCTATTTGGCCACCGCCTGATGCTGGCTTCAGCTGTATTTTTCATCATAATGCATCAGCTAAATGTAATCTTTACCGGCCGCTGGTGGCAATCTAGTAAAAAAAAGGATGAAGTGCACGGTTTTATTAGGGAGAGGGACAGCAAGAACTTGTTTCCGCAAAACTATGTATCCTCCACCATAGTACCTGAAATTGAAAGTGGCCACCGCTCGCGTTCAGCTTGTCCTCCCACTCTGGTCGGATGCCGTCACGGAATATCATAATCGCGTCGATCACGTGCAGGCCATCCGGCTGCTCTCGTACCTGTAAAACGAACCCCGAAGAAATTTGATTCGTGTGACTCGAGAAAACAGGATATAATCCTCAAAAACACCAACACCGCCTGCGAAGTAGTACGTACGCACCAAGAGTGTGGTGACAGCAAACTGTAAAGAAAAGGGATATGTTGGATCAACGAAAAGTTGTGCTAGCTATACCATTCTCTTCTGGTCCAGTAGTTCTGATGGCTGTGGCATGTGGTTCCAAAGCTTCCAGAAGTCTTGTACCGTCCCGAACGGCGCTACTTTGTGCGTTGCGTCTGAGTACCTATTGTTTCGCGCGCATGGATATCGTTCTTTCCTTCGTTAATGCGATCCAACTATGTGAGGGAAAAAATGGCAGAGTTACTGCTCTAATTAAAAATATGCATAGGACGGAAAGTCTGCAACAGATAATTGAAAAACGCTCTGTTACTGTGCCGCTTTGCCGTCTGAGGCCTGCATTATTTGTTCCCAGATTACCCACGTGTATTTGAGCGGTAGTTCTTTTCGCAGAACGTCTTCTGCCTCCACATCGTCGCCCTGGTGATACTCCAATGCCGACGCATTGTGTGGGTTGAAACTCAAAAACGCCATTTTCACTTCTTGACAGACACAAAGAACGAGTACTATGTATCTACGGACTATCTGTAGTTTCCGTGATACTTCCTGCCCAGGAATCGACAGATCTCTTGCCGTTGGAAAAACACGGCAAGAGCTAGAAATATAGTGCTGATTTTTTTCGGTGTCTTTGTTAACGTTAAAATTGAAGAAAACTCAGAAGTTTGCGGTGTTGCTGTATATTTGTTGATTTTCTTACAGTGGACCAACTTCCATTCAACTACTGATAAGCGATTACAAGCGTGCTTCCTCAGAAAATCACTCAATACCGGGTTTGTATCTATGGCGAACTTGCATTTGAGCCACACTGAGTTGCACCCAAAGTGCAGGGGCTCCGTGATTCTTTTCTCATACTCAGCCACAGCACTTGATGGCGATTCGTGCTTTTTGGCGTACTTAGTTGATGTATATATCTGTCGTACTGAACTAGGTGGTCTGGCAATATTTCTGGAGAACGGCATTTGTTGAGCTGCGGACTGTTGATTGAGAAGTCCGTCAAGGATCGGTTTGTAGAGCTTAGAGATCCTAGCGGGCTCGCGAAAAAGCTCGCAGCTTTTTTTCCATGCGTGAAAACTGAGCGAGGCACACAGGCTGAAGACGCTTTTATTTATTGTAGACGCTCCCGTAAAGAAGGTTTTTGGATTTTGATGGCGCTGGCGGGGGATCGGGATGGTGAACTTCACCGGAGCATCGGCAAACCGGTCGATCACGGGAAACTTCCTCTGCGTAGAATTCGCTTGGATCTGGGGGCTTGGCAGATGCTAAGCCTACTGAATCCGAACAGCATCATCTTTGAAGAGCTGTGTGTTGCCGGACCGTCATCATCGTACGGTGGCCGTGCGTGCTGACAAGCCGCTCCTTCAGAGCGCAGCCCGCAGCCACGCTTCGCATCACCATCGAACAAAAACACGTGACAAGTCAACAAACGTGCCAAGGTCACACCGCAAGCAGCAAAGGGCGCACAAGCATAGGCACCCCTGCGCAACGAAGCAGTGCGCGAGTCGCGCATCGCTGCCGTAGCGACAACGACGCCCGACCGGGAGAAGGGGACGCCACAGCGAAAACTGCATCAGAGGGCCGGGCGTCGTTGGCCTCCGCGTGTCGTGCGTGGGCGCGCGCCGCCACGGATGGCGCTGCGATCGCGACGGGCGGCGCCAGCGCCGCACAGGGCCGAAAGCCTTCGGATAGCCTGGGCAGCAGGAAGACGGGGCGCAAGCTACTGCCATAAGTGCCGCCCTCTCCATCGTCTCGACGCTACGCAGCCAGAGCTCCGGGCGTCGCCGTCGCCGCTCTTGCGTTTTCCGATTGATGGCGGCGAGATCGCTCTCATGCGTCAAATAGCTCGCCCCGCCCAGTCCGTGCGCCAAATAGCCCGCCGGGCAGTGATACAGTCCCCGCTCGAGGCGACGGCTGATCTATATAGGGGCCCGCTGGATTGCCCACGACTGACGGCCAAGACCACTGATCCGATGACTGACGCTGCAGACGCACCTCAACGCTGCGGCCAGGCGCTCGTTGGTACTCGAGTACTAGGCAAATCTAATAACTCTGATGTCAGCTTTTCGGCTACCAGGCATCCAAGCAATAGATACTGAGGTCTCACAAAGAAGTACAGAGCGATTCCACAACGAGTTGGAACGCACCGCTGTGTAGCGAGCCCTATTTTGGATGGTAGAAGCGCCTACAGAAACTGCGCTAAACGCTTTCTCTGTTTGTCTCTCGACGCCGGTCCCGTCCAGCAACCGCTCGTATCAGCAACGCAATCAGTCATAGCAGTTCAACTAGTATTGAGTCGGTGCTATGCAAAGTAAGGTGCTGTCGCTCCAACGAACGCATCAAACATAGTAAGCGCAGCATATTAATTGTGGCGGACTCCTCCGGCCCGAAGAGTTAACGCTCATCCTCCTTTCCACTTTCACGGCGAGACACCATGGCTCTGTCTTGTCATAGCAGAAATCCGACAGTGCTCCGATGAGCGAACACACGCTCCGCTACCTCATCGCAGCACGTGTCACGCTCCAGAAAACGTGACCAGGTAGTAACTTTCAGACTTGTCGATCTTGCTCATGGGTTCAAAAGTGTCGCAGCTTTCCTTTCTGTCTTGCAGACTTATGACATGCGATTTTTCGAAACAAGAAGCAAAAGGAAGACGATACTCTGTCTGAGAAAAGCGAAAAACTCAAATCGTTTGACTTGTCCAAGTAGGTACACGTCCGGTGTATTGAAGGAGCAGTTTACTAGTAGGTGCTTGCAGCTACATGTGGTTCATGTGGCTCGTTTTGATGGAGAACTTCCATATTTGTGGATACTAAAACCCGCAACAATTATACAATTTTTTGGAAAACAAACATCATACAAGAAAAACACTGCTCGTCCAACTCAACAACTCGCCTCTTAAGACACCTCACGCTGCGTCTTCCGCCCCTTCCTGTGGCTCCACGTTGGGTTAGTTTACCAAAGGATGCCCCCAGCTCGTAGCGCCATTATCTATGTTCCAAAACGCAGGGGTTTTTGGGTCTTCTTTGGGAAAAAACCCGACCCATCCAGGCACCAACCAGGTGCATGGCGGTCGCTGAGAGGTTGTGTAGCCCGTGCGGGTCTCGCGGTACCTGAGGAGCCGCTTACCGTCCTGGTTTTCGGGTACGAACGTCTCCCAGGGCGAGACAACGGGCGCCTGGCCCAGCTTCTCCACCAGTTGATCCTCTGATAGGGGGATGACGCCGTGCGAACGTGCATATGCATCCTCTTCCCGAACGACCCGTGGCGGCGGCGAGGGAGCAGCGGGGGTCGCTTTTCTATCCTGACGCTTCCGCGCCGGCGGGGACGGTGATGGACCGCTGGAGCTAACCCGTCTGCTTCCCTGCTCCGCATCCGAAGGCGTCCGCACCACAGATTCCCGTGCCCCGGGGGACGGCGGCTCGGGCGACTCGGAGTACTCGAAGGAACTCGTCCCTGTCTTCACATTATCGTTAGTGGGAGCATCTACCTGGGGACGCGCGGCTCGTGGTGAAGATGCCGGTCGGGCGGTGTCTCGTTCACGCGGAGAAAAGTGCATGGGGCGCGGAAACTTTTTTTTTACTTCGTCTTTAATCCACTTTTCCATATCCTGCTCCATAGAATCCCTCTTGAGCGCCATGTTCGCCGTATGCACGTACACGTTGTCGTTGAGCTCCTTGATCTTGTTGAAGAAATCGTCCTTGAAAGTCGCGGCCTCGTCCGGCTTTAGGCGCCCCCCAGGACGGCTCATGTTGAACAGGCCTGATTCGGGATTAAAATGCGATATCAGCATGCGGCTGAAATGTTCTTCGGCAATACGATGGAAAAACCATCATCAGTCTGGCCTTATCTGAAATGAGAACTCCCTGAAAAAATAACACTCACCGTGGTTTAAGACCGACTTGCTCAGGCGCCAAGCCCCCTTTTCCCATTCGAGCACGCCCCACGACCTCCTTCCGTTTCCCCCGTTGGTCAACAAGTTCCGTTCGCTCGTAATAAAGTTCGCTGTCCGATAATCCAACTGCGATCTCCGTTGCGGCAACTCCGCTACAAATTTCGCTGCGACTGCGTCCAGTTTGGCGAGAAAAGGTTCGTGGGGACCCCGCGGGTCCGCGTCTTTATAATCAGTGTTGTGCTTTTCCAGCACCGGGAGGAAGATTTGGAGCCAATCTTGCAGCTCTTCCGAAAACATGAAGCGGGAGAAGCCCTCGTGCTTCCACTTGCTCGGCCAACAACCTGAGATTGATTTTGCAGCGGCAGGTATGACTTGGGAAACAGAACGCCGCGGCTCAGCATGTGAAAACCAAAACATCACAGTATGTGCAAAATACCGCGTTTCAGCATTGCCTCGGCTACTTTTCCACCCAATAATCGGTCCTCATAGAGCGCGTTCTTGAGCCTCGTCAGCTGCGGAGATTGGTATGTTTCAAACTCTTTTATGACTGCATCGATAAACAAAACCATCCGCCTTTTTCTTCTCCGCCAGTCCCTGAACCTCGCCGTCCATGTGGACTCTTCGAAAAAACCGTCTTCTGAATGCCGCGTAACTTCCAGAATATCGAGCACGTCCCTCTCTGAGTCTATGCAGGTATTGCGAGCCTTTCCGGTCGGGACGTGTCCTGTTTTGTTCATTCAAAGAACCAAATATCAAACCTGAAGAAAAGTCGAAAGGAGCTGCGCGCCAGTTCGGAGCATCAAACAGAAATAGAGCAGTTTACCCTCCGTGTCCAATGTATGAATCCGCGCGTCGACTTCGCGTTGAGTTTCTCCGTCGTGTACAGCCTTAGCAATTTTCGCGAGTTCAGCGTCAGCCTTATCCCATTTCAGGGCGCGAATCTTCGACCGGATAGATATGAAAGTGAGTGCTGCCTCGGGATTCATCCTCGGGGGAAGTATCTATTAACACCATGACAAGCCGATTTTCGACCTCGGGGAGTACACGCGACCGCGAGGCATGACAAGAAAGACACAATACAATTCTTTCGAACAGAAAGAGTCAGCACCGAGACAACTGGTCCAGCGAGGAGAGGACAAAGAGGCTCACGTCACTGGAATAGACCTCTCTAGCGCTCCGTTCGTCATTGTTGTAAGGGCCGGTTGGTCCTACATCCATACAGCGAAAAGAATGTAGTGACTGAGGCTAGTATCAAACAATAGAGATACCGCACGATGTAGTAAAACCTAAAGACTCATCGTCTGGAAATCGAAATGGTAAACGTACGTCACAACGAGTTGGACAGCATCGATCTACAGTGCCCTCTCTTTTCGAAAGTGAGCATACCCGTCGAAATTCCCCTCATCGGTTTTCTTGTTTCTCTCATCAGCAATGCAGTCCAGCAACCGCACACCGCAGCAGCACTCCCACTCGCATCATTCCAACTCGATTGGAAGCATTGTCAAATTGAGACCACAATGGTCGTTTACCGAACGAACACAAAGCGCGACCCCGCGAAACGTGTCCGAGGGTGTAGAGCCCCATCGAAGCGAGTTGAAACCTCCTGCGATCGGACGCCTTATTTGTCTAGGCGCCATCTGTCTCAGCATCTGTGTTGCATCCGCCAGCACGGTCTCTGATGACACAGTAGACGCGTGGACTTGAATAAGTAGATTGACACTTGGAGCAAAAAGCGCGCTCGCTTTTGCAACTCGAGGCAAAACAACTTTCGCAGCGAAGCTAACCCGCAGCGTCTCTGTTAACGTGCCGCGGGCGACCGCGAGAGACCGGCGCTTGCGGGTACGAGGAACACGGGCGGAAAGGGCCGGACGCGGAGCGGCGCAGCAGGCCGGCCCTCATCAAGGGCCGCCCACCGCGGAATGTCGCAACGACCGCGAAAGCCGGCGGACGAGGGGCGCTGCAACAACCGCGGGGTGCGGCGGTCGCGCAGCGCCGCTCCGGCTGCGCAGGCCCGGAGTGCCGCAAAAACCGCGAAGACCCGAGCTCGCGGAGTCTGTGCTTGCGTTCTAGAGTGGCACGATCACGCGACGCCCTTGTGTGCGGGAAGCCAATTCGTGCCTTATGTCGTAGTAGCTTTTTGCGTTTTTCGTTGCTGCAACAACACGGCAACAAAACGCCCAGGAAGCAGACGCCGACTGGAAGTGACTACGTATGCGAAAGCGTAGGACACCTCTGGCACGCTTGCGAGTCGAGCGCCACAGATGTGCAACGAGCTCTATTTCCGGCATCCCTCCTGCTTATGCTCACAACTGACGCTCTGTTCTTTGTTTCGACGATTTTCACGGCAGAAGCCCGCAATTGCGATCGTGCCATACTCGGTAGCATGATTGTGAAACGTAGCGCACTGAACCGCAAGCAGACCGCTTTCCGATTCGATGGGGACACGGCGAAGCCTCGCTCAACGTTTTCGCTATTGTGAACCCCACCCAAGAATATTGAAACACGAACATCATACGACTTCTCGCATCATTTGCCCAGACGCGATCGCAACAAATTTGATTACAGCAATCAAGTGAGCGGCGACCGTCGCGGGGAGGAGGCGTTCGCGATACATTTGAAGGTAAGTCGCAGTAGCGGCCGCGGAGACCGGATGCTGCGGAGCGCTGACGCAAGCACGGAGACTGGCAACCGCGATGCCCGAAAGCGCCGGCCGCGCACCCGGCGGAGCTTGCTTTCTCCTCGCCAGCCGGATGTGCTTCGGCTCGTGTCCGGATGCCATCAGCCCCGGGCGAAGACGAAGAAGAGGACCCGAGCGCAGAGGCCTTCGCTCCTTGTTATTGCGCGAGCGCTCTCTGCTGCAAAGCGAAAGAAGCGACAGCGACCGTGGGGCCACGCACCCGGGGCTTTGGCCGCGACGCGCGGCAGAAGGCGCGGGGACGGGCGGCCGCGGAGAGCCGGGACGACCGAGATGTCGGGCGGCTGCGTGGTGCCGCAACAACCACGGGCAGGCGCGAAGCGCTGCGGCGAGCGCGGGACCTGGCCGAGGCCACCGCGAGGCGCGGCAATAAATTGCGAAGCGCGGCGGCGGCCCCGGGGCGCCGCCAAAGGCGGCGGGCGCGGCAAAAATCGCGGCAAACGGCGGCACCGTAGCGCCGCCACAAGCCCAAAGACCGCCGGTCGCGGGGGCGCGCAGGAATCGGGGTGGCCAACAGTCGCGGGGCGCCGCAGGAACCGTAGGCGCCGGCGGTCGCGGCGCGCCGCAGCACCCGGAGACCAGCTGCAGCGCCGCGCCGGAGTAGCCGCAAAGACCGGCGTCCTTCAAGCGTCGCAGCAAAAGCAGGGGCCCGCGGTTATCGAGCGCTGCCGGAAGCGCGGAGAGCCCCCCCCGGGGAAGCCTCTCCCGGGGTGGGAACCGGTGATCGCCGCGCGCCGGCGGTCACGGAGCGCTGCTGCGACCGCAAACCGCGAAGGTTAGAGGTCGCTGGAACGGCCGCGGGCCACCGTTGTTGTGAGGGCGACAAGGGCGCGGGATATGGCGGCCCCGAAGCGCGGAAAAGGCCGCGGAGGCCGGCGCCGGTGGGGCGCGGTGGAGGCCGGCGCCGGTGGGGCGCGGCAGGGCCTCCATCGAGCAGCGGGGCGCCACTTTGGCGCAATTGCCGACGGCGGCAGAGCGGCACAAAAGCCGCGGGCCGCCGCAGCGGCCGCGCCCGCGGAGACCGGGGAAGCAGAGGCGCGAAGGCGTCCGCGGTTGCAAAATACCTCCGGACCTTGGATAAGTGGCCGGAGTATGGTGCGGCCGCGATCTTTACGGGGCCACGCGGACGCGTAACGCTATTCCGGCAGCCGTGATCCGCGGTCGCCGGCCATCGCGAAAAGCGTGCGGCCTGGGAGTACTGCCCCACAGCCTGGGCTGTGGGAAATGGTGGCCAAAAAAGGTGGCTGATTGGGCATGGGGCTGGGGCCTCATGGTGCCTAAAGAGAAGCGCTGCACTTAACAGGTTCCAATAGGTTCCAGATGGGCTCCATATCCACAAACGATCTAGAAGGAAATACCATCCCAGGCCATGTGATGCTACTTTGCTGACTTTTGGAAGAATGCGCCAACAAAGTTGCAGCGTGTAACCTACCAAATATAGCCGCCGGGGCGGGGGTAGTGAGGTCGTGGGCGTTTTTTTGCCGGCCGCAGCCTTGGCCGCGGCTTTGCTTTTTATAGGCTCGCCATACCACCGTGAGTAACGTTATGCCGCACGGTATGGCGGCCACTTGGGAAACGTCGCAAATTTTGGCACATTTCCAAAATTCCTATCCGAAAGCCAGCCCCGATGCTATGGGGCCGATCCGGGTGCCACGGGGGGCGCCCAAAAAGCGAAGAAAAGCCGGGCCCTTAGCATGCGGGTTGGCTTTGCGCGTCTGGTGCGCTTTTTATTTTTCGCGTTTCTATTTTTCACGCCGGCGCTTTTTGCAAAGCTTCCCAGGCTCTAAAACCGGCGAAAAGGCGCCCGCTTTCGCGGCCGCCCAAAATGCTCCGAAATCGCGGCCGTGCCATGCTGTTTCGCTGTTCTGATTTTGGACGCGTTTTCTGCGCGCCCCTTTCTGGGCGCCCCAAATCGCCAGAAACTAAGGCGGTGGGCGCCTCAGAAGGGCGCCCCTTTTGCCGGCTCCCCTGCGTCGTTTTATCAAGTGCGAGTCGATAGCTTTCGACCGGGCTTGTTTGATAACAAAGCCCCGGCCGCTTGATAATTGAAAATGTTTTATGTCAAAAAACGCTTCCGGCCGCTTGAAGACTGCCGGTCGTTTTTCACGGGAGGTGTCAAAAAAAGTCCCTGGCTAGAGCCGTTCGGTGACCTCGCTACATACTATGGAGCGACCAGCTCAGGTCATGGTGTCAGAAACGGGTTAAAACTGGTCATCGAACAATTCCGAGAAATCCGCAACTGAACGCTCTCCTCAACGACGGACGAGTTCACCGAAAGTAGACGACTTATTTGAGCGTCTGCAACGACATACGATTGGCAACAAGTAATGTGCGATTTAAATGTCTTCCTACGATAAAACCGACACGTCAGACCAGATTAAACCGATTCTTCTTAAAAACCGTGATGTTATGAAAACACGAACTGGAGATAAGTCTCCGTTCGTCCTTACCCAGAAGGAGATCAACAGAGAGCCGATCGAGAGTGCGAAGCAAGGTTATTTTTTGTGTTTTTTTGGTTTTTAAGTGTTTTTTACTTTTTTCAGTTTTTTTATTCAGAAATTAGTTCTAGAAGTCGAGTTAAGACAGACAAACAAGGCCGTTGTCGTCTTCACGAAAATCTCTTCTACTGTTTTTGATTAAAATGAGAGATTTTTTCTGTCCGCATGAATGTCGTGTTGCCTTCCTCGAAAACTTCCAACAAAAAATTGGCTGTGGGGCGACAGCAAAAAAGAGAGATATAAAAATTCAAGATTGTACCCGATGATCGTGCGAAACAAAAAGATGAATGAGTTTTTTTATTAAACTGTCTTTTATAGGTCTTGTTACTTGTGTGTCCCAGTGTTCTTCTTATTGCCAAAAAACAAGTATTGACAATCCAGTCTTCACCGATGAATATTTGACAGTTTTAATTCTTTGCTTTTTCCAATAAGTTGTTCTTCAGCAAAAAAACTTTACCGAGGAATTTGAAATTGATGGATCACTTAGCATCCTACGTCTCAGTAGATGCAAGCGCGTATTGCTTTGGTTCTGGAAAAAACGTCTTTTCTGAAACAGCGATTTTCATCTATTGAATGAGAAGTACTACCCATTTGATATAAAAGGATGTGATAGTTATACTCACGTTCTAATCTGAAGATAATTCGAATATCTTTCTTCGGATAATCATCTCCTTTTCACATCTCTTCAATCCCGTCTTTTCGCGACTACTGCTGGATTCTTCTGATGTTATTCCGGATGATTCTATTCTGCCTTGCTGGTAACGAATTGTTCTTTTACTGGATATTGCAGGGCCGCTCTTCCGAGATCCTGAAGCTTACGTTGTAAGTTCCAGGAGCGAGGTTGTAAATTCCTGGTTGCACATCAAGATCAATTTCTCTATCTACTTGCGCCTGTTGATCATCGCCCGTCGTTTGCACGGCTACGCTTGCCGTATTTCCTTGATCAACAGCGGGAGACATGTTTGCAATCACTTGTTGATTATTGTCCTGCACGACGACGTTGTTGTTTTGAACGACGATGTTGTTGTTTTGAACGACGATGTTGTTGTTTCCACCGAGATCCTGATCATTGGCCTGCTGATTCTCCTGGTCAGCATTTCCGACGTTCTCATTACTGTCATCACCACCTGGCTCGTATTCTTCTTGGACGTCTTTTTCTGGAGAACGCGGAGCTTCCAATTCTTGTTCATTTCCTCCCTGTTCCACAAAATCAGACCACAATGGAACAACAGGTTGTTCTGGAGACACAGGAGATCCGAACAAAATCGGCAGATAATCTCCCGTGTGAACTTCATACATCCTTGTAAGGTCTTCTGCCTGTTCTTGTCCTTCCGTGGGAATTTCATCCATCATTGCAAAGCTTTCTTCCTCTTCAGCCGTCGCACCAACGGCGTCATCCAAGATCGAGGCGACGTTGTTCACGGGAATTCCTTGTTGTGACAAGTCAGGAGACGTTAATTCTTGATCTGCATTTTCTTGTTCTTGTGGAGGTGCAGCTACATCTCCAGGAGACGGAGAAGCGGGAATTTGCTCATCGCTCTCCAATTCCCGTTGATGCTCGATGGCCCCATCCACTAACCCAATCACCGGCGAAGAAGCCATGTTCTTGTTAAAACCGTAGCGGACCAACTGCAAGAACTTATTTGTTCCGTATTTTTCCAGAATTTTCTTGAACTCCGGCAAGTTCCGAATTTGTTCCGTCGTAGATCGGACAGCGTTGACGTTCAATCCCCAAACCCGCAGCTTCTCCTTTCTAACTTCCGGGTCA